TAACCCTAACCCTAACCCTAACCTAACCTAACCTAACCCTAACCCTAACCCTAACCCTAACCCTAACCCTAACCCTAACCCTAACCCTAACCCTAACCCTAACCCTAACCCTAACCCTAACCCTAACCCTATTGCCCTAGCGCTTAAGCGTTTAAGCGGTTACCGGGTTTCACTGGGGGTTCTAATCTGTACTCCTCATACCCTAATGTCGGGTGCTAATCTGTACTCCTCATACCCTAATGTCGGCTTCTAATCTGTACTCCTCATACCCTAATGTCGGCTTCTAATCTGTACTCCTCATACCCTAATGCACGCTTCTCCCTCTTTTGGGACACCCTACGGCCGCTACGCATCTTGTCTTGTTCTTCTTCTCCTTTCTCCTCTTCTCCTGGGACACCCTACGGGTTGGCCGGGTCTCCTTCTTCTTTCACCCTCTTTTCGTTCCTTTCGGGACACCCTACGGGTTGGGCGGGCCTCTTTCTTATTTTGTTCTTTCGCTTCTCTTTCCTCGGCACACCCTACGGGTTGGCTGGGTCTCCTATCATTCTTTTACTCTCCTCTTTTCCTTTTCCTTGGGACACCCTATGGATTGGCCGGGCTTCTTCTTATTACTTTACTTTCCTCTTTTCCTTTTCCTTGCGACACCCTACGGGTTGGGTGGGATCTTTCTTCTCTCGGGACACTTGCAGGGTTGGGACATTTCCTTCTTCTCCTCTCGGGACACTTGCAGGGTTGACTAGCTTCTTTCCTATTATATCTTCCCCCTTCTGTTGACTCTTGCCCCTTTGCTTTTAGAACGCCTAGAGACGGGTAGACGGGTAGATGGACTTGGGAACCTTGAGCTTTTTCCATTGTGTCGACCACTTTGCCTCTACTTCACTACTTCACTACTTCACTACTTGGCCAATCTCACCTCACCCCCAAGCCCAAACCAGCTCACATAATTTGCTACTCTGTACCCACCCTTCTCTGATCCTTAACCCCACCTTGCTCTTACTTGCCAACCATTCCACTATCACCGTCATGTTGTCGCTTTCGGTGTCCTCTACCAACCCTCCATCTTCAACCGCCCAATCCCATACCTCATCCCTCGAACTGAACAACAATCCCAAAACTATGCCTTAAAGATCATCTTTCACTCGCTGATCTCCTTTGAACTCTCCACTTTCTCCACACCACGCTCCCTGTATCTTGTCCCACTTGATGTATCTGTTCTCCGTCAAGCCTCCTTGTGCTCCCGGCCTCTTTCTATACTGCTCACACAGCATGCACGGTCTCCAGCACTTTTTGCACCCGGATGTCTGTTCCATTCGCATTCCGGCCAGTCGTTTCTCCATCCCTTCCATCTTCTCCCTCAAGTCTAGCTTCTCCACCAACGGACAAGCCCTCCATGACGTGTGCCCGCGCTCCGTCTTGCCCGATCGCGCTGTGCACACCGTGCAACATCCTCTGTACATCGATAGCTTTGCTTCGAACGCTTCTTTGCTGCTGACCTCTAAGCACAATGGACGGTTCGATACCCTGGGGATCTTTCCGCTTTGTTCCAGTCTCTCCACAGCGGTATTGCGGGCATCCAAGCTGTCATCTTCCTGTCGTTGTTGCTGTTGCTGTTGCTGTTGCTGTTGCTGTTGCTGTTCTACTTCTTCCTCTTGTCGGTCTTGTGGTCGGTCTGCTTGTGTCGCCGCTGCTACTCCTGCTGTAGTGGTCTCCGTGATCCCAGAATCCACTAGAATGAAGTCGTCATCATCTATATCCATGTCCACGAAAGAGTCTGTGTCGTCGGCCTGCTTGTCTTTCCCATCATCATCGAACTGCCTCATCCTCTCTCCACTCTTGTACACCAGAAATTCCTTCACCACCCATATCGAATTGCTCATCATCTCTCCCCATATCCTCCTGTCCCTAGCCTGTCCACACCACAACGCGTAAGCCTTCCACCCTTCCTTTTCCTCCTCTACCACTCGCTTTGGTTCGAAGCCGGCTTTTCGAATGATGTTTCTCCCGATCGGATCTCGAACTGCTGTCATCAACACCGGTACTGCTATGCCGGGCCACTGGCATTTTCGTCTGGCGGCTTCCCTTGTGTTGCACATCCTCTGGTTGATTCCACACTTCCTGCAAGCCTTGCTCGCTTTCGCATACTTGATCTGTTTCCGGAACGTGTCAGCGTCGGTGATTGTCGTTTCGTCGGCTTCGTCTGTCACCGTCAGCTCTCGACTCTCACATTCCTGGCCACCGTGCTCGAGATGTGAGTCTTTCGCTTCCGACTTCATCCAACATATCGGACAGCCGAGTTTCATCTCGTCTAGAGCCTCTTCGACCATCTCCTTTTCGAGCTCGGACTGTCTGACTAGCTCTGTGCCTGCAGCTATCATTCCACCTCCGCACCTGTCGCACGGAGCCTTGCGGGGGGCGTGATGCTACTGCTGCTGCTGCTGCTCGTCGCTGTCGGTCTCGCTGTCGTCGCTGTCGCCGCTGCTGTCGTGACACTCCTTGATCGTGTCTGCCGGATCGAAATACCTTCCTAGCACCGGCCTTCGACAACCCTCTGTCTTGATGTACTCGATCATCGCTGCTCCGTCCGGTCCGAGTGCCTCGTTGTGATGCTCCCGCGTCCGTTGCTCTTCTTCCTCCCACCCTTGCTCTAGCAGTACGATCGAGTCCACTCTCTCGTTGGGATCTCGACCCGCTCTGCCTGATGCTTGGGCGAACTCGATCAGTCCGTACGGCAGTCCCGAGTGGATGACCGCCTTCACGGCTTCGTAGTTGAGTCCGGTGCTGAGAGCTGTCGTCGATACGATGAAGCCGCCGTTCGCCTTCCACTGCTCTAGCGTTTCCTCGCCGTCGACGTGTCCGGCGTAGAAGAAGCCGCAGCCTAGCTTTTCCGCCATCTCCTCGCAGTCTTTCTTGCTTCGGCAGTAGACGACGGCCTTCTCTTTTCTGGTGCTGCGCAGCTCGTCCGCGACCTCTTCGCATACTCTGGCCGTCTCTTCGACCAGCTTGCCTCTGTTGATGTCCTGTCTGACGGTGTAAGTGATGTTTTCTCGCACCGTGCATGCTCGTATCAGCGACATCATGCCGATGCCGACACCTAGACTTCGTCGTAGCTCGACCTCCATGTACCTTGGGAGTGTGGCCGTCAGCATCACCATCGGTACTCCTAGTGACTTGAGCTTCTCTAGCTCGACGAGATGCGGTCTCCAGCTGTGGGAAGTCACTAGCAAGTGACACTCGTCCACCACCACTCGTCTCAGTCGGCCCTGTTCCGCCATCTGGCGTGCGTACGACCAGAAGTGATCGTGCATCTTGTCCACGCTGACGACCACGAGAGCTGCTGGATCGACGGTGCTGTGGCTCCACTCTTCACAGTCACCCACCGTCTTCTGTGCTTCTCGGACCGTCTCGTCGATGAGCTTGCGGAATGGGACCACCACGATGGTCACCCCGACGTCTTCTTCCAGACAAGCGGGTGCGGTAAAGAGTAGAGTCTTGCCTCCGGCTGTCGGCAGAACGACGGTGAGAACGTTGAAGCCACCGTCCATGATTCTCCCGAGCGCTTCTCCTTGTGCTTTCGATCTGTATCTGATCGTCACCGCGTCGTCGTCCATGGGTTGCTTGAGTGCTTTGCGTATAGCCCTCTCCTTTTCCTGTGCCGTCGGTCTTCTGTAGCGTTGCAGCCTCTCCCGCCTTCTTCGGCTTCGTTCGATGATCGGACTGTCATCTACGTGCTGCTGCAGATACTGTTGTTGGTAGTTCCTGCCGCTGCACCTTGGAGAGTACCTGGATTCGTCGTGGTTGTCATTATTGTTATCATCATCATCGATGTAGATGACATCGTTGCTGTCGTTCTTGTCGTTGGCATCATCGTGGTGAGAGTCGTGCCTGTTCCCCTCTGTCATCGGGGTCGGCAGTCCGTTGTTCGAGTAGATGCCTAAGCCAACGATGGGGGTCATGGGCTGCTGTCGTCCTTGCTGGAGCTCCTCTTCTCGGAGTCTCGTGAGTTCGGATTCTTGCGCCTTGAGCTTCATCCGCAAGTCTTCGATCTCCTTCTGCTGTCTTTCGGATTGTTGCAAGAACGGTGAGAGATCCACCGTCGGAGTGGCGGCAACAGCAATAGCTCCTCCTTTGCCGTGGGCAGTCTCTTGATCAATCTCTCTTTCTGCAATCCTTCGAAGTCGACGATTTGCATCCCATCGTCTTTGTTGCCGCTCTCGGCCTTTCTTTTCCTCTTCGGATCTCTGTGGTCGAGCTCGAGAAACCTGTGCCAGCTTTCGCTGAGATCGCCGAAGATGTCGATCGACTCTTGGTTGAGATACTTCAAGATGTCCGCTCTGACCGCGTATCTGCCGGCTCCGGTGCCGAACCCGCCGGCTTTCTGCAGCTCGATCGCGTTGCCCTCCTCGAGATCGTCATCCATATCACCCGCCTGGGCTTCTTCCGGATCTTCGGCTTCCTCTCGGTAGCCTTTGGCGAACCTTGGTCCAACGAACCTCCTGCCCAGAAAGACGGCGGCGTGTCTGTAGCTCTGGGTGTGTAGCTTGGCCTTCAGTCGCTTGGCCGTCTCTCGTTTCATCGTGTCGGTGAGCTTCTGCGTCTCCCACGGGCCGTGCGAGTCCGCCCAGATATAGTCACTCCATCCTTGACCGTACTGTACCTGCACCGACAGCAACTCGGCGAACGCCCGCACGTGGGTGAGATAGATGACCGCGATCTGACCTAGTCTCCACGGCAAGAAGCGTGGTACCATCTTGGGCATGTCGAGCATTGCTTGTGACTTGTGGTAGCTCGTCACCGTCATCACTCTGCCGTCCAAGACGAAGACGTTGCGGTGGTTGGCCACTCCGTTGCGGAAGCGCAGACTGGTGATCTCGGTTCCTCTAGCGGGTTGGCCGCTCGAGACGTGCACGCAGAACAAGAACAGCTCCCTGAACTTGTCCACCCTCCGGAGATAGTTGGCCACTAGTCTCGACTGCCACTGGTCCCCTCTGCGCATCTTCTTCCCTTGGTTGGAGCCTAGCATTCTCTTCAACATCCAGTCGAGACCCTGTGCTTCGAGATCCTGGTTCGGATCGGCGCCGAAGTACCAGCCTCGCTTCTTGACCGTCATGTCGTCGGTGATGCCATCGAGATCTAACACGAAGTGATCTGCCTTGCGGCCTGCCCACATGAGATCTCTCCACATGTAGTCCTCGCAGTCGTCTAGAGCGGAGCGTGCCATGGACTTGAAGTTGTACACCGTGAACTCGATGCTGCCGAGAGCGACGCCGGCTCCGTCGTGAGTCCAGTGTAGCTTTCCTTGGGCGTGGAAGTTCTTTGCGATCTTCTTTCCGTACGCTAGCAAGCTCAACATCTCTCCCATCACGCTCATCGATCCATCGGCCAAGAATTCTTTTCTCTGCTCGAGAAATGCCTCGAAGTCGGCCTCTCCTTGGTTTTCGCGGTCGAGTGATGGGAGCAGAGCTTCGGCGGCCACGATCCTGGACACGTACACCAGTCCGGCGATCATGTAAGAGTAGTCGTTGCCATCGCGTAGCCGAGCGTTGGTCTCGTCGATGCCCATTACAGCCATGAAGTGGATTAGAGCGCTGTCGAAGCGGTCGTTCCACACCTTTTNGAACAACAACACCCGACTGAGCTCTACCGTCGCTGGGATTTGATCGTCTTCTACGGATGATGTGTCTCCCTCGAGAACGATCAATCTCCACACCTCCTCTAATGCTCTTTCGAGTTGATCGTTCCATGGGAAGAGCCTCTGAGCATCGTGCATGTGATCTTGTGCTTGCCGTCTGCCTCGATCGTGTTGTAGATCTGTGTCGGAGTTGTCGTCGGCGTCGTCGTCGTCGCGGCCATCATCGGGATCGGTGTTGGTGTTGGCATCGTGCACACTGTTTGCCTCATCGCTGTCGCTTCCGGTATCGTCATTGTTGCTGCTATCGCCACTTGACTCGCTGTCTGTGGCTTCATTGCGAGTGCACCATACTCGTAGACAGTAACAAATCATTCGCTTCCAGTACCCGACGTACCGTTCTTGACTCTCTGGATTCTGCAATCGGGCCAGTGGTCTCACGTCTGGCTTGTGCATTTCTGCACTTCGAAGCCAACGACGCAAGCCTTCCGGCATCGAGCTCAGTCCTGAGACACCCCTCTCGACCATCTTCTCGATCACCGCAGCTACCTTGAGCAACTCTTCTTCATCCTTCTCGGGCAGCCGACTGGCGTGCGAGAGATGGATGAGATTGCACTCTTAAGATGCTCTCTCCATCTCGTCTTGTTCCACCATCCGGTGTTCTCGCATTTCTCTACCTTGTCTGCCAGTATCTCCTGCTCTTTCTGCCACTGCTCTTTCAACTTCTGGAAGTCGTCTCTGATGCCGTCGAACTGGATCTGCTTGGCTCGCGGGAGCGACTGTCTTATGCTTGCTGCCTCTCTCTCGGCCTCGTCCGGTGTCTTGACGATGAACCATTTCTGCCGTCCGCCGACGCCTGAGAAGCACTGAACGTATACCTCTTTCCAGCACGTTCGGTCTTCGGGCTTCCACCTCCAGCCGTGGGCATCGCGACAATGCTCTGCAATCTTCTTGTCGTTGCTGGAAATGTGACCACAGACCCTGTGCTCAGCTGCTGTCTTGGGATCGTGACCGATGCTATCCTGCCGCATCTCGAATTCGCAGCTGTAGCCGAGAACGGGTGCCTTAAGCCATTCGATCGCTGGTTGGTCGGCTTCGGGGGGTTCGATACGATCTGCCTTTGTGATATTGTAACCGACAAAGTGTTGCACGACGGCCTTCTTGGTCTTGCCCCTGACGTCCTGGTGGGAGCTTTCGAGATGACCTTCGACGGCATTGATTGCGTACCCGTGCACTTTGCAGATAAGTGCTTTGTACCCTGGCAGATAGACAAAAGTTGAGATTGCTTCTTGAACGCGTTGCTCGTCTTCAGACGCGTTGTTCCAGTGTACTAACGCGGTGGGACTGGCTGGGGTTTGGGGGTCGGTGAAAGTGTTGTTTGAGACTCTGAATACACACTCCATTGTTAGCGGTTGTCGGATTTATCTTGCTAACTGCTGAGTTACGGGCTATGGGAATATCCAAAATAAACGAGTAAAGAGAAGTGAAGAGTCTGGGATTCCTGGCACGGTGGGTGTATGCCCTCTACCCTACACCTCAAGCAAGTAGCGAGAGACACATCATGCAACCTCGGAACTCTAACGCGTCTATTACGCGTGATCCTGGTTGACTTTTTTTCTTGCTTTCTGCTTGTAATATATCTACTTACCTTAGCTTTATGCATGTCTTGGCCTAATGGGATGGTGTTGTATCAGCCAAGTGCGGGATTTTCCCCCGCTTCCGGATATGAATCCTTGTCGGGTCCAAGCCACGTAGCTTCTGCGCTGAACCCCCTTATCTCTTGCCCTTTCCTCTAATCACTCCGTCCCTCCTTCCACATCGCATACCCTTATCTTGCTCATCCGACTGATCGCTCTGGTCAAACCTACCCTTGTTTCCCCGCTCCCCTCTTGTTCTTTGTCTCTCTCGCTCTCTCCACTGCTGTTCACTACGCGTTTTAGCAATGGCGCGCATCAAACACGTCCGTGCTCATACGCTATATCGCTTCGACCCTGGCACTTCGAATGCGTCAGCTAAGTCTATTGGTGATGACGCTGTCGCCCAGCCTCCACCCCCGCCCCAGCCTCAGCCACAACTGCATCTGCAGCATTCGCAACCTCTGATTCCTGCTGCTGCTACTGAGAACGTTTCGCCGCCTGCAAGTCTCGAGATGATGCTTAGTTCGAACCCATTGACTGTATCGCAACAACAGAAGCGGTCCGGTCAATCGCTTTACAGCCGAGCGGAAGCGGGAGATGTGAATGCCCGGCTCCAAATGATGTCTCCTAACGAAGTCGAGACAGAGCTGCGTGCACGGAGATTGCAAGACAATGCGAACATATCACTGTGGGATTATCTCAACAATCCTGGTGGAAACGTCTCCCCATACAAGCTGCAAGCGAGATTTTGTCTGCTTCTGCCGATGTAGCCGAAAATGCTAGTGTTGATGCGGCGTACGTGTGGCGATGGGTGCAGATCAACAGCCTGTGGAACACCCATCCCGATCCTAGCATGCGTAGTGAGAAAGCCTTTTTGGCCAACGTCGGTAATGGCGATATCGTCCGGCTTATGGTCGTTGTTGGTTCGTCAGCACAGTGGACTAAGAAAACACATCTTGAATGGATTGCAGAGCACTGGGGCGAAGATTGGTATGACCAGATACCGGTATCTATACGACCTGTTGAGTTGGTGAAAAATCTCTCGAAACGGATAACGACCTATATTGCCATTACCTGCGCCAATGTGCCAGACATTGCAGAAGCTATTGCCGGCTGGCAAGCTGCGATTGACAAAAGAATCGACCCCACCCTGCGTAAGCCTGGCACGCGTCAGAAAAAAACCTCGAAATTGGTACTTAATGATTTCAAGTCCTATAATGAGAGCGTAAATGCCTATGCAACCGGCATCAAACAAGATCGACTCGAGATGAAGCCACTAGTTCCAGCAGTTCCAAAATCCACACTGGCTGTCTTAAATAAGAGAAAGCTTGCGGCACAACATGGGACTGCTACTAGTAGAGAACCGGATCCCAAAAGACAGAAGCAACATGGCAAAAACAGCGAAGCTATTGTTGTTGAGTCTGATGGTGAGTCTGGTGAGTCTGGTGATTCTGGTGCTGAACCCTTGGTAACCCATCAGACTGGTAATCATCGCATGAAAAAGTTCGTGGACATCGCATTATAGAGCCTGTCACACCGCCTCGTGGCTCTCCTGCTGCCGGGCTATCCCAGCTTCTGGATGGCATACCATTGAGCAGTCTAGATCATGAAGCACCGCGCTCGTGGCAAACGAACTCTAATGCGGCAGCCTGCGATGGGCCTGAGTTTGCACGGTTGTTTGCCAAATTTACAGAAATCTATGAGTACTTTGAGAAGCATGGCAACTCGTCTAGTCACCTGGTTCGCAACTGTTGCGACTCTTGTCGTGGCTTTGCTTTGCGGGCATTGGCATGTTTGAAAGCAGACCTTGTTCCTGCTGTCGCTGGCCTCGAAGAAGTTAGACAGCACAAATTCGGCGAGCGGAAAGTCATTGCCAGCTAACCCCAAGACAAATCGACTGGTCAGCATTCTTCTTACAAGCGCGCATCTAACCGGTTACTCCGGGTGGTTCATGATTCTTCAGATGAAGATAATGAAGAAATAAGTATATAGCATCAAAATGCAGCTCATTCCTTATTCAATACTGTCGTCTGTTATTGGTGTTGGGGTGACCTGGTTTGCTGCGGGTCGTGGCCGCAAGCCTTGGCAAACTTCGAAATCCTCGACCACCATGTTTCGACGACGATATCCTGCCAATAAGTACTTACATGAGAATTCTAAATGGTGCGATTGTTTTCGCATGTAAAGCCTAGTGACTTACCATTGTTTCATGAATATTCAGCAAGATCTGTGTGAGTTATAAAATGTACCTTCCGTCATGCCTTCCGTCCTAAAGATTTCCTGTTTCGGCAGCCAAGCCTCCCCGCTATACCTAATTTAGCATACCTTCCGATGGAAGGTATGGTTCCTATCAGCTAGGTATGGTTCCTATTAGCTAGGTATATCTCTGTTGTTCGGTCTCTTTCGGCAGCCAAGTCCTCCTAGAAAGCCGAGAAACTGATGCCACTCGCGGCTTACTGCCCGATACTCCGCTCTTCGGTTTTGTACATGACCGGCTGCTTCCTCTAGACCGCGGGCATATATCGTTCCTGCTGTCCATGAGCTATGCGCTGATTGTTGATCACTAGTACACTCTTCTAGACCATAGTCTTTCTTAAATCCACCGCAGGTGAGGTGGGTACGGGATATCGCGATAGAAAGATGCCGATAGGTCGTAACATTAAGCGCAGTGTTGAAATAGTTGCTTGTCTGCGCTTTAAGAACTGAAGTCAGCTTGTAGCTGTCCTTTCTCGAATCTGGCTCCCCCCAAAGGTAAGCAGAATGTGTGAGGTTACGATTTAGAGCAAGTGTTCCTAGCGCCTCAGAAAATGGCAGTATCAACCATAAATAGTAGACCATTAGCTCGCCGACTTCTCTAGGTAGGTATCGGTGAATGATTTTAGTAGATCCTGTAACGCTATAGCCCTTATGATATGTGGTCACGGTGCTTACGAGACCATCTTCGATAAATATGTTGCGGTGGTGCATTGTGTTCGTATGTCTGAGACTCAGTGTCTCTGTACCTCTCGCGGGCTGTCCTGATGTGATATGGACTAAGAGCAAAAGGATGTCCAAGAAGCGCGTAACCTTGCAGTCGTAATCTTTTGCAGCCTGAGCTATCCAGACGGGCTTTCGATTGACTCCTTTAATCTGAACGAACTCGTCTCGAAGCCAATCATTGTCTAAGACGCGTTTTAACAGCCACCGACGGCCATCCGGGAGTTCTTCCTTGTTGCGCGGATCTTGGAGGAAATTCCAGCCCCTTCGATTTTCTGCTGCATTGTCCTTAATCCTTAGAAGCTGCAGCATAGGCACGATGTCCTCCCGCTGCTCGTCCGGATGTAGTAGAAAGAGCTCTGCAAGGAGCTTCTGTCCTGTACTAACTGAATCTGCGACGAAAAGCTTGAATTGTGTCATAGAAAGCTCGAGCGCCTTATACGAGACAGTCTCCTGATCGTCTGACCAACTGATATACCCAAGGCAGGTTGTGCTATCTCGTACCTTTCTGCCATACATACGTAGTCGAGTTGCCCAGGCAAATGGGGATCTGCTTCCATGGATCAAAAACCTATCTCGCATATCGTCAAGAAGGTCGCAAGGGTCGTCTACCTCACCCTCTGCGACTGCCAAAACGGCTCTTTGTGCAACGAGCATCTGACTGATTTTGATAAAGCGAGACAAGGTAGGTGTAAAGGCGTTTGCATCCATGAAGATGCCTTTTTCTCATCAATCGCCATTATAGCGAAAAAGCCAACAACCACACTCTCGAAGAGATCACCCTTAAGCGTATGATCAAGTAGAGATATGCAAAAAGAAGGCATTCGCGATCGAGTTCTGCCTCCAATTGCGTAATGTCATGGCCCCTAGAATGATTTTCGCTTGCCAAAGGTGTATCGACTTCTTGTACAAACGACAAAAGCTTCTCTCCTTTAGCTAGAAGCCGATCGAGCAAGGCACCTTGCTTTGGTGTGAGTTGATGTGCGAGCTCGATGCCCTGATTAAATGCTATTGTCCGACAGACAAAGCAGATCAAGCGCTTCCATAGGCCCTTGTACTGACGATAAGATGCTTTTTGTAACTTGACCATGAGTGGTCGGTCAAAGGCCCGTGGACGCTGCATAAAGCTATTAATCCTTGTTTGATCGAAAACGTTGATCTTGTCCTGGCAGATAGACTCGTATGCTTGCTCTACAATCCGATCTAAGCTCTCTCCTAGCTGGAAACATAAGGGCCTCCTTTGTAGGATCCGCAAGGTGGGCGAGCGGTGCTAGGGTGGCAAAGGCGTGACCGTTCACATACCTAGTCCATCTTGTCATCTCTAACCAAGGAGAGGAATCAACTTTCGTCTGGCCTTGATCACTAATCTGTTGACAAGACAAGCGGTATGCCTCCTCTTTTGATTCAAGCGTAGATAGGATGTGCAAGGAGATTGTGTCTTTTCAGATCTGAAAACTCCAGCTTGTCCGCGAGGATCATTTTGTCTTGGACCTAAAAGCTGAGGTGTTTTAGGGTTCACCTTGAAGAATCGTATCCAGAGGTTGTTACGGAAGAACGTCTGGCAGCAAGAACAACTTTCCCACGGGACGATCCAAGTCTGTGCTGCTTTTGCACGCACATCGCCACCTCTTTTATTTGGGTTTACCCACTCATGGACAGATTTGCAATGCTGCTGCATCCCAGCAACCGACCTACATATATAACCACACTGCCGGCCGGCGCTATCAAGGCTTGTACACATGAGCCCGTCTTGATACGTTCTAAGGCACTCGATAGGCTCTGCATCTGGATCTGGGTATATAACGTCCTGGGCGGATCGTGCGACAGAGTCGCCTAGATCGTCGATGATGGACTGGATTCCTCTGATCGATTGACTACTAACGGGCGAATGCTGAGCTTGCAAATGGCTTTTGATTGCCTGTGGAGGGACTGCAAACCGACACGACCTGCAGATTATGATTTTGTATTGTGGCAGATGGGTAAGATAAGCATCGAATTCGTCCTTAGGAAACAACATGGATGACGAGTGACGAAAAGAAGCAGCTTAGAGTTTGATGGCAATCAATGTGAAGTTAGAGGGTAGGCATGTCCAAAAGATGGCTCAAGGTAAGGTAAGAAATGTCTAAGAAGTGTAGAACGCGTAGTGGTCAGGACGCGATGCGCGCTATCCGGCGCGTGGAACTAGCGCGTCAGCTTAGCAACCCCAGATGCCGGAGATACACTATGCTATTAGCAGCATGATGTTTCTTTGCTAGAAATAATTTGCTAGATAGTTAAGATGGAATCTTAAGATGTGGATAGCTTAGAAAATATGGTCTAACGAACATGCAAAGGTGTATAGAGGCTATGAGGTTGTGTGCATTTGAAAAGGTTCGATGTTGCGGCAAAACTCCGGAGGAAGGGTCAAAATGTTTGAAAGGTCGGATTGTTCGTGGCATGGAGGTGAGAATGGAACAAGAACAGATAGGGACATAAAAGGTAAAACCAGTAGGAGACGGCTAATAGGTTTGCCGTAGAACCAAGTAGCCTGATCAATTAAATCAATCAATCAATCAATCTAGTGTTAGCGGACACCCCTAGTGAAGGAATGACCATAATCAAATTTCTCCAAATGCTGCCCAGCAACTGTCGCGTCATATTCACTGGTCACAGTCTGGGTGGAGCTCTCTCTCCGATTCTGCCTCTGCTCCTCGAGAGTGCAGGTCTATTAAAGAACATTAGTGATCCCCGAGACAACATATTGACATTGCCCGCGGCGGGTGCAACTCCCGGCGAAAAAGTTCTGAGCGAGACATATAGCAAGATATTCCAAGTGAATCAACCACATGGATACAAGACATTCAATGCCGATCTCTTGAACAGACTTGACATCGTGCCTCAAGCATGGTGTACCGAACCCGCTCGATCCCCAGAACGCAACATCAACAACATCTTGGATATATATGGAGAATTGCCACAACCTTTGCACTTCGTCGTCAAGAAACTGATTCAGAGAGAAATTGGAGCAGCAAATTCATCCGGTGTGTTATACTACCCAATCCGTGGCAACGATTTCGAAGGGAAGAAGCCAACAAAAGCCCCATGGGGACTGGTTGGTTTCATGATGGAAGCGATCAAGCAGCACACGAAAGCATACCATGATCAGATAGATCTCACACAGATCACAGCTCGCTTGTATTCGCACTTCGTTGGGTTCGAGGGGATTGGAAAACAAAATCTCCATGCTGCTGCTAGGAGATATCCTGTCATCCGTTGGGCTGGCAAGGATGGCATGCTTGGAGATGATGGAAAGGATATCTACCCTCATGATTGTCTTCTCGATCATGAATGATTGATATGAGAATCAATAGCGTCTTGCAAAAATAACGTCAATGACCACTCACATAGTTTGAGATTTTTCTTTCTCTTGTCACGCACAACCGATCTTCCACGTACATGGCTGCGCATGTGAACATTGGAGCACAAATTCGATCGAATGTATTGATCATAAGCATCGTCTAGATATTTCTGGAGTTGCAACAGCGGCGCGACAGACATCTGCAGCTATTGGTTGCTCGACCAAGAAATGTCATCAGACAATATTGCCGACGACAGTCGGCAAATGTCAAACATGCAATCGCAACTTGCGGCAGGATCGGACCCTGACCAGCCGCCCACCGGAGCGCCCGCACAAACTCAAGGGTCAGGAAAAGCCCCTTCGGCCTCCCCACTCATCAGACAGCTGCAACATCGTTAACTCCGGAAGCTTGCAGCATACACCTTGCTTGCATGCGCTCCAAAAAATTGATTCTGACCTGCCTTCTCGTACCTTTCTGTTTGATCTTTCGCCTTTAGTGTTCCATCAGATCTCAGCATGGCCTATCCACAGACTTCGTTCGTTCACACTTCGCTTGACCCTGAGACTCTGCTTGGAAAACGTCGACAAGCAGCCGCCGCCAACACTTTGCAGTACCAGCTCGATGTACTCAAGAAAACTGGTCGCTATGACGCTTTCAGGTTAGAATGGCATCCAGTCTACGATCGCGCGCCAGAAGTGTGGCCAATCCCAGACCATCTCTTCTGGGACTCTGATGTTGCGAAATGGATAGAGGGCGCTTGCTATTTCTTACAACAACAGTGTATGCCAACCATCGCTGATGCAGTTGATGAATTGGTTGAGATGATCAGTTCTGCTCAGCAACCTGACGGCTATCTGAACATTCACTACACTGTGGTTGATCCGGGAAAACGCTTCACCAACCTCAAGGATATGCACGAGCTCTACAACTGCGGACACTTGATCGAGGCTGCACTAGCACACCACGCTCTTTACGACAATGATCAGCTTCTGAGCCCCATCTGTGCCTACGTAGACCTCTTGTGCGAGACCTTTGGCCCAGGGGCAAAGCAAACACACGGATATCCGGGTCACCCTGAGATAGAGCTGGCTCTTCTTCGTCTCTATGAACGCACTGGTGTTGAGCGATATCTCTTACTGGCAAGATACTTCATCACTGAAAGAGGCAACTTGACTGGTTGTGATGGAAGACATTACTTTGATGTCGAGGCTGAGAAGCGTGGCGCAGACCCAAACATGAAACCTGCTTTCTACCCCGAACCTCGGTCGCTGTGGTATCATCAGGCACAAGCTCCTATCGTTGAACAGCAGACTATCGAAGGTCATTCTGTTCGTGCAATGTACCTTCTCACCAGTGTTGCGGATCTTGTGCGCATGGAGACAGGTCATACCGAACTGCAAGCTGCAACATACAGATTATGGAACAACATGGTCAATCAGAAGATGTACTCGACTGGCGGTATAGGTGCTATCAAGCAGTGGGAAGGCTTTGGTGTCGACTATTTCTTGCCGCAAGGGACCTCAGAAGGTGGCTGTTACTCCGAAACGTGCGCTGCGATAGGTGTCATGATGCTGGCCCAAAGACTACTCCAAGTGAGTTCACACTCAATGCGATGGATTTGATACTCACTGATTGAGCCACAGATCGACCTGGATGGAAGATACACAGATATCATGGAGCTGTGCCTCTACAACGCTGTTCTCACCGCCATGTCAACTGACGGCAAGAAGTTTACATACGTCAATCAGCTGGCATCAAGCGATAAGGACCCTTCGAAACGCGATGATTGGTTCACAGTAGCATGTTGTCCCGTAAGTACCTACGGCAATGTTTGATGACAAACCTGACAACATTTGTGTCAACAGCCTAACATGTTGCGCTTGCTGGGAACGATCGGCGGATACATCTGGTCGTACGATGTGACCGCTGCTGAAAAGCGCGCACGCATCGATGTACACCTATATATTGGGGCAAAGCTCACGTTCGACTGCNNGGCAAGGGATATCATAGAGCTCGAGCAAGAGACCAATTGGCCGTCTTCCGGTGGCGTAAAGTTGAGACTGCGCTCTCAAAAGATCAAAGTCGACATTCGACTCAGAATCCCTGGCTGGGCAGAATCCTGGAGGGTATGTTGCAATCTTCCGATAGCATGGCCAAGAAGGCTGTACTGATCAGTTCAGATCACGCCACAGTGTCCAGATCTTGTGGTAAAGAAAGGTTATATCACGATCTCATCGAGTTGGCTGGAACAACATCCTGATTTCACGCTTTCGATACCGCTCGAGCCTCGCATACTAGTGTCTCATCCTCTTACCAACCAGAATACTGTTACCATCGCCAGGNNGGGTCCGGTGGTATACTGCGTTGAGGATCTCGACAATTCCTGGGTTGAAGACCATTTTGCAGTATGTACTCTCGGTTTTGCCAATGTACGGCGGTATCACTAATCATACCACAGAGTACTNCTGCTCAGCTCCACCTGCGAAATCACTGAAAGACTGGTGCAAAACCAAGACTTGGGAGATTCATATGTCGCCCTGACAGTCACATATGGCGCTTCTTTGTTGGACACAGGTGTAGTCAGCCAGACACCNTTTTTACGAGACGATGATGTCGGCGAGGGTAAGCCATTGTCCAGATTGAAGTTTGTTCCATATTACTTCNNCCGTGCCAACAGGGGCGGTAAAGGACACATGCGTGTGGGTCTCAAACGATCTGTTTGATGTCGAATGAACCTGCAGGCAGTGGTGCGAGACTTTCCATGCTCGGGCCGAAATCCTTGCTTTCGAAAACACTCGCGATTCCACACAGCAGATGGTGAGGATATCGCAGTTTTCTATCAACTTAGATACAGTCATCTAGCATCTTTGCAGTGGTTGACAGAGCAATACAAAGAGCGTTCGTTGCGACGTTCGCGTCGAAGTTTGAACTTTGAGTGTTGCATTACCTCGGCAAGCCGTGTAGTCTACAGTTCCGGAGGGGTAGCATCGCCTGACAGCTCTTGCTTCCAAGTATCCCCGGACCAAGTTGTGCAATCCTCTCTTCTCCTCCGCAGTTCAGCTCCATCCAGCCCTCGAGACTACTGCATGTCCCTCGTACACCGAGATCTTGCGCGCTTACCCTTCGGAGCTCGCATTGGGTGACCTCGGTTGGCAGGTTATGGCTGAAAGTGCCGCCAAAAATAGGCCGCTATCATGCCAATTTTGCAGCAAGAGCTTTGGACGATCTGAGCACTTGAAACGTCATATCCTGACTCACNNACCAGATCGCGTGAGTTCCAATGTCGTGTTTGCAAGAAAGCATTCTTTAGGAAGTAAGTGGTCGTGTCATCCTCGAACGTCTTGATTACCAGACTGAAGTTACCAAAGAGATGCTCTATCTCGACATGAACATACGCATCAGACACCTGGACCGAATCTTCTCCAACGTGGAGGTAGAGCCTGCATACCCTGCGCATCATCCAAGACCCGTTGTTCAGGACAGGCAACATGTACCAGGTGTCAACAGCGATCATTGCAATGTGCTTATCCTGAGGCATCATTGAATGACGACGATCCGACTCAACCACAAGCAAAGAGTCCTCGCACCAGCCAAGGTATGCTTTGACCGGGCCTCCGGTGGTGTGGTCAAATTAAACTCTGTGTGGATCTGACTTCTCGNAAAGATACCATCGTGATTGGGAATGGCGACGAGTCTGCAAAGTCTCTGGAGCATCTTTCCAGTCAAATCGCGTGCACTGAGCAACAAGCCCTGCAGAATCTGTCATATGGCATGGTTCCAGTGACACATCCCATTTCTACCTTGTCGCAGATGGGACTCACGACCGCACAATTCGAAGACTCAGCACAGATGATGATCAATAGTACGGATCATTACCAGGAGGTACAGAACACGACAGATCTGTATTCAGCACTACCTGTGAACTATTCGACGATCAATTGGCTTGGTTTCGAGGACGAAACTAGCTTGATCGGACTGGATCATGAATGGCAAGATCCCGATCATTCGTTCAATTTCTATATGCCAGCCAGTGATACCCACAGTATCTCTCAAGTTTCTCCTGCTGCTTCAAGAGATTTGGAAGCTATAGTCAGTGGCGCCACGACCAATCCTAATTACAATACGACGGCGACTCCGCAAGATGCAGGCACGACAAGTACCTTGGGTACTCCCGGACAGTTCTATGCAGATGGGGGTACGGCTCGGCTTCCACGGATGCGGAAGCGCCGAGCGATGTCAAGTTATGCAACACATGAGCACTCAAGGAAGAGATTCTCGATGGCCTTACCGGCAGGTCTCACATATCGACCATCCAAGGTTGAATGGATCGATGTTCAAGGTTTCGCAGAGCTCCAGTCTCATTACGCAAATATGTGCACCTCAGTCACAATGATCTTCGAGCCTTTTGAGGCTATCGAATTTCCTGAAAGTGCAGTAATCGACCATCTGTGTGACCTCTACATTGAGAATTGCACTCCTGTTCTGCCATTNTTGCATACTCCGACCCTGAGAATACAGAAGCAGCATCCGCTCCTTATCATGGCTATGGCAGCCATGGGCAGTCATCATCTCAAGAATCAGCAAGCAAGCCGGCTTGTGCTTTCGATGCACGAATTTGTCCGACGGATCCTGTTCTTCGCTACCGAATCTATGGATACGTTCCAGATGGACAGGATCACATATTACAGAGTTTTATTTCTGCATGCTGTTGCCGCCACCTACTGTGGGAATGAGAAACTGAAAGAACAAGCTTCCTCTCTTAAACCAACCCTTACAGCCTTCTTNCTTGGGGGTGACAGCGCACAGGCGACCGGAGTGCAAACAGAAGACAACTGGTACCAGTGGAGCAAAAGAGAATCATGCATTCGTTTGCGATATTGCACATGGCTTTTGGACTGTATATGGTCGTGCCAGTTCCAGACACGAACGATGCTCTCCTTGAGCGATGCGACGGTCCCGTTGCCGGCAAACGAGAAAGTATGGAACGCGACTACCGAAGCTCAATGGACCGAGCTTATGCAGAGTGGTGAGAGAACATTGGATTTGGCTTCTGCTGTTGAGGAGTTGTACACTCATAAGAGGGTCAAGGCGAACACTGGCGAGTTTGCGCGTATACTGTTGATCTATGGGCTTCATCGACGTCTGTCCGAAGTTGCAATGTACCACGGCCAAAGATTGTCCCACTGGGCTCCAAGGGACCTGACCCAGTCTGAGCACAATGGCCTACCGGATCTACCTATATGGCTCCCATCACTTCCTGTGTTTAGGCTGTGGCAAAATCTTACCTGTGATAGTCTAGATGTCTTGCATTGGACAGCGAATGCTACCATCGGAGAAGCAAGCGGATTTGAACATCCAACGGTGTTGCACTTGCATCTTGCTCGCGTCCTCCTGCTGACACCTATAAGCGAGATTGTGAATCTTGCACGGTATCTTGCCGGTGAAAAGGGCGCAAAGTCGGAAGTCGAAGTGATGATGGACCGACAAGCCGTCCACAGATGGGCTTTGCAACATCAGTACAAGGCTCGACTGGCAGCTATACATGCTGGTGTTGTCTTCTGGCATGTACGAAGATTCTCGGCAAATGCTTTTTACGAGCCGACAGCTGTTGCGCATGCTGCCCTTGTGCTATGGGCGTTCAGCGCTTTCTCTTCGAAGACAGCCACACCTCCTGGCCTGTCAGTCGATGAAGCTCGTCAATCCTCAGTCGCATCTACGAATCTCGATGCAGAGGGCAATAGTTCGGACAGCGAAAGCTCATCAGACACGATCATTCTTCTGGATCGTCCTGCAGATGATGAAATTGTACAAGAATTCGTTCTAAACGGACCTCGCATGCGGGCCAACATGACAGGGGTGGGTGATTTGTATGGCGAAAAGGGACCAGAGCGTGTAGTCAGGGAAGGAGCTGAAATCTTGAAAACGCTGGGCTGCTGGCGTGTGTGGGAATCTTGGGCAAAGACACTAGACAGACTGGTCGTGGTCTGTAAACGCGAAAGGAAAAGGATCAAAGATATTGCTGCTTTGGACAATCATGCGATGTCAGTCTCAAGCACAAGGGACACAACGAGGGAATAAAAGCACATTCGGCAGATGACCGCAAGATGATCGATCAATGCCATGTTTGGTCAGGTGCCAAATCCCCGGAGGGTTGAATGTGCGCTTGTTCCTCAGTATACAGTACCTAGCTCGATCAGGCGTAATTCCAATCAGTAAGCCTTCCAAAGGTCAGATCTCCGGAGGGGTCGACGAATTCGAATGACAGGGCTTGCTGTCTCTTGTACGATCGTGCGGGGAAGTCGTTCGTATCAGCCATCTCTGCGAACGTTGCACAACCCAGCTCTGGGCCGGCCTGTTCCTGTAACACACACGCAACACTTCTGACTTCGGATTCATGCTCCAAAACAAGAGTCCTTCCGGGGGGTTGACAGGATCCTCGTTCTATAAGACAATTCGACCTGGAATCTGGGGAAATCATCATCAGTCACACAACTGGTTTCGACAATAACAACGAAAAAACACTTCAACCATGGCTACGCACGAAAATGTCGTCCACGAGTCGGCAAGTATCAGTGAAACCAACATGAACACTACCGAGTTCCGAGCACTCATCGCTCAGGCACAAGCAAGTGCCGACCTCGACTCNAAATTGACTGTCATGCAAGCTCTCAAGAAGCATAAGAAAGCCGTCTTCTGGGCAATGATCCTCTCCACCAGTTTGATCATGGAGGGTTATGATCTTGTCATTGTACGAACAACAAACAACTCCCAGGCATAGTCGCTAACCTCTCACAGNATCAACTCGTTCTATGGTCAACCCCAGTTCCAGAAGAGATTCGGTGACAAGATTGGCCCTGAAAAGTGGGCTATCTCGGCTTCCTGGCAGTCTGGGTTGTCAAATTCGGCCGTCGTCGGCCAGTTGATCGGCCTGGTCTTGAACACGGAGTTCCAAGATCGCTTCGGTTCTCGTAAAACCATGATGTTCTTTATGGTCTGGTTGGTTGGCGCTATCTTCATCCCATTTCTCGCTCCTTCATTGCCTGTCCTTGCAGTCGGAGAAGCTCTTTGTGGCATCCCTTGGGGTGTCTTCCAGGTCAGTGGATACTGTACTATTCTTTGGGACTTTGATTGACCATTGTGCGTGCAGACTCTGTCCACATCATACGCTTCCGAGGTCGTTCCAACCATACTCCGACCCTACGTGACCGCCTACGTCTGTATGTGCTGGGGTGCAGGCATCCTCCTCTCGTCTGGGGTTGCTCGTGCTGCGATCACGCTCAACGGAGATGTTGCTTGGCGTCTTCCGTTTGCTCTTCAGTGGATATGGCCAGTACCTCTGTTTGTCCTGGCATATCTTGCTCCAGAGTCTCCTTGGAACGCTGTTCGTCGTAACAAGCTCGACCTTGCCAGAAAGAGTCTGCAGCGTCTAATTGATCAAGGCTCTGATCATGACCACGAGGTGGAATGTAATTTGGCATACATAATCTACACCAATGAGCAAGAGCAACTCGAGACCGAGGGTGCCAAACTCATTGATTGTTTCCGTGGCATAAACCTTCGCCGTACTGAGATTGTGAGGTTGGCTTCCCTAGCGACTGTACATTTGCTGACATGTTCTAGNAACTGCGTCGTCTGGGCTGCTCAGATTCTATGTGGTAATGCAATTCTCGGCTACAGTGTCGTTTTTCTTGAAGCTGCAGGTTTCTCTCCTGTTGCGGCACTCGACCTCAACATTGCACTATCAGCTTGCTACATTCTTGGTGGAATCATCTGTTGGTTTCTGTTTCCACGCCTTGGCAGAGCAACTATCTACATGAGTGGATTGACATTCATGTTCTTTTGTCTTGTCGCAATCGGCGGTCTTGGCTTCAGTACCAGCAAGCATGCTGAACTTGCAATCGGCATTCTGCTCATCATCTCCACTCTGGCCAATATGATCACCATTGGCCCAGTCTGCTACCCGATTGTAGCTGAGACACCCTCTGGTCGCCTCCGCTACAAGACCATCACCATTGGAAGATTCGTCTACAACCTGACAGGTATCTTCTCGAACAGTGTCACACCTCGCATGATCTCATCNAACTGGTAAGTCACAAGAACACAACTCACACCAAGACCGTTACACTGACGGTTCATCCCACCAGCATGGAACTGGGGCGCCAGAGCGGGGCTCTTCTATGCTGGCACCAATCTGCTCTGCACTATTTGGTGCTGGTTCCGTTTGCCAGAAACCAAGGATCGCAGCTTCGGCGAAATTGACACATTGTTCGAACACAAGGTTCCAGCCAGGAAATTCAGGACTACGAGAGCTGACCGTAAGTTGACTGTCCTCGGACATTGGCTTGGGCAATTGCTAATGTTACGCGGCNNAGAATTTGCTACTGACCAAATTGTCTTGGATATCAAGGAGAAGGAGATGGCTTCGCATGTGGAGTGCTTGTGATGGGATGAGAACCCGGATCGCAAATCAATCGCCATGGTTTCTGAAGTCGCACTGTAGCTTATAGCCCAGACTCGGTAGTCGTACCATCTCATTACCGATCAATATACAACCTGATCACGGAAGTTGCGATGGCGCGCGGAGATACTTCGAAAAATGCTCTGGACTTTTTCGTGTGGTCAGCCTTCTATGATAGTTAACCATATCGTGCACCATTGATCAATCTGTATGGACAGCCTTGACTTGTTGCCTCTCAAGCCTTGTTGTATTGGTACGCAAAGAATTATGATTGCAGATCTGAGATGAGGCTCAACTGGAAGGGATACAGATGGTACTTCGTGATGTGTACCTGAGTACGACTATACAGACGTCAACGCTCGTCATAACCCAACCCCCGCTTCTTGACCCTTGCAACAACAACACGCCCCACCGCAGTAACATCGATGCTCTACAATTCATCAGGGTGGAGGTAGCCGCGGGTCAATGGAACAATACGAGCATAAGAGGGGGACTGCCTACGCTCTCCTGGCGGATGCATTTCGACTCGGCGACAATCTCCCATTTCTGTACGCAGTTTGGTCCTAAAAGATGCCAAACACAACAACCATATATGTCCCTCACCTCGGTGGCATTGAAGCCTCGTACCAAACGCCCGGCCTCGACACCAAAAAGCCTACCTTGGTACTTGTAAACTCCTTCACCACCTCTTCCGAGCTCTACAAGACACAATATGCAAACAAAGATCTTACAGACAAGATGAATCTGCTCGCGATCGAGCTGCTCGGCCACGGACAAACACGGTGCAAGCTTGAGAACTGGACTTACTGGGACACGGCTCTGATGAACATCCAAGTTCTGCAGGAGCTGGAGAAGAAGGGAGAGATCGATCAGAGTAAAGGTGTTTTTGTGCTTGGCACTAGTCAGGGTGGTTGGATTACAGTGAGGATGGCGTTGTTGGCGCCAGACAAGGTCAGTAACAGTACATTCTGAAGTTCAACATGGGATTTGGATGGTGTAAACGTGCTGACACCATGACCACAGATCACAGGTATCATTCCCCTAGGCACAAGTCTCGACTTTGAATCTCCCAAAACTCGGGAGCTGGGCTGTTGGAACGCGCCCGACGATCTGACACCTACCATCGACTCATGGAGCAAACCCTCAGACTCTGCTTTCCGACCTGGCAACGAGTTCGCCGACTTTCTGATCGACATCGGTTTCGGTAAAAACTGCTCCTCCTCAGTTCGAGACTTCTGGCGCAACGAAATTGCCAACAATTATGTCGGCGAAGAAGGTAGGAAAAGAGCGAGAATGGCGACGATCAATCTTCGCGATAGAGATGGTTTGCATGGCAGATTGGCTGATGTCAAGTGTCCCGTGTTGTGGCTGCACGGTACTTCCGATGTCGTGTATTCAGTTGCAAACGCGGAGAGGGAGATCAAGATGTTCACTGGGAGCAAGGATGCCCAACTCAAGGTCGTGCAGGATGGACAGCATTTCTTGTCGTTCAGTCATCCCAAAGAAGTGGATGGTGCAGTTGCTGAATTTGTGGCAAAGTACTCTTGAGTCTGCGTCTTGCAGTTATCTTCCGGTATCGATGTAGCAGCCAGATAGACACAATTCTTGACGTTTCTTTTTATCTTCCTGCTTGCGACAATTGCGAACGAGGAAATCTGTGTTTGTGACATGATGAGCATCTTGATCCTGTCGTGTGACATGACGTAGATCATGATGAGCATCATAATGTCGATGATCATGATCACTCCTTCTTCGCGTCCATAAGCACACTTTGCCCATCGGTCAATCAAGGTTCTCCCAAACAAGAGGAGCACGGAAAAAACCTGGCATGCCGCGTGAGCCACGACACGAGAAAACCCCTTTTGATCGATAAGTACCGAGATCGACAGTTCGTGCAGACCCATGGACGCATGCGAGATAAGGTTGCGGCTCAACCAGACACATGCAGAGCTGACAGGACCAGGTTTCTTCGGTTCATGACAAACGGAGATTGCGCCGATCGAGAAATCAGCAGATGGCGTTCCGCATATTCGACTTCTTGCTCCTCTATATTCGCAGCAACAGCGTCAGAATTGGCCCCGAAAGCTTAGGACACAAGCAGAAGAAGTCAAGAGGGACAAGATTTGGACAAAAGCGCAATTGCATTCTTGACACGGGATGCTAGACATCTATAACTAGTCACTTTTCCACCATGATCATCACTTCAATCTCAGAAACCCATCTCAATAAATGCTTTGTTGAACAAGCAACTTCTTCCACCGCAGAAACAAAATCGCTGAAATGCAAAAAATGCCAACAGCCGTCAGATCATGTCGTAAATTAAGTCGTATATTCGCTTGCCATTTACTGGGCAGCGAAACCAAGCTGAGGAGTCGAGTTCTCCATGGAGAAGACGACAAAGTGAGCCTTCAGGAAAATGTCACCGAAGATGGAGATACCAGAACCGGCGCTGGACTGGATACCACCGTAGCACTGACCACCACCAATGTTGGCGTAGTTGATGTAGCTGCCGGGAGTAACGAACTTCTTACCACCTATGACGGCGGAGAAGCTGGGAAGAGAGGCAGAGCAAGAGAAGACGTAACCACCCTGCTCGTCAGAGTACTGAGCGCTGGGGATCTGGTTGTAGTAGGCGTCAACAACGTTGTCGGGGAGGAGCATGAGGGTGGTACCAGTGTCAGCAATGGCAGAGTAGGAGCTGGAGACAGTGGAACCGCTGCCGACGGAGTAGCCAGTGGTGGTGAACTGCCAGAAACCGTTTCTGGTGTTGACGGGGACGTAGGTGATGGCTCCAGTGTACTTGGAGGTGTCAATGTAGCCGAAGTCGTAAGATCCGGGACCGCCCTTCTTCAGGTCGACGGTGAAAAGCTTGCGAGCAAGAGTGTTCTTGACAGTGTCGAAGAAAGTGGTCTGCTGGTCAGGGCTGACGGTGTTGATGGACGAGAAGGCAAGTCCAAGAAGACCGTCGTTGTTGGTGTCCTGCTGGAACTGAGCAGAGATGGAGGTAGCAGCCTCGACAGCCTGGGAAGTGGCAGTGACGGCACCAACAACGACCTTGTCAGCGTAGACAACACCGGAAGCACCAGAGCCATCGCCGTAGCTGATATCCCAGGTCTCGCCGCTGAGTCTGCGGCCGTGAGCAGTGTTGTAGACAGCGTGGCCAGAAGTCTGAGAAGAGGCTTGCAGAGTGGAGAAGACCCAGAGATCGGCTGATCCAGTGTCGAAGTCGAGGTTCAAGGTAGTACCACCAACGGAGACAGGGCAGAGGTACTCAGAGTCGCCGTTGTAAGAGTTGGCAGTGACAGTACCACTTTGCTGAGCAGCAGCGGCGGCCTTCTGGACGACGCTGGGAGGAGTACCACCAGTCTTGTGGATGGCCTTCGCGAGGGCAATGGCAGGAGCAGCTACCTTGGTGTTGCCAGTGGCGACCTGAGGAACGGAGAACTTGACATTACCAACGCTGGCTCTGGGCTCGACGGGCGAGGCAGCAGCGACAGCTGCAATGGCAGCAATGGCAGCGAGAGTCTGCTGCATGGTGGAAGATGGAAGCGATTGAGAAGAGGAGTGAGTGAGTGATGGTGATGATGGTTCATGTCGAGGGAGGAAGGCATGTTATATAGCACGAGTCAAGCATTGATGGACGGACTAGCTCGGTTCAAGAGCGAGTCGTGCTCGCCTCTGGAGGCCCGGTCGGTCGTGTGAAGAATTACCTGCATGGGTTGAACGGCCAATGGTGTTGTACAGAGTAAAGTTTTGATTTACGGACGAGAGAAGATACGGATGATAGATGCAACATTCACCCGCAGCTGCCTTTCTTGTCCTAAACCACATATTAGCTTCAACGTATAGTGTTCAAGAACAGGGCAAGAAGGGGAGTGATAGACAGATCTACAGTCCAGGACTTCGGTTGTTAAAAGGCAGTCGCTTGGACCGCGTGCAGCGGGTAGGCTAAGATGCGTGAAGACATGCTTGGTGCAGTTAAGGGCGAGTAAGCTTGAACTAGTTGGCATGGCACGCAGGTCCGTGTGGGCGACTGTTCGTACGGCCTTTCTGGAGTGTGGGGATCCCCCACCGGCCGCAGATCTATCAGTTGATACCAAGCCGAATTGGGCAGCTACCAGCGTTTCAGCGCGCGCATTCTCGCAAGCACCTCATCTTTTCGACCTCGGTATCTTTTTCGGACGACACTTGCAAGTGGCCTCTGGGGAGTGCTGAAAGTCTGATAGGCCATTCCCTGAACAAGCAAATTTTAGAGCAATGTCGCGACTAGCCAATTGGACGAGCGCGACACGAGTGAGTAGCGGCCGAGATATGTAAGAGACGTCTGGTGCTCATGCAGGCTCAATCAATGTGAAGATTGCGCCAGGATTGCACCTTCTCGAATCATGGAACATGTGGGCAGGAATGCGGCGTGAGTGGCGGTGAATGTGCGGGAGAAGCAATCTCGAGTGTTCGATTGTCTGAGGCGACACGTTTGTATGGGAATGGCAGCTGTAACGGGCTTGGATTTGTGTTGTCCGCCACGGGTGCGCCATGTCAATCTTTGCTTGTGACAGACTTCCAAGCACAAAGGGCTTTGGCATGCTCGTGACAGATGGCAGCTCAGCAGGGCAAAGTGGAGAGTTTCCTTGAACTCGTGTTGATCATTAGGAAAGAGCAGATGGGAAAGCCGAGATGAGCCCGTGTAATTGCAAAGCTTATCACATTGCGGGCCAGACCGGCGCGCTTTGGTGCGTGCATCGCATGTGCGCACCCGACAGACCACATGTGACTCTTGCTTGCACCACCGGCTTGCTCCATGCTGCACGCTTGTTCAATCTTCATATTGACAAGTAACCACGAAAAGGTCAATCACTCGTATAACGCTCATTTACTGCTTCTCAAAGAGGCAGGAGCGTGTTGCAACAAATATCACGCAATAACCCAAGGGCACAGACGCCTCTTGTGTGATATCGAACCTTAAGCAACAAAGCAACAGCGTGGGGGTGCGAACAAGACCGACGATATGCGATGCAGATGGATGAAAGGAAACTTGACATTAGGTAATTACGAGAGGTAGAGCGATTAAGCAGTGAAGGATTGGGCCTTGATGATAACGACATCCTCAATGGGTCTGTCACCGGCACCAGTTCTGACACTTCCAATCTTCTGCACGACATCCATGCCGTCAACGACCTGGCCAAAGACGGTGTGCTTGCCGTTCAGGTGAGGAGTAGGGGCGAGGCAGATGAAGAACTGACTGCCGTTTGTGCCAGGACCGCTGTTGGCCATGGACAGAACACCAGCGCCAGTGTGCTTGAGCGAGCTGTCGAACTCGTCTTCGAACTTGCCACCCCAGATGGACTCTCCACCACGGCCAGTACCTGTGGGGTCGCCGCCCTGAAGCATGAAGCCGGGGATGATGCGGTGGAAGATGACGCCGTTGTACTTGCCTGCGTCGGCGAGGCCTGCGAAGTTCTCACATGTNNCTGTATCGCGCTCTGTGTCAGTCTTGTTCCGAGACGCAGTCTGGATAACGCGACTCACTCTGGGTGTCTTGTCGCTGTACAGGGCGATGGTGATGTTGCCGTAGTTGGTCTCGAGCAAGACTCCGTCTGGCTTGCCGCCGGATGTGGGTGCGCGGGCGCCGGTGGCGGACGAGGCTGCGGGAGTGGTGCTGCTAGTCTGAGGTGGAGGTGCCGAAGAGGTCGTGGTGGCTGCCGTGTTTCTCTCTGCAGTGGTGTGCGAAGGGGTGGCCGATGACGACGACGAAGAGTCGTTCTTGTCGTGCTTGAAGATCTTCTTGAGCTTGTCCATTGTGCTTGGTCGGTCTTCTGGGCGGTATGATTTGGGAGGTGTGTTGGCTGCGTGGAGCATGGAATAAATGAATGTGATGAGTCGGAGCGGGCGCTGAGGAAACAGCAGGAGCTACCCAGCCTACGTCATAAACTCAGCCCACCTGCATGACGATGCGACGACCGGTTTTCTCCTTGCGCCTGCCGCTCTCGTACGTCTGCAAAGGATAATCTCGACTTTGTCTATAGCTGTCATTCTCGAGCTCAATACATACAAATAGAATGAAGTCTTTCGCTGGATCCTTGCATTCTCAAAGGCGTATAAGCGTTCGTCCCTGTCTCCGGTCGATCTCCCGAGCAATCTTGGCTGGGATGTCCGCTCCTTCCTTCCCGCTCCGCCGCGAACATGTTCCGCTCCGCTCAAGCCGCTCGGTGGTAAACTTGGCAGATAATCGTGACAGGGTTGTGCAGACATTAACACATCCGAAGTGCTCAAGTGTGTTTGAACGGGCAGTCTTGAGCGAATCTGCCTGAGTTTCGTTTTAACAGAAGCTCCGTATTAACTGATGGTCTTCATGTGCGTTTGAATCGAGAAGTCGCACCTGCTCAATCGTGGGCACAAAATCAATTCTTTGCTTTGTGCTTCGGTCACAGCTGGCTTTGGTCAACACACTGCACAGGCAAAGATACCACCTACTGTCTTATTTCAAACAACAAAATCTGTCCAAGCTATACGCTTCAGTTGTTCCTCATTTGATGATACGTCAAACTTGACCAAAGTAAAATCAATTGCTTCTGTTGAACTGTGACCTTGATGAGGCCGAAGAAGCTCCTTGCTTGGTATGGTTTGGACCATCCTCAGACTGCTCGTGAGCTCTTGCCACAAGCCAACCCATCCCACCACCTGCTGATTACCAATACAAAAGCTTATGGTATAGAGAGCAATGATTAGGAGAGTATGTGGATTAATGAGCAAGCCGACTACCTGGTGCAGCTTCCGGGTCGCATCTGATAACCCCGCTATCTACGAAAGGAATCGTCATGATTTCTGCGCTAAGTTGCCGAATTCCGCGTTGCCGCAGCGATCTTTAACCAAATTCGCGGGGTTTCATCGCCTTCGCCCTCAATTTTTGTCCGAATGTTTCTGCCGCATGCAACCGCTTCGAGGAACACACGGCACTTGACAAGAGAAGGGCGTGAAGCAGATTATTCAGCTCCTGAGGGCTGCATCGGTGCCCTACCCGCGCCTGCCTCTTGCTCTTCTTCTCTTCTTCCCCCAGGATTCTTTCCGTCGCAGCAAACCTTTCGACGCCAAAATGGAGCGTATCGAGCGCTTGCTTTCACGGCCGACCGCAAAGCCGTACAGATCGCGGGATATCGAAGCATCGGAAGAACCATGGCTCAACGAAGATGGCTTGCTGGACTTCTCACCTGATGATATGGAAAACCCCAAGAATTGGTCCAAAGGTCGTCGTTGGTACATTACAGTGGCATCCGTCATTCTTGTCGTCAATGCGACATTCGCATCGTCAAGTCCCTCAGGTACTCTGGATGGAATCGCTAGGGATTTGCACGTCTCCACAGAAGCTGCTGGTCTTGTCATCACTCTTTTCTTGCTGGGTTACTGCGCTGGACCACTAGTGTTTGCGCCATTGTCCGAATTCTATGGTCGTCGTTGGATTTTCTACATCACCTTCACCATGTACCTGGCCTTCAACTTTCTATGCGCCTTCACACCCAATTTCGGAGGTCTCCTTGTCGGTCGCTTCTTGACTGGTACTTTTGCCAGTGCCTCTTTGTCCAATGCACCTGGCGTTCTTGCCGACATCTGGGGCCCAATCGAACGTGGCAATGCCATGGCCACCTTCTCCATGATGACATTCGTTGGTCCCGCTCTCGGCCCTGTCATCTCTGGTTTTCTGGAGCTCAAGGAAGATTGGAGATGGAGTTTCTATGTCCTGCTCTGGCTGGGTGCTTTCACCGAGATTTTGATGTTCACTATTCCTGAGACTTTGCCGTCGATTGTCCTTCTGAACAAGGCAAGAAGAATTCGAGCATTGAAGATCCCCGGTTACGAGGACGTCAAAGCCCCTGTTGAAATCACCGACAGGACTCTTGCTGGCATGTTTGCTGTTGCTTTGACCCGCCCTTGGAAGATTCTTGTCGACCCTATCTCGTTCGCAGTCGCCGTCTACCTCGCTGTTGTGTACGCTTTGCTGTACATGCTGTTCACCATCTACCCCATCGTCTTCCAACAGAAACGTGGCTGGAACTCTGGTGTCGGTGAGCTCCCACTGATTGGTACTGCAGTCGGCGCAGTCATCGGTGGAGCTATTATTTTCACTGTATCGGCGCGTGACAGAAAGAGACTGGCTGCTGGTCACAAAGCTGTACCTGAGGATCGTCTTCCAGTCGCAATGATTGGCGGTATCCTATTCCCAGTCACCATGTTCTGGTTCGCATGGACCGCGAATTTCAACAGCATTCACTGGATCGTCCCCACAATCGCTGGTGTCTTCCTTTCAACCTCGATCCTGCTCATCTTTGTCGCCTACCTCAATTACCTGACCGACACATATCTTATGTACGCAGCGAGTGCGTTGGCAGCCAACACGGTCGCTCGTTCAGCGGCGGGAGCCTCTGCACCACTCTTCACACAGTACATGTTCAATGCTCTTGGTGTCGGCGGTGGTGGCTCACTCATCGCTGGCATCGCCTGTCTGCTTGCGCCCATTCCATTCATCTTTTACAAGTATGGAGGTCCAATTCGCGAAAAGTCGAAGTTCGCTCCTACCCCAGCCAACAAACCTGACGAGCCGCCAAGGGATGAGGAGAAGGAGGATGAACCCTTGGAGACTGAGCCGAAAGAGGACTTAGCCACAGATCATGACCATAGCAACAGCGAGACCGATGTCTCTCGCGCTCCTTCCCACACTCTGGAAGAAATCAAGCCCGAAAACAGTACGACCCCCTGAGTGTCAGATCTCAGATATTTCGTTTCTTGTACATACCCCAGAATTAATTGAAAGCTTTTCACTACAAAATTGTTCGAGAAACAATCTCTCAACCACCATCCTGTGTGCTGATTCTGGTTCCAGAGCAACCACTCAGTCGGTGAGAATTTGTGGATTTTGTCTATTTCACCGCAACACGACTCTGTAGATGGTCAAAGCTCGATCACCAGAGGGTCCACTCCATATGAATCTGCAATATAACACTTCGCTACACGACGAAAAGTAGCAAATGGCCGTGCTGTTGAGGACCCTTCGACGATTTTCGTGGCCTCAAATTCTAGGTCAGGCTCAATCCTTCTCAACTTCAGAACATATGTAAAGGCAGCTTGCCATCTCCCCCCTGGCTCCAGTATCGCATCTCATCCAGCATTCACTCTCATCACTACTCATCATGGATACTATCGTACCTTCAGCCAACACGGTCTTTCCCTCTTCAGATGGCATCTTGAAGTCAATGAGCGCGACCGTCTCCGAGCTCATCGACGCTGTCGACCTCAACAGCCCGACCGCCCATGCTCTTGAACTTTCTCACCTCGAGCAGGCCAACCCTCGTGGTTACACACGCCCGATGTTTTTCTTTCCTGCAGTCAAGAATGTTGATCAGATGCAAGTGGCAGAGATCTTCCGCATAGCCCTGAAGCCAACACTGAAAGCCATGCCGTCTCTGGCTTGTGAGATTGTGCCAGTTGAAGATGGAAAGACACCGACTGGAAGAGTCGCTCTCAAGCATGGCGACTTCGGCTCATTGATTGTCAAGGACGTCCGAGGTACCGGTTTCTCATACGAAGAGTTGCGCAAGCAGAAGTTCCCACAATCACGACTTGATCCTGATGTGCTTTGCGCTCGTGGTGTTTTTCCTATGCCGGGTGAGACACAACCCGCTTGGGTTCCGCAGCTGAACATCATCGATGGAGGTTTCATTCTTACCCTCCACAACCATCATACAATTTACGATGCGCAGGCCATCAACGAGATTCTCAGAGTGTGGTCCCAAAATTGTCGACACGTCCAGAATGAGGCTGTGCCTGCGTGTGACTCTCTTCCTGTCGAACAGTTCGAGAGATCTGCTCATATCACTGAGGGTGCAGCAACAGAAGAGTTGGGTCGTCCTGAACAACATCCCGAGTTCATTGTCACTCCTTTCAAACTCGCCTGGCCAGAGACGGCTTTCAGAAACACTCATAGACAGCGCGTCTACCGTCTATCTCCCAAAGCACTGGCCGAACTCAAGAACGACTGCACCGAACCTGGCGACTCTTGGATCTCGACCAATGATGCGGCAACAGCGCTGCTGTGGCGTTCCATCATCCGCGCTCAAGCCGATCTCGAGACACTTCCTGAAGATGCAATGTCGCACCATATCGTTGTCGTTGACCTGCGTCTTCGCTCCGACCCCCCTCTCTCAAAACATTACCCAGGATGTCCGATGAATTACGCTCGACCAGGCATGAACTTGCGCGAACTCTGCAACTCTACTTCGCTTGCTCCCCTGGCTCGTCTCATCAGAGATCAAGTCGACACTCGCACTCCTGAGTATACCAAATCTCTCATCGCTCTGCTCAACAACATTCCTGGCTATGGTCACTTTGCTTGGACGTCTTTCCCTTCGATGCTCACCACTGATTGCATGACTTCCACATGGTACAAACTCGATATCCTGGATCTTGACTTTGGGCCTGCTATCNNGAAAAAAATCGAGAGAGTCAGATTCCCTACTGCAGGTCTGTTTAATGGGCTGAGCATGATCTATCCTCAAATCACCAGAGGTGGCCCGGAGAAATTGGGAATGGAGATTGCGGTTGGAATGGAGAAGCAGCATTTTGAGAAGTTGGACAAGGATCCTGTTTGGTGCAAGTATGCTGAGTTGACTGATCCTGGGTATGATTGTATGTAGACATCGATCTGCTATTATGGTATATGAGTTTCATACTAAGATGTTTTCACAACATGTTGGTTTGTAGCCCCATGCCTTGTCGCAAATTCTTGGTCGCAATAAAGTGTGCGGCGGTCAGTACAGATTTCCAGCCACGTTCTCTATATCCAGGGTATTCACGGTGGTATTCCTGCATTAGATGGTTAGCCTGCATGATCAACCTCTCGCATAACCCGGCTTTTAATCAATCGAACCTGTCAATAAGGCGAGGATAAACAATCTGCAATCTATGCGCTGGCCATTAAAAGTGGGGATACACTATACAGCTGCCAATCAAAGTTCTGGATCAGCAGAGCAGCACAGCGACAGAGCGAAGGAACGCCTAATAGCAGGATCGTGCATGCGGTTTCCCAAGATAGACGCCCGATGGCTGGGCACACACAGATTTCCATAAATCAGCAACCACGACTCCGCAGTTATCGCTTGTACAGCCTCACAATTGTCAAAAGATCACGCAAACACCAATTCTTGACGGTTAAGTACAGATATCATGTGGTCTTGCCGCGCCCTACGAGACAGAGTCAGAACAGATTATCGCAAAATAAAGTTATCGATGTAAGTCGAAACCAATGCCCAAGAGACTACAACGCTGAGGCTCACAAATGGTAGTCGGGCTAGGAGGATCGCGACAGCATTGCTGTTTCTGGTCGTGTTTGCTTTATTACCGATGGCTCTCTGGTTCGGATGCATCTCATCACCTTTCACGGCCTTACCCATCTCATGTACAGACATGAAAGATTCATATGAGCCCATAAAACACAACAGCAGTGGTGGCATCCAAACTCTCCTTACTATCGATCGGACTATCAAAGCGTATCCCTTTTCGACCGTCAAATTCATCGATGTGGTTTGGGATTTGTGTGTCGCTCGGGGTTTACAATTTTTCGCCGGCTGGGTGAGCTATGCCGCCATCACCGGAGGCGTGGTACGCGCCATGCAGTCAGGTCCCATATCTTACGACATATTCATCGGATTGGCTCTAGACGGATCAGGTGTGTCGGCGATATACACGACAGCGATACACCTCTTCCGCTGTCGACCACTGCGCACTGCAATTCTGCTCGGCAGCATGATTCTGTCAATGGTATATGTCGTCATGTTTCCAACTCTCTTATCCGCAGCCACGGGCTACGTGGCTTCCACAGAGACATATGTAACATTACCCGAGACGGACCAGCTTGTGCCCGCTCGTGCGGTAGCATGGTTCGACCTAAAATTCAGCTTACAGAACAGCAGCGAGCAGTATTGTTTGAGTGCCAGTTCTTATTCCAGTTCTCTTAACGAGTCTGAGAATTTCTTGTCCCGTCTAGCAAGCAGATGTTGTGCTGTGAGTGATCTGCTTTTCGACTACTTGCTATGGTACTGAAACACCGCTCAGGTAAGCCGGTCAACTGTCGTCGCTTTTACTTTGGCGAACCTTTGAGCGACACGGATTGGAATACGCTCTGTCCTCATGGACTTCTCAATGCAGTGTCCTGGAATGGATCGAAATGTAAGCATGGTGCAGTATGAAGCCTTCGCAACTTCTGACTAGGTTTTACAGGCGCCTTCGAAGGTAATGGTACTTTTGAATGGCCAGACACAAATGGTTCGATCACAAAGTTAGATTGTAGGTTATAGCCTGAGAACCTTACTGCGCCAAACTGAATTAGAGACCAGGCAATGCACCATTGAACATGACCATTAACAATATCACTTTCGATGGCTGGAGCGCTGTCTCAGCACAGTCAAATAGCAATGGCAGTTATCCCAGTAGTAGCCAAAAGTGCTACAACGGCAGAGTCATCGACGGCGACCATGATTACTTTTACGAAACAGCGCAATGTTTGCCAGCTCTAGGAAATGCTAAAGACGCTCGCTACGAATGGGGCTTTTCAACAGTCCTGATGTCGCTCATCCTCATCACGCATTGTATCTGGTCGCTGTTCGTACTGGGTCTGTGGTTAGATGCTGAGCTAAATGGTATCTTGCAGCAAGAGGGAGGCTATGAGATATCCCAAGTCTGCGCCGCGTTGGTCGTCGCCGAGGCGGCCACGAGAACAACTGGCGGTTCCTTGGCCGACCTGATCTGCTGTACGCCGAAGGAGATAAGGCAAAGATTAGGTCGTAAGGACGCGACTATTCCGTTCGAGGTACTACATCAAGAACCAGGTGTCCTCCACGCAAACCTCTCGCCTGCTCCCGATGACGCGGTGTCTGCTTCAAGTCTACTGCAGAAACAAACACTCGTGCAGCACCCAACAAGCAGCGATGACAAGGACAGTGGAGATGAGACCCAGGTGTGTGCGGATATGACGGAGGAGCGCCTTCTCTAGAGACATGCGCAGCTGAGATTTGGAAAGAACGATCAGCGCGCAATTCCGCTCAAGCCATATTCTGGGAATGATCGTGTGTGAGATGATGAGGAAAAAGTTTATCCGGCAATATTTCCAGCCAGAAATCAGGAATCGTAGGCAGCTTCTGGAGATCGTCTGTCTCTGTCAACGAGTAATGTGAATGGGAACTAAAAACGTTAGACGACTCTAGACATATGTACCAATCGGCATTCCACTACGTCTGTTCTTGCCGTACTTCTCATCCAAGTACTTTGTCCTTTCTTGCTCTCGTACCGACCCATGACGCGCTTTGACACAAGCTGTAAAGTGATCTCTCTCTATCACAAAATGACCGGAAGCATCGTCGTCGAATTGCCTATCTGTCTGCGTACCTCCGAGCAGAACCCAAAGCTTGGGTGCGGCTTTGTGCAAGAGAAGTGCTGCACTGTCAACTCGTTCGTCCCTGTAGAGCAGNNGGACCGTCAGCATTGTCTCTCNTCTGTCAGAAAGTGAATATTGTAGTAGGTACCATGTGTGTTCGCCTTGAGGCTCGATAAATTGATGTACCCAAAGTGATTCCAGCATTGGGTATAAGAGACCATCACCTGTGTGAGACTCGAGAATCATCGTACTATCGTATTGCCCGCGAAGACCAAGCGATTTGAGGCCTTTACAGATCTCCCCAGCTTTGATATACAACTGAGCAGTGTTAGATATCGTAGCGTTGACCCAGAATCTGCTCAGTTGCGGCATTGCTCGAAAGAATGATATGAATTCGCCCGTTGTGATCGACGATAGGTCAACCTGCGAAAAACCGAACCCGTTCCATGAGGAGATCTTGATGCTGCGTAGATCTCTTAACCCCATCAAGAACTTCCATTGTGAATATCCGATAGCCACTGCGTCACGGAAGCGTAAATCAAGATCTTCAAGGTTGCATAGGGTAGCCAGGGTTTGCAAGATGGGCGTGGTATCAATGACACCAAGCGACAAAGATCTTAGCGTGGGAATTCCGCTAAGCAGATCGATCGCAGTCGAATGTAACCCTCCCAGATCCAATCGAGTAATACTACGGAGTGGGAATGTATTCGTGGCTAGCACATAGTTGCTGACCGCGGATGTAATTTCATAACGAGGTAGACGAAGTTCTTTCAGGTACACCAGAGACGCGATCGCAGCAAGAACATCCTTGTTGATGAGAGCCTCGATAGTCCAGGTGAGCTCCAGAACTCGAAGCTGAGAGCATGCTTTCGTAACATTCAAAAGTTGGCTCGATGTCGCATCCGGACTTTGACACCACAGTTCAAGAGTGCGAAGGTTAGGGGCGTTGAGCAGTGCTGTTAGGATATCGTCCGTCAAATATGTACGTAGGAGCTTCAGCTCAAGCAGACCCCTTCCAATGAACTGAGAGGCCAGACAAACAAAACCAATCTTGTGGTGTGACCACTGTGTAACTTTCAGAGTCCTTAGAGATGGAAAGTTAAGTTCGAGTGCAGCAATAAAATCGGAGGCATTGGTTTCGTTCAAATTTAGATGGTGGATCTTGTTCGCATACCACTGTTGGCGCTTGAGAGGTAGTCTCGCGAGAGATGCAAGCGGATCTTCAGCCTGGGGTCCGATGTATCGTCGTGTCTCCCACCAGATGTTCGAAGCAATCTCTGCCCAGTCTCTGCAGACTAGCATGATGCTATGATACCGAGGCTCGGAACGAAACCAAACCTCATCTCCCACGCGATAAATGGCCAACTCGAGAGTGGCATACAAGATTTCTGGAGGTAATCGCTGGATATGGTTGGTCGAATTCAGAACTTTGAGAGAACCAAGTCGATTCTGGCGGGTCGATGGGACAAAATTCGAGGGCGGACCTAGAATTTTACGTATATCATTTTGGCTATGAGTAACTCTTTGGTACTTGGATACCATGCTGTTGCATCGAAGGTGATTCAGAGAAACGAGGAAGAGGAAACAGCAGTCGTAAGCATTATATACTCGAGCCAGGAAGGAAGGCGATCTCCCGCGCACAGACACTTGGCGTCTTGCCTAACATTCTGGGACCAAGTTCTGATCACCAGACATCTTGTTGACATAGCTGGGAGTGACTTTCTGTCAAGATCATGGTAGAATCCCAGGCAGTCATCCAGGTAGCGATCGGGTTCAAATTCGGGAAGACCGACCATCAGACTATTTTCGGCGTCAACTGCACTACAGGCGGCCTTGAGCGAAATCGAAGTCTTTGATGTATGAAGAGCCTTCAGAAAGAGCAGAAGTGGAATTAATGGAGCTGTCAGCTCCGTTGACAACAGCGCGTAGAGCCGCGACTTCTGGCCACAAAGTCACAGTAGAACTGTCACATGACTTGCAGCATGCTTGCAAGGTTCGGTCGTGTCCCCTTTGTCGCTGAACACATCGACCTCCATTCTGTTTTGTGAGATACGAGGATAATGAAATGGCAAATACGATTCCACAACCCGAACCCTTCGTAATCCAGACCTCGCGTCTGATCCTTGTGCCCTCTGTCTTCGCGATCCAAAACCCCGCTCACAGGAAGTTGTACTCACAGCTGCACGGTACACCCGAGTTCACAGAGATGGCCTTTGGTCCCGACTGGGGAATCAGATGCTGGGACGACAAGGCCATCACTTTCATCATCCACCGCGAGATCGACAGATCCTGACGCGTCCGAGGGATCGGAGATTTTGCCGTCGGATTGCGACAAGAAAGTCTTGCCGCTTCTGCTGTAGAGACGGAAACAAGCGAAGGCTTGGAGATTTGGAAGATCGACGGAATACAAGGATTGGAAAGTCTCGAGTGGATAGGCTATGTTGGTGTTCGAGACGCGACAACTACATCAATGCCCGGAGCGGAATCATATCACCCTACGTCACGCCCATGGACACAGATGATTGAGCTACGATACGGGTTCGACCCTGGGGTTTGGGGCCAAGGCTATGGTACAGAAGCCGCCAAAGCAGTAATGTGGTAGTGTGAAAAGCATATCGGAGCGGAGAGATTCGTCGCAGAGACAGAGCTCACAAACGTGGGGAGCGGCAAGATATTGAAAAAGTGTGGGTTCGAGGAGTTAGATGGAGACGAAGAGGTGATATGGGACATGAAGGGAACAAAGAAATGGGGGCGGTGGGTGACAGGCGTAGCTCGCCCAGAACGTGGACTTATCCTTAAGCCAGACCCTTAGCGGAAACCATGAAAGTGTCTCTTGTCGTAGGTTTCTTTGTCTGTAGCCTTCCATCAGTCAACGCAGGAACTTGGAAACCAACAAATCAGCAATAAAACCCAGGTCAAGTCATTGATAAACAAAGCAAAAACGAACATAGACTAACAATGGACATATCTTTACATTAACTATTGTCGTGTTGCTTGAATTCAGCTTTCTTTTCCTCCTTCATTCTACACGTCTTGAGTCAGTGTGACCTTCTTATCCTTGCTAGCGAATTGCTGCTCCGACTTCAGATCACGGTCAATAGAGTGACCTTTGATGAAGAAACTTGCAACGAGACCTGCCCCAGCCAGTGCACAGCAAGTTACCCAGACAACTTTGAGCGCATCAGCATAGCTCTGAACGAGCGCTGCCTTGGCTGGCCCTTCTTGCATGTGGCCGAGAATCTCCACCAAGGCGCTCGAGTTGTTCGCCCATTCTGATGCGTTTGCCGCAATCAACGCATGACTCATAATTTGCTTCTTGAGCTCGTTCTGGAAGATCACGCCGCCAATTGCAACTCCAACTGCCTGACCAAAAGTGCGCAGGAACGTGAACAGCGTCATGGCCGGAGCGACAATGGATTCGTCTGTGGCAGCCTGAACGCCGAACATTAGTCCAGGAAATAAAAGGCCCGTACCGACACCCGTGATGATCGAGTAGAAGACCCATGCCACCGTCGGCGTATCGGGAGCCAACATATACTGGAGGCCAAAGCCGAGTGTGGCGAAGAAAAAGCCACCCCAGATAGACCATCGATACCGGCCTGTCTTAGTCACGAGGATTCCAACAACCATACTGGCTGGTGCGATAGTGAATGTTGCTGGGAAGAGTGCAACGCCAGATAAAATCGGACTGTATCCCTTGACTGCCTCAAAATACAGCGGCTGGTAGTAGAGCATGCACCACAAGATCATGCCGTGCAGGAAAGTGCCGAGATAGACAGCAGCGTTGTTAACTGACTTGACAATGACGAGAGGTATGAAAGGCCCGACAGCAAACTTTTCTTCCCAGACGACAAAGAACACAAGGCCGGCAGCTCCAACCAAGAGGGGTATCAGTACTCGCCAGCTGGACCATTCGTACATGACGCCTCCCCAGGTTAACGGGATCAAAAAGCTTGTGACAGATGCCACAAAGACGACGATACCCAAGTAGTCGATCCGTCTGAGCTTGTCCAATGTCGTGCCAGAGATTTTGTTGAGCTTCAAGAAGAGAGTGATCATCAGACCACCTATGACAACAAATGGAATGTTGATCCGGAAGATCCAGCGCCAGTTAGTGTCATTGGTAGCAAATCCTCCCCCTAGATTGTGTTTAAGTCAGAACATCTGGGATAACGGTTGAGTTTGTTACATACCCATCAGAGGGCCGGACACGCTGCCTATAGCCCACATAGCACCGACCATGCTCATATAGTTGCCTCGCACCTTCAGAGGTACCAGATCCGTCGGAATGATCTCACTCAGGACGATGATACCGCCGCCACCGATACCTTGAATGCTGCGGCCAGCCAGCAGCACGGCCATCCCGTGGCCCCTCGGCGCGACCGATGCGACGATAGCACCAATGAAGAACAGAACCAAAGAGACGTACAGCAATGGCTTTCGGCCAAAGAGACCGCTGATGGAGCCAAAGACAGGTTGGAAGACTGTGCTGGTTAAGAGAAACGAGGTGCCGGCCCAGAAACTCTCGATGGCTGAGCCGTTCAGCACATGAGCAATTTTTGCTAGTGCGACAGAGAGCGAAGTGGCATCCAAAGCCGCCATCAGGACAACAATGAGTAGCGATACCCAAGCCAAACGAAAGCGCAAGTCAGGTTCGAATTCTCCACCAGGTGAGAGGTCGTCGTGGCTCGGCGAGTATGGCAGCGAAGACTTGTCCTCCATGTTCGTAATGCTTGAGCGTTCATCGTGTTCGACAGCAGACATGATGCCCTTATTTCAATGTAAAAATGTCGGAACGAAAATTATACGACTTGATACTGAAGCAGTCGAACGAGGTTCCGCAATGAGGATGTTGATGGTATAGAGTAATGCTACCCTGGCGGGAAAACAGACCTTTTGTATCGCACATTGTGATGGCAATGGTATGACATGAAATCAGATACCTGCGCCTCGGCCGAGCGACTTACGTATCTTCCTTCTACCGACGGTGGCATTGAGGCCCGCATCGTATGTTGATCAAGGAAGGACGCAGGACTGTGGTCTGGACATAAGTCACGGCCTGGGGTGTCGAGTTCCTCCGCAGCGCCGATTCCGCCAACTCTTTTGGCCACCTCGGAAGAACTTACTTCACCACTTCGTGCACAAACCTGCACCGACGGTCGGCCATCCGTACAACTGCGCATGACGGTCGAACCCTGAATATTGACCCCAAAAATTGACCCTGATGGTTCCTGTAGTTTATTCCGGCGCCATGTCGCGCTCAAGCTCCATGTCCATGTCCTGACGTGATCGAGCTTGTTCTGATCGACCCGCCGCCGTCAGTCGGACAATTGACACTCCATCACCTCAGACCATGGACGGGATGGCCATGTTTCCTGACCGGCTCCTTCGTATAGTAGGTTAACGTGGAAGGCAGGCGTGGGCTATTTCTGTCGCGAAGTCCCACGATAGATCACATCATACAGTAGCAAGTACATTCTCACGAATCAAACTCAAAAGCAACAATGGCTCAACACCCCGAAAACCAAGCAGCTTGGCTGAACGGGTCCAAGGCGACCTTGGTGGTTGGTGTTGCTCCTTACACACCTCCTGGCCCTGGCCAACTCGTTGTTCGCAATGCCGCCATTGGCATCAATCCAATCGACTGGCTAAAGCAATCTCTGGGTGAAACCATCCTCCCTCAAATCCGATACCCTACTATTTTCGGCGAAGACATTGCTGGCACTGTCGTCGCCATTGGTGATGGAACTACTCGTTTCAAGGTTGGGGACCGTGTTCTTGCCGTCGCTGGCCTTATTCCTTCGAACAACACTCCCGAAGGTGCCTTTCAACACTATACTGTCGTCCGTGAGTGGCTGACTGCCCCTCTGCCCTCGAATATCAGCTTCGAACAGGGCTGTGTCCTGCCACTTGCCTTGATCGTTGCTGGTCTTGGTCTCTTCGGAAAGGACTATATGGGCCTTGACCTGCCCACTGTTCCAGCCCGCCCGAAAGATCCAACCAGACGCCGCGTTGTGATCGTAGCGGGTGGTGCATCTGCTGTCGGCGGAACAGCCGTTCAACTTGCTGCTCATGCCGGCTACGAAGTCGTCTCTACCTCCTCCCCGAAAAACTTCGCTCTCGTCAAGAGTCTCGGAGCCTCGCATGTCATCGACTATCACGACTCAGATGTGGCAGACCAGCTTCTCAATGCCGTGCGTGGCAGCGAAATTGTTGGTGCTCTCTCGCTGGGTGACGGCACTGCAGATTACCTGGCTACTGTTCTTAACAGTCATGAAGGCCCTGTCAACAAGTTCATCGCGCGTGCTGAGGGCAAGCATGACGTCCCCGAGGATGGAGAGGTTGATGTCAAGTTCATTTTGATCTCACCTTCAGTCATCGGCCCAGAAAGCCCTTTGAGGCCTATCTTCGAAGGATACCTGCCCAAAGCCCTGAAGGGTCAATTTGTCCCAAGACCAACACCCGAAGTTGTGGGTAAAGGCCTCGATCAGATTCAGAATGCATTGGAGATTCTTCGGAAAGGTGTTTCAGCCAAGAAGATCGTTGTTCAGTTGTAGGGGAAAGAAGAAAGGCGTACACTTGGCAACATGAAGTAGATTAGAATGAACTGTGAGTCTGATTCTACGACAGCCTTTTGTATCTCTGATAAAGGAAAGATATGAACATATGAACATAGGTGTGTATAGAATTCAAGAAATGAAGCAAGGACCTAGAAGCCAGATCTGCATACAATGATTCCTCCTTCGTGAGTGAGTCGAGCGCCCGATAGATTGGTTGACTTTCTGACGTTGGTAGATTTAGTGAGCACTCCAAGTTAGTGCATGCACCGCATAGATTTCATTCCTAGGACCCGCGCGCGACCACAAGATCAAGACTTGAAACAAGGTTGAAAACCGAGTGAGCGCCTGCCAAGCACAGGACCAGTACATGGCATCGATACAACATCGATGGCACAAACGAGAAAAGGCTTGCGCGCCCAGCGACTATGTATATAAACTGATGACCTGATTTGAGTTTCAGAGTTCTATGGGTTTGGCGGACTTTGTCGCCTGTCCAGATTACAGGATTCTTTGTATCTGAAACAGCCGTCTGCCATGACTCGCACGGCTGTGTGTTTGCCATTATTTTCACCTCGAATTTTGTCGCTCCTTCCTTGAGCTCCTCCAACTCAGAACAATACGATGACATTAGAGCTGTCCCATCTCCCGACCGAGATCGTCGACCAGGTCACAACCTATCTGCCAAAGGATTGTCTCGCGTCCTGCGCGCTCGTTTCGAGAACGTGGAATACAATCTTCACACCGCTTCTCTACCAAAACATCAGACTTGTCTGGCGACGATCAAGACTTATCTGNTCACGCCAATACATTTTTCGGAGACACCTGATACCATGCTCATGTGAATTGGAAGGTCAATGTGATCGGGAAAACCCAGACAAACAATGCTTCCAAGCATATTCAACATGCCTCTCGCCAATCCCTGACACGACCACCTGCTTACCATCGCTATATCCCCTCGCAAGAACCTTCTTAACTTCACCGACACTAGCTGGCATGGTAGAGAGCCTAAGCCTAGTTGGCCCTGTACCACGTTCTATTTGGACTGATCCTAAACACACTGGTCTCACTCACGAAGATTATCTGAACATACGGAAGTTGGCCCTCCAAGCAGGACTTCCTCTAGGCCAGAGTCTCAAGTTCTGGCTGCAAAGACTTGATAAAGGCTTACCAGGAGCTCATGTCGCTCTCCTGCTTCTCTGTTTGAACAGTCTTCGGCATGTCGAGATTGGGTCAGACTTTCATGACTCTTTGCAGTTCATATATCAGGATATCGCATCGCTGGTCCCACACCTGGAGACCGCATGCCTTGGGATCAATCGTTTTCAAGGGACAGTGTACATGGCCGGTGGGAGGTCGCCACACGAGGTTGGTGACGTTTCGCGGATCTTATCGCTGTTTCGTCTACCGTATATTCGTTCACTGACCCTCAGCATCCCATCACCCAGTGGTACTTTCTTTTGGCTTGGCGAAATTCCGCTAGTCAAAATCCTCAAATCATTGGAACTGCAATTCACCTACCTGGGACCGAACGGGTTGATTCGTTTGCTCATGGCATGTCCATCGATAAGCTGTCTGAGATACGATTTTTGGACGACGGTGCCTGCGCATCTAAGAAACACGGAGCAGGATCCCTTAGATAGAACATCTGAGGCACTTCTCGATATCTCTGCATTGAAGAGAGCGCTTTTAATGGTCAAAGACAGTCTGGAAATCTTCCACTTCCATGTTTCGCCACCCCTGCTCACAAATCAATGCTTGGGTCATCTTCCGTTCAACGCTTTTCAACACCTCACGACTCTTCATGTACCCTTTCAGATGTTACTGGGCAGCTGTCGCACAGCAAGGCTGGGCGAATCGCTACCAAGATCACTCATCAATCTCTGGCTCAACGATGACGCTGCGCCCCTCTGGCTCAGACATGCTCGCTATGTCTATGCCTACGATCACTACGAAGATGACGCGGATGTAGTCTACGATCCGTACTTCCACCCCATCCGGACAGACCAGGAAATCGTGACCATAATGACTGAATTTCTCGCCGAGTGGCGCTCATTTACACCCCATCTTCGATCTATCCTTCTGCTGTTGTATGACTACCAAGAACACTGCTGGTCGCGGAGGAATGTTGTGTACATTCGAGAGTCGCTCCAACCGCTGGCTGACGAGGCTGGGCTGAGCCTATCTGTATACAAGCTGCCTTGGCGTTCATATCACCCGAATGTGCGCTCTTTAGCAAAGGGTCAGGCGGCTCCGTATTTCGACCTTGCATACATCGAGTCAATGTGCCTGCCCGAATGAATAGTGTGGATCTTGGGGCAGTCATAGCCATCGTGACACATATCGGGAAGCCTCCATGATCACGAGTGAAGCTGGCGCACGCATCGCGCGTGAGACTGACAAGCTGGACTTGGTCTGCTTCAACGCCGGCATTACAGCCACTCCCGCCGGCTTAACTAAGGACGGCTGGGAGGTGCAATTTGGCACGAACCACCTTGGCCATGCAATGCTTAGATACATGGAGCAATTGATGTTGTTGTATGATGAAGACAGATGTCGACCATGTTAATTAACGAGCGTCGCTTCTTCCAACGGCCCCTCGGGCGAGCTATGCGTGACTAATCGTGGCCAAGGCGCTAACAATTAGCTCTCGGTTCCCTTTACAGAACCGGAGGTTGGATTGCTCCTTCCCGCCTTGCTACTTATTAGCCTATATACTGGAAACCAAACCCTCAATATACTGCTCACTTGTTAACTTGCCTTATCAAAATTGAACGTCGAGGACCCCGTGTAATCTTTGTTCCCAACTCGGCCTATAATAACACCGCAGTCATGGTCAAAGTCATTGCTGGCCTGATGGGCTCCTCTGTGGCTTCTGGATCTGTCCACATGTCTCAACCAGAGCAGCTGCGTGCGATTTTGACTCTGCTGAGCAAACACGGCATTCGTGAGCTCGACACTGCTCGTGTATACAACGGTGGACAGAGCGAGCAGCATCTCGGTACAATTAAGGACACCGTAGAAGCCTGTAACTTGGCTGTAGCCACCAAGGCACCTGGCTTCATGCCGGGATCTCTGACCTATGACAATATCATTCGGGCTTGCAACGAGTCGCTCGCAGCGACAAAGCAACAGAAGTTCGACCTGTACTACTTTCACGGCCCAGACCGTCAGACACCGCTCGAGGAGTCATGCCGCGCCATGAACCAGCTCCATTCCGAGGGCAAGTTCGATCGGTTTGGTGTTAGCAACTTTCGTGCCGACGAGGTCCACCAGATCGTCGACATATGTCGCAAGAACGGCTGGATCCTCCCTTCTGTTTATCAAGGAGCCTACAATCCGCTTCTTCGTGCCATGGAACCAGCACTCCTGCCTGTTCTAAGGAGTTACGGCATGGCTTTCTACGCATACAGCCCACTTGGTGGTGGATTCTTCTCGCGCCCTATTGAACAGCTTCGTACGCCTCCCGCAGGTGGTCGCATGGACCAGATGAAAGTCTTCCAAGCCATCTACGTCAACGACCTGTCCCTGGAGCTGTTGCAGAAACTGACCGAAACGTGCGAAAAAGCTGGTATCACTGTACGTGAAGCTGCGCTTCGGTGGTTGATGCACCATTCTGCATTGGGCGAAGCAGACGGTATCATCCTCGGCGCGTCGAGTGAAGCGCAGATGGAGCAAAATCTGAAAGCATGTGAAGGTCCTGCGCTCCCGGGAACAGTTGTCGATTGCTTTACGGGAATTAGCAGTCAATATAGAGCAGCGGGTAAGGATGAGCGGTACTCGGTCTGATACAGAAGTTTTACCGGCCCTTGAGATCACTCAGTTTGGTTGTTGACAATCTATGCACGAGTCGAATGTGTTGATCTTATCTTCCCTGTCTTGCAACCTCATGATTGAACTGCTTAATGCCCATCCACGTTTCAAATAGTGAACTGTTCTTTGATCGGCATAGCATTGCTCGTCGTGTTGTGCCATGCTCGCAGGGTGTATTGACCCGAATGGAACAGCAGAAGGATATAACAATGAACAATGATAGGAGTACGAGCTGTTCTGCGGTTATACATGATATTTGTTGATTGGTTGAGCAGTTCTGCTGATCTCGCAGATTGGAGACTTCGACATCTGACATCAAAGTACTACCGTCGGGTGTGGTTACATCCACAAAAATCCTGGCCTTTGTGTATCGTGTGACCCTCATACGGTTGATGTATATTTAGTCCCAAGTCCCTGATGGGATTGCCATACGACAGTCCTCAAATCAGACCAGCAGAACACCAACAACACTCAGCATAGCAACACCAACTGCTGTAGTACTAATCATCGCCGAAAAATCAGCACCACTCGTGGTGACTACTCCCAACGTCTTCATACACTCCTTGTTAGGTGCATCAGCCGCACTGCTGACATTAGCCGGGTTGCAGGTAACATCCTTCGCAGAAGCCTCATCAGTGGTGACTTTATTGACAGTTCCAGTGATATGATTCTCGTCGATCCTGTTATCAGGCGTGCAAGCTTGGATAACAGTTCCATCTGTGTAGGTATCGTTTCCAGCACCACAACCACTGAGAGTTCCGGCCACACAGCGGTAGATAGGTGTAAAAATGACAAATCCAGCAGTGCCATGCGCAAATGTCTGTGTCACGGGCGAGATGTTGTCGGGTGTGGATGCCTCAAAGTCAATGTTTGTGGATGAGGAGACTAGAGCGAATATGTCGTTGACAACGCTTTCATCCGGTTGTGTGTTGTTGAGCAGACGAGGTACGTTTACAAATCCGCCAGCTAGGATTGTGCAGTTTTGAGTGTCTTTGCAGACGACGCCAGAGCTGATGATGTATGTGGCGGGTCCAGGTATAGTGTATGGTTTTCCTGCAAGGCTGAAGTTGGTGCAGGTCGCGCGAGAGTCGAGTACATTGGACGCCAAGACCGAAATAGGCAAGAATGGAAGAGCGAGAAGTGACGTTGAGGGTATCATGTTGGAGAACAATAGTAGTACGAACAAGCAGATGCTGGTATGAATTGAATTAGGTACAGCAGCAGGATTGAGAAGAGAATTGGGATTTATAGGATCAGAAGCCAAGCATGGGATCCTTCACAAGCAACAGCGATCAGCGTTCTTGTTCTTACCAAATAGGTAATTTGATCAGAAGCTTCGGACGTAAGAATCCTGCAGCTAGACATGTCAGTGGCTTTGACAATCCTTATTCCAGATCCTCAACTGCTCTGAAGTCATCAGATTGTGACTTCAATAGGAGCGAGATAGCCAATACTCTCGAATGATGAATGCCGATATAACTATCGTAGTAGTATCGAGCCGTCTGCTCGTTTGAATGCAAGTGTGTGCGAACGAGAGAGGTTCATGCTAGGTGAAGGTCATTATCTCACCTTGTTACCAGTTAGTTCCATCAAGCAGTATCCCAGATATTCAAGAGCAGTTCAAGAATTACGTCAGACAATAAACAAGGCGTGCAATTGACGTACGGCGACTTGCCCCATATCACGCCATCCTGCCAAGCGACTAGTATTCCTCTTCGGAAACCGAGCATCTCGAAGGATCGCCAAGGACCTTTAGCGTATCCACGACAGTGAGATTTCTCAAACCATTGTATTTCGACGCCAGTATATCAGTTGCCATAGCTTTCTGTCAGTTCCTGTAGCGAGGGCACAGCCCATCGGGATGGACCTTGGTCACCGCCAGCTTGGGCAATCTCATAGAACCTCCGCAACTCCTGTGCACCCTCGAGTCCTAGATTCTCAGCATGTTCCACAAGCTCAGACATACGATACCGAGCATCAGTAAAGTGAAATGCCGTGTATCCAGACATGAGATCGCGGACTACTGTTTCCATCTCCGGGTCCACGTGTGGCAGAATTTTAACCAGTGCATTGTTGGACGAAGTGATCCTGTCCAAGATCCCAGACAAGGAGTCCTGGATAGTGACGCCTGCGCAATGTGCATAGTTTGAGATAAAGTTCGCTTGCTACTGATTGTGCGTGCCAAAGTGCTCCTTATAAAAGGACAAGAGGTCGTTGACGTAGAGTTCCCATTGCTCGACTTCTGAGATGACGGCAGCGATGGAGGGAATCTTGTCGGTTTCGTCAAGCTTTTCTTTAGNGAAGAGGGTTGCGCAGACAACGGGACCAAACCCGTTGAGTCTGCGGAGAAAATCAGGATAGTTGTAAGAGCCTGGGAAACCTTGAAAGTCATGTTGTTCGATCCAGCAGCCTTGATAGACTTGATTGTAGGTCAGCATCTTGGACTCAGGATCCACAAGCAGCTAAACTCACANGTCCAAAGTGCCTCGAANAATGTTGAGCGCACAGAATGGGCCATAATGCTCTAGGAAGGTCAACAGATGCTTGTTGACAGCTTGCCACCAAGTATTCTTTTGCTCGAGACCCTTGATCATGTCCTTAGAGAAGTGTTGCATGCCTTCTGTCAAGTTGTCTTTATACCAATCGTCCAAGACTCCATAGTAGACAAACAATATGCAGAGGTCTTTCTTTACGTTGAGAGAGTGTCCAGGCCAGCAATAACTGACAAAGCGCACCATTGTTTGGATCAACGTCTGCGCCGTTCTTGTATCGACGGCCAGCTTGTGTGATGGTTGCGCGAAATATGTAGTCGTTTGGAGGTAGAGATGATGGAAATCACGTTGACATGCTTCAGAAGAGTATTCAGGGCTTCCTATGTCCATTTGAGCAAGCATATCCACTACATGCTTGACATAAGACCGCATGAGATCAGATGGTGCTTCAGATGCCAGATCAGCACTGTCATGTCGTAGTTCAAGCTTAGTTAATGGATCTCTGGGTTGGGAATGCTCGGGTGGTGGAATAGAAACAGCAACGCAGTTGTGGTTGAAAGTAGGGGTAGAAGTCATTTTACCTTGGTTGTGTCGCTACTATTGCAGGGGGACTTCCACTCTTTCATACTTGTCCCGCAGCCATGAGCAAAGCGACATAGTTTTTGTCGCTTCACACCATTAGCAGCACGAAACGATCCCAAGGATCGATCTCGAGATACTGATTGGTTGTCCAGAGCACTGGAATGTAATCCGGATTGTATTAGTTGTAGGTTGGTAGAAATTATTGTGGGAAGTGCTGTAAGAGCTATTCATGGCCATCAATGCAGGAAAGGATCCAACGGACACACTCTAATCGTTCTGCTCCTGCTTTAGTCTGACCAAGATTCGAAAGATAACCAATTATTGTTGACCAATTGCAGCAGAACTGAGTGGTTGAGTTTCTATTTCCTATCTTTCACAAAAGCCAAGCGCAAGCCGCAGCAGACGTACGGGAAGGATCAGAGCTAAGCAACCGGTCAGAAGCATCCTCCAATCAGTGCGCGCTTCGATACGGTATCCGCCTATGTCGTCTTAATGCAAGGTCGACGAATGGCAGATGACAGAAACGACGACAGTGCATGGATGTCGCAATTGGACACTCGAAAACTCCCAGTTCAAAAAGGTCAAGCACAACGCTGCCTCGCTCGTGGTTACAACATGTACAGTGACAGTTCTTTTCTGAGTTTAGACGGTGAGTTTACCCTCCAACTTCACATCTCTACTACTCGCGCCAACCCACAAATCATACTGTCCAGCTTGCAACTTCCACTGCTGAGCCACAACATCCCAAACACTCAGATCTCTTCTGGTCAACGGGATATTGACTCTCTTACTCTGACCAGGCTGCAAAGGCACACGCTCAAACCCTCTCAACTGCTTCTTCGGCGCATCAGGAATACCCACATAAACCTGAGGGACTTCGTGAGCAAACACGTCTCCAGTATTGGTGACTTCGAAGGAGACCGAGAAGAGCTCGTCCCAGAGCTGGGGATGACCACCAGGGATGATTGCGATGTTGGCGTCGGGATAAGGCGATAGGTTTCCATCAGCGAGTCTGGCTGTTTGCAACTTGGAGTAGTTGAAAGTAGAGTAGGACAATCCGAAGCCAAATTCGAAGCGAGGAGTGATGTTGTAGTGATCGAAGTGACGGTAATCGATGTACACACCTTCCGAGAAGTTGGATTGCGGGTAGGGATCGAAAGAAACAGTCGAGTTGAGAAGACTGCCGTAGTCTTCTTCTTTCTTCGCAACAGTGTAAGGTAGGCGACCAGAAGGCGAGACATCACCATAAAGAACATCTGTCAGTGAATGTCCTGATTCTTGACCTGGAAGACCTGCGAAGATCACGGCGGTGATGTTCTCATGGTCGATCCACTCATCGACAACACGAATACCAGCACTGTGAATGACAACAATGGTGTTTGAGCAGTTGGCTGCGACATTCTTGATCAAGTTGTCACTGAACTCGTCCGCCAATGTTGTGCGATCGAAACTCTCGGATGCATAAGCATTGACAAAGACCAAGCAGGCATCATTGTTAACGTAAGGTGGGGTGGGGTTTTTGGAGTAGAAGTCCCAACGAAGAATTCCCTTGTCCTTTGCGATGCGTTCCTGAATGGCTTGGAAGGGCGAGACGACATATGGAGGTGTGCTGCCACCAGAACCTCCGCCAGTGATCATTGTGCCGTTGAAGGTGTTCCATCCGAAGTTGACTTCGTACCCACCACCATATCTGGTTGGGTTCTGCCAAGGAACTGCCTTGACGGTCGCGTCGTATCCATAGATTGTCAAGAAACGAGGATTCTTGAGAGGTAGCGTGTTGTTGACATTCTTGACAAGGACGGTGCCTGCAGCACCAATTTCTCTGATCAGGTCAGAGTGGTCATCTTGCACATTGACGGGTTCCTGGCGTTGCAGATTGCTGTGTACATCTGCCTTTGGGAAGCCGTCGCCCTGGCCAACATAGAAGAATGAAGCCAGCTGACGTGTGACCATGTCGTTCAGGCGATCAATGGAGACGGATCCATTGTTGACAGCCTGAGTGAGATTGCCACCCCAAAACCCACCATCCGGCATGACAAGATCGAGACCAGCGTTCGCAGATGCAACACCTGAATGCTGCGCCTCCCAGTCACTCATTACGAAACCAGAAAAGCCTAATTCGGTCTTGAGAATACCGTTGAGAAGCTTGGAGTTCTGGCATCCATACGAGTTGTTGGCGCGTTGGTAACTGCACATCACGCTGCCTACGTTCTCTCGCAGGGCGTCCATGAAAGGGTAGGCATAGAGCTCATGCAGAGTTCTGTCATCTACGTTGGAAGACATGGCNNTGAGATTTTGTCAGCATCAGGAGCAGCATCGTTTGTTGGTGAGGAACTGACCTTCGCCTTCTCCAATCGCAGGCATGCGGCGAAACTCTTCTTCGTTAAGGATCCAGTGCTATATCACTGTCAGTACTTGTATGCTTCTCTTGCTGTGCTATATTCATACCTTTGCAGTGGCGATGACGCCGACGTCCTGGATACCTCTGGTAATAGCTCCCATACCAGCACCAGCAAGATGAGGATCCGCAGAAAGACCTTCCCAGTTTCTGCCTCCCCTGGCGACTCTTCCAAGTGGTCCTGCAACGGGTCCAAGAGCGATGTTAATACCTTTACCATGGTATTCCTCACCCAAAGCACGACCATAAGCATACATAAGGTCCTTGTCGAAAGTGGCAGCAACATGAATGCCAGCAGGGAAAGCACTGACGAACTCCTGACCGCGAATACCGTCCGGAGCGTCTGAGAGACACATTGGTTTGATTCCCAAGCGAGGCACGGCACCAGTGTTGCCAACGCAAGTTCCAGTGAATCCACGGGTGACGTTGACCTTTTCTTCGAGGGTCATCTGTGACAGGAGGCTTCGTGCTTGAGCATAAGCATTTGCCCATTGAGGGCTACTTGAGCCATTGCCAGCGGCNNTGTAAAATATGTCAACATTAGGCATGAATTATAGAAGACAACGAGTCTTACGAGAAGGATATACAGGTGGACTCTGTCCATAGTAAGGATCAGACACATTGGTGTAGCTCCATGAGGTATACGCTGCAGCAGGGCTTGCCAATGCCAACAGAGCGTTGACTGAGAGACCTGACTTCATGGCGAGTGTAGAATGTGGTAGATCTAAGCTTCGAAACGGCGGGTAACAAGCATATTAAGTACTCGTTCCTTAGCCGACGGCAAAGGGTGACAGTGATCCATACCGAGTCAACATCCACACCTTGGCATAGGTAGTTTGCCAAGATTGTGGATGTACAGCGGGACGATCCTCGTGAGGGTGGCTCAGACCAGAGACCATGCACCATTGCCAGGGGTGGGGATATGTGCCATTGCCGATTGAGTCATGTTTTCCGTAGTCATACCAACCATGTGTCTGAGCACAGCATGCTGAATGATCCACAACTTACTAGTGATTTCTCCAAGGAAGTCTAAGAGGCTGGGAACAGACCAAAAGATGGAGTAAAGAAGCGAGAGAGGAGGTTGGAAAAGGCGTTCTCACCGCACGAGTGGGGTGAGGTTGCAATTACGGGGGCTGCCCTCGGACACTTTCCGAGGAAGAAAGCCGTCAGACACTTCCTCTTTGGAAAGAAGCGACGCTCGTCGTTGATCAGTTGGAATCTGTCACCATCTACATCAACGTTAATCCAATGTCGATTGTACCATGACTCTCACAAAGCGTCTTCTCATGTATACCGCAAGTATACTTACTAAGTGGAAAACACGGTAAGATCTTCTCACGATTCATTCCCATGCAAGATTGATCTCCCCATCCTCCACTCGGAAAAACATGGAGCATCCGCGGACACTCCTTCCATCAGTCCATAAAACCAAATTCCATCTCTAAGATATAAAACACCCATCCTCCTAACAATCTCTCTAGTTGAGTATGCTATCATTTCTCCCTTCTACATCTCACATCATGAATACTTCCCATCATTGTCCACATGCCGCTCTTCGCAGTCATCCTTATCCTCACTACCCATTACCTGTCAAAACCGCCGTGCCATGGAGAAGATCCAGAAACGGACCTGGAAAAGTATAGGGTTGTTCAAGATCGCAACTCTCGGGTCGTTAACTTACTTTGTCGCGAAGAAAGTCTTTCAGTGAGTTCTGAGTATGCTTTGCGATCAATGTGATGAGATACTGATTCAACATCCGATAGAAGTTCGAAGCCTTCAGCAGACAAACAGAGCTAGAGACACCCACACAGTTCTTGATTCATGGTCGTGTGAACATCGAGTCATGGCAAGCAGGGTCGTCGCTATCAGAGTAGAGCCATGTGAAGAAAAGCTTCCATTCGTTCTGGAAAGAAGCATGCATCGGAAGTGTTCGGGAAGCGTCGGAAGAGGACCCAAATTCTTGCTTGGCTGGGAACCCTGACCGAGATCTTGCATGTCTGTCGACGACAACCGCACTTAGTCGGGAGCTCTAAGGTATGTACAGGAGCATTTGAAAAGGCTCCTGATTAATCTCTGTCTCTTTAGATATGGAAAATGAGCTGTGTATCAAAAGTTAGCTGTCTTTCAGCCCAGATAACAGAAGTGCTCAAGATTCGTTGTGTTTGTGGTCGGTATTCTAGATTTCAAAAGATGAATCACGATTTTTGCATTTCCAAGCAGCAACATTCCGAACTATGACGCCCGGAGGTATCGTACAATCAGAAAGATGTCTCTCGTACCCTCTTGTGATATGAGAATGATTGTCTCCCTTGTCGTTGCTGCATAATCTCGTCGGACGTGATGTAAGCACATGCTAGAGGTGCAACCCTGACTAGCATCATGATCATCATAATCACAAGCATGAGCGGAATCAGGGCCTCGGATGTAGACAGTCGATACCAAGGAACAGAAAATCTAGGGGTATCAAATTTGTGAAAATTGTATGCAACAGCCATGCCTGCAGATAGCTAGTCGAAACAGTAGTGTGAACAGCATAAGTTGGTCATCATCTTCTGCGAGCCATCATCCTGACCTTGGGGAAGTCGAGAGGAATCTTCAACTTGGCAACTCTGCGTTGCGCGGCGACGGCCTTGTTAGGGATCTTGAATTCTGCTTGCTCTCTCTCGGTAGGGTTGTTGACCTTGCAGCCGAGCTCCATAAAGTACTGTGACATCCTGTAGACTTGTGTTAGCATAATGACATGAGATAGTATGGAACGAGGAACATACTGCTTGTTCTCCAGACGCAAGTCCTCGCGTAAATCGTGTGTGTCGAGTTTGTAGCCATCAATGAACAGCGAGATGGCAGCCATGTGTGTGATGAGGTTATCCATGTGCCATTTGTTGAGTTCGTTGTTGTCCGAGAATCGCCTCCTGACACTCTCGATCAGAGTCTCTGGCCAGTCCTGCAGCTTGCTTCGTAGTTGGTCCTTCTGTGGCACCTTCTTGCCGGCCTTTCCTGCTGGTTTGAGAGCGAGGTTGAACTCGATCAGAAGCATGAGGTATTTGAGAGCCTTGAGTCTCTGGACGTCGTCACGAACAGCAATGGGAGCGACACGGTTGGCGACATAACGCGAAGAAAACTTGAGGTCCTCGCCATTGCTGTCCTGCCATTCCTTGACCGTCAAGTTGCGCATGTCTGCTGCAGGGATGAGCATGCCGATAGGGTAGACATTCTCGGCCTCGGTAGCGTTGAGGTTGGGCTTGGGGATGGGCTTGTTTGCCAGAATCTCCTCTTGCTGAGTCTGTTTGGCGGGCATGGCATCCGAGGCCTCCTTGACGCTGTCCATGACGGCAGTCTCGACGTTATCGAGCTTGCCTCCGACGCGGTTCCTGTCGGCATTGGACGTGATGGCGTTCTCGACCTTGGAAGCGAGAGCCTTCTTGGCCTTCTTTGTACCGAAGGCCTGGCCTAGATCCTCACGCTGTTGTGCGAAGGTGCGGACGGCATTCTGAGCAGCGACTTCTTGTGCTTCTGCGCGGAGGGTGGTGCGAAGAGTGACGGCATGTGCGGGAAGGACTTGGAGAGAGGAGGATTGAGGATCGTAGACGGCGACGTAGTGTGACAGGTCTTGGTTGGATTGCTGTTGGGCAGTAAAGTCCAGACGGGCATGTGATGTCGAGTGCAGCAGCAGCGAGTGTGTCGAGGGAGCGGGCGAGGCGGCCTCTTTCTTGGAGTTGGTGACCTTGACGAAGGGCTTGAAGGGAGCATTGGGCACGTTGAGTCCGGGTGCAGCAGCTGGATACAGGCGTCAGTAGGTCGACAGGCTGTGGGCGGACATGTCGATGCGCGTACCGATGACGGGGAACAACTCGTCGCGCGGTGCAGGAAAGCGCACATTGATGGCGGCGCTGGAGGCCTNTTTGTTGGGAGCGTCGGCTCCTTCCTGGGCTCTCTTTCTCTTCTTGTCGTCGTGGGCGGCCATTGTGGAATGTGGAAGGTGCGAATGATGGATGCGCCTTCCCAATCGCTGGACAATCTCGAGCGCCCAAACTTTTTACAAAAAGCGAGTCGGGCTTCTCCAGCTTTTCGGCCGGTCCAGAGTCATGCGGAGTGGCCCGTGCCGGCCGCAACTGTCACTCAAGGACCGCTGTGACGTTGGCGTGCGTGCGTCGCGACTGCCAAACAAGACGAAACCCTGCTTTGCCTGCCGTCTTGTACATTAAGTGCCGTCTAGCCCGTGTCGAGTTGCGTAACGAGCAGCTGCCATATAGTAATCTGTGAAATCTCAGCTAAGTTGTCGTTGTTCTTTCCTAGAACTTCATCCAAGTCGAGTAGACTTGTATACCCCTCGCTCCGGACCTGAGACATTCTTCCGCCAGCTGCCTTCCCTAGTGTCAACCTACTTCTCGACCTCTAGCTCGCCCACCATGTCTGGCATCGTCAGTACCATTGAAGGCCTGGCCAACACTGTCACGACCAAAGCCATGTCGATTGTCGATTCTGTCTTTCCGCCAGAGCGCCGTCAGGAGCTCCTGACCAAGCTCCAGCAGTTTGCAGTCAAGAACCCAAAGCTTTCGGTATGTCCATGAGCTCTGTCTGTACCCTCACACAGCCAACTAACAACCACTGCANNGGCCTTCCTCCTCACCAACATTGCCCTCACGGGCCCGCCTATGTTCCTGTTCATCCTCTTCTCCCTGACCGTCTTCATCTTCTCCCTCGTCGTTGCTTTGCTCGTCGGCCTGCTTGTCGCTATTGGTTTCACCCTCTTCATGGTCGTTATCGCTCTGGTCATAGTCTTCCCGACCGTCTTCTTCACTAGTCTCGCCGCATGCTTCCTCTTCCTGTGGGGTCTGGGCGGATACTACCTCCTGAAGTGGTTCAACAAGGGCGAAACACCTGCAGCAGACGGCGAAGCTATCGGCGACAAGATCAATGCTCTTACTGGCGGAAGACTCGACTTCATCATGGGCGGAGCGCGTAAGGAATACCCGGATCACTCAGGCCAGAATGGCAAAGACGAAGCAAGCCCGAAACCAAATGGCAAGCCCAGAAAGCTTCAAGACAACCCAGCCAAGTCGAGCGGAGTCGACCTGGGCAAACAAGCAGACTCGATCAGAAAGAATGCCAATGTGGGCAACGTCACCAACCAGGCAACCAAGCAAACGCACCTNGGATGGAGTGACCAAACAGGCTGGGGTGGACGGAGTAACGAAAAGGCAGACGGTGTCACGGGTACGGCCAAGGGGCTGGCCGGGGGCCTTGTGTAGACTGCGCTGACGCAACGGTCTTTACCTGAACTTATGTGGTCTGCCCTGACTGAACGGCCTCTTGTCGATTGATTCTTGATTTTGGATGGCATAGCGATGGGTTTTGTTATAGCATTTGTACTGCGGTCCCGTACACCTAGTTTGGGCTGGACAGAAAGCGACATGTATCATGACTCTGCACGTATAGCTCAATTGACGATCGAATATTGTTCATACTTGATGCAGCATGTGACAATAGGCCAGCGACAAAAGTGAATAGGTTGATGACAATGACGAATTCTGGTATTGTATTGAGCACAGACCAGGCTGGATTGGATGCGGCGGCGGTCGAACAAGCTTGAGAGTTTGACCAAGAAGCACAAGAAGGAACGACCCAAGCGCTTTCCGCATTTATTCATCGACAGGAACCGACGCGTCTTTCTTGTGGCATTCTTGGACTGGCCGAATATCGCAGGCAGAGCGACGCGCAAAATCACAAAACTGGAAGGTGCGACCAGGCACGCACAGCAAACACTCATCCCATGAGCAGCACACCCTAGACACGCTCTCCGACACATGACTGCAACATAAACCATGGCGCCTGCCCAGCANAAGAGAAAGCGCCCGCAGGACGACCATCACACTCGCGCCTCCCCTCACCGTCCCGAGAACCTCAATCTGGCCCAGCAGAACCAGCGCAACAACCGTCGCAATGGAAATGGAAACCAGAACCGCTCAAACAACTCGACTCCCACTCACAACCGACATGCCAACTTCTCCCAGCCTGGATCCGCTAGAAACTCGCCCGCTCAACCTCCGCAGACTCCCCAGCAGAATGCGCAGTCACAACCGCCCGTGCAACAGCAGCGACAGCAACCAGAGCCAACACGCCCTGCTCTGAACTCAACACCCTCAGCCACGCCCGCTCCTCCGCTCGTCCTCCCTCAGTACCCACCGACGCCTAAGGAACCTCCCGCTCCTTATGCTTACGACTACTTGACAGACGACGCTGTGAGTGCCTGGCAGGCAAAGGGAAAGCAGTCGGTCTTGGATGCGCTGGAGAATGCAGAAGACAAGGATATAGTGTCGAGCACCGTCATACAAGAGCTGCTGAGAACAACACTGGATGGTCGCTTGTCCGCTGGAGAGTGCGCCGAAGTGTTGAAACAAGTTGCTCCCACCGACGAGCTGCAGTCTGTCTTTGCCGACACGCTGGCTCTGCTCGACGAGGCGGACTGGAAGAACCCCGTCCTCAAGACTCTCATCCACGATGCCGGCCTCTCGCCTCATCTGCTTCGCAACGAGCTCGACATTGAACCGCTTTCCGCCCTTGGTCTTGTGCGCAACACTTTTTCTACCATTCGCAACCGCAAGACGACCAACCTTATCTACCGTCAGGCCAACTTCAACCTGCTGCGTGAAGAGTCTGAGGGTTACTCTAAACTCATCACCGAATATTTTAATGCCGCCAATGCTGGTTCAACGTCAGATTTGATTGCCGAAGATACCTTTCAACGCATCAAGGCGCTTGTTGGATCCTTCGATCTGGACGTTGGACGTGTTCTGGACATCACCCTCGACGTCATGGCAAACCTCCTCATCAAGAACTTCCGTTTCTTCATCAAGTATTTACGTGCAAGTTCGTGGTGGCCCGAGCAGCATATCCCTGAAGGATTCCAAACTCAAGGCCAAGGTTTTAGCTCGCTACCGGCATGGGCTCTTCCCCATTCAGCATCATGGAGTCAGACGTCGGAACAGCGTGCTCAGCTTGCTGCTCTCAAGGAGGCTCGTGATGTCGACTTCTGGCAGCAGGTGCGCAAGGTGGGTATGGACGCCTTCTACGACATTGGTGCTCTCCGCATCACAAATCTGGATGCACCTGCAGTTGCCGATCTTCTCAATACAGAAATCAAGCCTGAACTGGATGCTAGAGGTCGTGAGATGAACATGATCCGCCGCCTTCGTACTAACAACGCCCGCAAATGGATGCGCCAGACTGGCTGCGTCGTGCCTCCTGGCAACTCAGACGCCGCCCAGCTACTGGGTTTCAAACTCGCCTTTTACTCTTCTGCTGCCCGTGACAAGCATGACGTTCTACCTGATAATCTCATCTATCTTGCCGCCTTCCTCATCAAGATTGGCTTCATCTCTTTGAGAGATCTCTATCCTCACCTGTACCCGCCGGACGAGAAGATGGGCGAGACCAAGGAGAGACTCGANAAAGAGAAGCTCGAAAGAGAAAAGGCTGCAAAGCCTGGTGGTGGTGCTCTCAATGCTCTTGCTATGGCAGGTGCCCTTGCAGATGACACTGCTCCTGCTCCGCATGCTGCTGTGCGTGGTCTACGAGATAACGCCTCTGGACGAGCTACCCCTAAGCCTGAAGCTGATACTGCTGAAGCCGCTGCAGAAGATGCCGANAAGGAAGCTTTGCCCGAACCTGCCAACCAAAAGGTCGCTCTCGTCAAGAGTCTACTGGCCATTGGATGTCTACCAGAAGCCTTGTACATACTAGGCAGATTCCCTTGGTTGAATGATCTCGTCCATGAATTGCCCGACTACATCCATCGCATCCTTCATCACATGCTGACCAAGGTCTACGAACCCGCCAGACCTCTCGCCAACAGACCTGGAATGAATGATGCCAGACCTCACATTGGCGACCCTACCGGCTTGCCTAAGGGTCAGCTCAATCTCACTCCTGCCCCACCAACCAAGACTTTGAGATGGGCCAATCTCGACCGCCCCGACTATGGCGATGCTGTCGAGTACAAATTCTATTGGGATGATTGGACTGACAATATTCCCGTCTGCCAATCGGTAGACGATGTCTTCCAGCTCTGCAGTACCTTCCTGAATCTGACCGGCGTCAAGATTGGTAGAGACTCTACTCTCCTGATGAAGCTTGCTCGCATCGGTAAAAAGAGTTTGGCCGATGATCCTTCCGAGACCAATTACGCTCGATGGATTGATCTCTGCAAACGTCTTCTGGTTCCTGCTCTCAGTTTGACCAAGCACAACACTGGCGACGTCAATGAGATGTTTGAGCTTCTCAAATTCTTCCCCACCAGCACTCGCTACTCAATCTACGCCGAGTGGCACTATGGCACAACTTCTCGCCTCCCTGACATCAAGTCTGCCTTTGACCTCACTAAGGCCGAGACAAAGGATGTTCTCAAACGTATCAGCAAGACTAATGTGAGAGCCATGGGCAAGGCACTGTCCAAGGTTGCCTTTTCTTCTCCTGGTATTGTCATGCAAGTCGCCATTCATCAGATGGAGTCCTACGACAACCTTATTGATGTTGTCGTAGAATGTGTTCGTTACTTCAGCATGCTCGGATACGATGTACTGACTTGGTGTCTTATGAACGCCCTTGGAGGTGGTGGCAGAAACCGTGTGCAAGCTGATGGTATGCTCACCAGTCCTTGGTTGCGCGCACTTTCGACCTTTGCAGGTTCTATCTTCAAGCGCTATTCTGCTATGGATCCTTCACCCATTCTTCAGTATGTCACTAACGAGCTCCGCGCCGGCAATTCCACCGATCTTGAAGTTCTTGAACAAATCATCACAGAGATGGTTGGTATCAAATCTGATATGACCTTCAACGAGTCCCAAGTTCTTGCCATGGCGGGTGGTCCTGTTCTCAAGGCTCAGACGCTCATTTCCCTGCTTGATGAAAGACACAAGATGGAGAAGCCATCTCGTCGTCTGATCAAGGCACTCATTGAGCCTGGACTAGCTGGCCAACTTTTGATATCTGTCGCACAGGAGAGTCAAATGTATGCCCACCATGAGTCCACCCAAGACGCGCCTTTGAAAGTTCTCGGAAACAACATGGACAAGCTCTACCAGGTCTTTAACCAATATCTTGAGACTCTTCGAAGCACACTTGCACCGTCCGAATTCGATGCCGTCGTTCCAGACACTGTCAGCTTGATGGGAGACTTTGGTCTTGAGCCATCGATTGCATTCATGATCGGCCGCGCAAGTATTGCTCATGCTATCGCCGAAAGCGATGCTGCCAANAAGGCCGAGCAACAAGCCAGAAGATCTAGCCAGTCAGTTGCTGCCAATGGCGATGTCAGCATGGCTGACGCTGATGAGAAGGATGTCAAGAGTGAAGAAGCCACCTCACCTCCTACTGAGGAGAAGCCCGTACTTTCTCTCACCGAAACTGACGCTGAGATGAAAAGCGTTGCTCACGCCAATGGGGTTGATACTGCAACCCCGACTCCATCGTCTGACACACACTGGCATCCTGTGTTGACCCCGCTCATCGAAAAGACACGCGAGCTGCTTGGCGACAAGCTTGAGCAGAGTATCAGCATCCCATTCTATGTCACTTTCTGGACTCTCGGACTTNNTGAAGACATTCTGGTCAACACCAACAGCTACGATCAGGAGCTTGCTACCCAATCTCATCTCATCAACCAAATAAACAATGACCGTGCCGATGTTACTGGTAAGGGCATGCAAGAGAAGGACAAGAGAAAGAAGGTCATTACCGAGTTGAGAGAGAAACTCACTCAGGAAATGAAGAGTCAAATCGGCGCCTACACCCAGGTCCGCAACAGACTCAACAAGGAGAAGGATCACTGGTTTACCGACTTCCATAACAAGGTTGAGCTTTTGCACACCAGTCTTCTCCAGAACTGCTTCCTTCCGAGAATGATGAACTCTCCTCTGGACGCTCACTACACCTACATGATGTTGAAGTTCCTCCACAACAATGGCGCCCCCGGATTCCGCACTATGCACTTGCTGGACCGTCTACTGCGTAAAAACCAATTGTCATCGCTCATGTTCCAATGCACCCCTAGAGAGTCCGAGAACTTTGGTCGCTTCCTGAATGAAGTTCTGAAGGAGCTTTCGTCTTGGCATGCCGACAAGGCAGCGTACGAGAAGAACGCATTTGGAGCAAAGAAACAATTGACTGGTTTCGCGAGAAAGCTCAACCCAGACAACACACCGTCAGTATTCCTCAGCTATGAAGAGTATCGTGTACTGCTGTACAAGTGGCACTCCAACTTGAATGCTGCTTTCCAAATGTGCTTCGACTCTGGCGAGTACATGCACATTCGCAACGCCATCATCGTGTTTAAGGCTGTTGCTCAACAATTCCCTGTCGCAGAGCCCATGGGCAAAATGATCCTCGATACCGTCACTGCTCTTAGCAAGGCTGATGGCAGAGCCGATCTCAAGCTCGCTGCTGCAAGTTCATTGGGCGACATCCGCAAGAGACAGTCTTCTTGGGTCTCCAAAGAACACTTTACAGGAGTGAGTACAGCACAACCACCCTCAACCAACAAATCTGACATTATCAAGAAACCCGATCCCAATGCCAAGCCTGTTCCATCTCGAGCCGCGACCCCTGCTTCTCGTACTTCGACTCCTCTTAACCCTACCGCTCAATCATTCAAGGCCCCACCTGTTCCAGCTCAGAAAGCCGAATCAGAGGATGGAGAGATTGACGATGACAAGACTTCGGCAAAGGCAGAAGCTACTGACGAGAAGTCTGAAATGTTACCAGAGAGAAAGGCCGCGCTCAAGCCGTTACCAAGAGCCAACGAAGGCCAAGTGAGAGCTCATACTCCCTCGCAACGCAATGACTCAAGGCCATCGTCAACCCAGCCCACAAGAACGCCCCACTCTCTGCCTAGCAAACCGGAACTACCACCAGCTACCAGACAACCATCTGGCCGAGGCCCTGCACAGTTACCTGCCCGCCATGACTCTCGAGAGCGCGGTCATCCTTCTGATTATGGACGACTGGACAGACCCAGCGAAGCCATGCGTTCTAACGCTTCCGGCATGCCGAGAGAAGCATCCCCTCCTTTGGGAGCACGTGGAGGCAGAACTCGTCAGAGATCGCCAGAATATCCTCCTCGTGATGACAGACGCGACCACTATGGCAGACCTCAACCTTCAGCCTTGCCTGAGCCGCGTATGGCTGAACGCGATCAATACGGTCCTGCAAGACCTCATCCTGGAAGAACACTCCTTCAAGAGAACAGAGGGTACCCTGGTGGCCCTAGCCCGATGGCTCCTCCTGCTGATCGCTCAGGTTACGATAGAATTGATCGTGGTGAGCGCTCTGAACGTCCCGAACGCGTCGATCGCGAACGTTCGGATCGCCAGTCCATGAGTCGAGCATCTTCTCACTCTGCCCAACCATCGCAGCCTGCAGTCGTTGTCAACCCTGAGCGTCTTGCTTTGATCTCTGGAGAAGTAGCTCCCAATGATCGCAGATCCAGAGACTCATCTCGTGACGACAGAAGATCGAGGGACTCAAGACCGCAATCTCCCAAAAGACCCGCTGATCTACCACCACCAGCACCAGTGCGCGAGAAGGAAACTCCACGCAGACAGCCGCTTGATCCTAANTCCATTCGCTGCACGAGAGAGTGCTCGTGCTCAGCCCGAGAAAATGGACCCGCCACCGACCGGGCCTGCAGCGGGCAGAAGTGGACGAGGTGGTCGCAATGATGTGCCTCCCAANNGTCTAATGCTCGCGATCTTTTCGAGCCTTCAGGCGGTTCTAGAAGAGCCGTTGATACGCAGATGCAAGATCCGAACTATGGACGCTTGAGCTCCCAGCCAGAACCACCTTCCGGACCTCCTCTCGGTCCAAAGGGTTATGGCAACAACAACAATCGCAACTTCCCTGGACAGAATGTACCCAACGGCCGCCCTGCAGATGCAAGAGATGTACCACACAACGCCCCTCAGGAACCCAGCAGTAACCGCAACAGACGCCCTCAACATGACCGCCAGGGCTCACAACAATCACAATTTACGGTTCCTCCTCCACCTCCAGGACCCCCGCCAGGAGCCCCTCCACAGACTGTGCAGCCAGAAGTTGTTGGAATTCACCCCAGTCGTCTTCAAATTCTCGACATCGCACCGCAAACTGCATCTACCCCTACAGGTCCGCGTATGGGCATGGCTAATCCGTCCACTCCAAACACACCTTCTGGACCATCGGCAGCCACGTCCCGAGCTCCTGCTGGACCTGCGAGTGATCGCCGCAATGGCCAAGATCGCAGATTCGCTGGGCTGAATGATACCTTGCAAAGTTCAAACGCCAACGGTGCATCCATAAGGGGACGAGCCGGTGGACGACAAGGACAGGGACCCAACTCCATGATGCCCCCATCCGCATTGCCCAGTCCTGCTGCTACTCAATCTCCCGCCATGCCATCGCCAGCCATGAGAAACGATTTCCCTACTCCGACAGGTTCGTCTAGAGATCAAGGCGGCAACAGACGTCATGATGATCGCGAACAGAGAGATTCCAGACGTCATGGCCGTGATGGAGGTGAATCTCGTCACTCTAATCACGGCAACCATGGTCACGGTGCAGCCAACCTGCCACCCCCACCACCACCTGCAGATGATTACCGCAGTCATCAGCCCTCTGGCCGCGCACCTAGATCTTCGCGCGGCGGCAACGACAGAGATGGATATGGTGGAGGTGGCAGAGGTACTGCACCACCCACACCAACACTATCTTCTGTCGCACAACCGCCTCAAGGCTTTGCACTTCCCCAACAAGGCGATCCCTCAGGCTACGGCAGCGGCAGAAACCGCGGCTTCGAAGGCGATGACTATCATCGTCGCGAGAGCCGTGGCGATGGGGGTTCAGGAAGAAGAGACGATGGCAACGGCGGAGGACACAGACGAGGGAGGAAATGGTGGCAACGACGACGGAAGACGCAGGGAAAGTGGACATGGAGGAGGCCAGCAACAAGGAAACAACGAAACACAAGGACAGAACCAAGGACGTTCGGAGAGGAAACGCAGGGGTGAAGGCGAACCTGGTGGTCACGAGGGCAAGAGGAGAAGATAGTAGGTTCTGCCTCTGTTTGCCCCTGACTTTCTTGTGTCGCCTTGGGGTTTTGACTGTTCCAAGAAAATCCAATCATCAATGCCATCATTTGTTTTGTTCACACATACGTGATTGTTTTGGTTCCTCGCACAGCATGTATAAAGGAAAGCATTGCATATGACTTAACCCCGACGGTTTCCTATCTGAACGAAGTTCACAATCCTCCTCTTTTCCTTTTGTGTCTCTCTCTACTACTACAAACACACACATGCGCACGATCAACATGGATTTTCTATGGAACTTGGTCATTTATTTCCTACTCACAATGTGTAAGATTCTTTTCAAACCTTTTGAACATGTTTTTCAAACCTCCTATGTATGTATTCGAGCAACGACGATTGCAGACAACATGCTAGCTAGTCTTTTCTTGTTTTTGCCACCAAAAACGACCCTCAGCTGCTAACTCCAGAAACTGCGACTTGTATGTGGGGGGTTTTTTTAAAACGATGGCTTTCTCCTTTTGCAGTGCGGGAACAAAGACGTGAGGAGGGATGTATGCAAGTGGCTTCACAGAAAGGAAAAAAAAGAAAAAACAAATAGGGAAGTCGATACAAGAATCATAGATAGACAAAGGCGAGAACTGTGGTGTGAACAATAACAAAGGTCTGAGATCGAAGATGGGATAGAGTTGCATGGCCGAAACAAAAGAATGTGATTTGAGGAACTAGAAGACTAGAGACTACATACTGATGACTACTATTACAGTTTGGGGGGTTTGTGTTGTGCTGGTATGACGGGATAAGAAAGAGTGACTTGAAGGTGAGTATGCATGGCCAATGTGCAAACAAACGAGAAGTTAGTTGCGAAACGACCAGGACTAATAAGAAGAAACACAAGCAAAATGTCCAAATCTTTTTTTTTTGTCTTCCTGATTTTCTCTTCTCTGTCGTCGACTGGGAGACTTGGACGAGAGGCTGAAGCCTAGATGAAGAAAGGATGGGAGTGTAGTCGATGGTGGTGATCACATCCACATTTCGGTCAAACCATCAAAGGCAATCCAAGGTCTTTCTCTTTTCTTCTCATTCTCATGTTTGTCCTCAATTTGAGAAGCCTGAACAGGTCTCTCGTCTCTAACCCATACCGTCATGAAACTCATGGGAGCAGCATTCATCGTCGTCACAGTGCTGATCCCCGAAGTCACAGTAGAAGACCCGCTAGCCGTGTACGTGGCCACAGTTGTAGTAACCGTACTTGCCGGAGCTGTAACAGTGGCCACACCTGTAGCAACAGTCCTGTCGATACTTTGCGTGACGGTGCTTCCAGATGCAGTGACAGTGGTATAGCCGCTGGGAACAACGACATCGGAAGTCACTGTTACGGCGCCAACGGTCACGACAGAGGGTTGAGCGCTTTGGACGGTGGTGACAGTCGAACGTCTCAAAGATGACACTACAATGGTGGAGGTGTAGATAGATCGCACGCTCGTTGCAGTATCGACTACGGTGATGGTGCTCTGGCTGGACACGACGGAGTAAGACGTGACGACGGCACCCTTGGTTTGCATGGAGATCACGGTCTGAATGGCAGGAGCCGCACTATTGACTGTTTTGGTTTTGTCTGCCACCACGCGGACCTGAGTTGCAATCCTCACTTGAGCTGTAGGCGAGGTACTTGAGGATGTCGAAGATGGCGATGAGCTAGGAGTTGTCGAAGACGAGCTCGAAGTCGTCGAGGATGGTCGAGAGGACGATGAACTAGGAGTGGACGACGGTGATGGAGACGGACTCGAAGATGACGGCGATGAATTGCTCGAGCTAGAGGACGACGAAGGAGTGCCTGAAGAAGAAGTCGATGTTGGGGTACTAGACGTCGGGGTGCTTGAGCTGGCGCTCGAGCTACTTAGGGATAAAAAGACGACGATGTGGTTGATGGGCTCGAAGTCGCTGACGCAGTGATTATCGAAGCTCCTGTAGGAGTATCACATATTGTGGTTTTCGATATGGAGTAGCCATCAGGAACAAAGTCAGAAGTCGATGAAGACGAAGTGCTGGAAGTGCTAGAGGTTGTCGAAGTCGTCGAAGTTGAGCTTGAAGATGTTGTGTTCTGGACCTTGTAGGCATAGTCTCTACCAGCGACAGGCTGAGCCACGCTGCTGGTGCTCTCCAGGTAACACGTTCCATTGTTAGGATCATAGCTGTAAGAGTCGCACTGCGAGTTTTGATCGCAATAAGGAGCACAGCCTTCGAAGCTTCCTGATTGGACAGTAGCTAGATCGCCGGCTGCTCTGCGAGAGAAGGCCGCCTCATCGAAAAGCATCGTATTGTTGGCCTTGGAGCAGATGACAGCATACGTGACATTGTTGGAATCGGTAAAGGTGCTTCCAGCTGCTGCAATCTGCTGGCAGGTTCGTGCTCCGATATGGTTGGTTGGCGTAGCTGAAGTCGAAGATGTCGTGTTCGAAGACTTGGTTGACGAATGGCTGGAGGTACTAGAATGACTCGAAGTACTGTTGGCAGTCATGGACATCGAGTGACTCGAGGTACTGTTCATAGACTTTGTCATGGTTGATGATGGCGCAGATGAGGTACTGCTGGTCATGTTTGCGGGACGATTCTCAACCAGAGCAAAGTGGTTCCGTTCCTTGCCATCTGGCTGGACCGATTGACTGAGCTGTAGTACGTGCAGGCGTTGGTAGTGTTGTCATATGCCGTGCCTTGGCAAGTAGAGTTGCTTGCACATTTGTTCAGGCACATATTGATACCACCATCTGCGGCTCGTTTTCTCATAAGGTTGAAAATGGTGCCACTGTAGATGGTGTTGTTCTGAATCCCGAAGGTCACGCCCATAACTGTGGTAGGCGATGCCGAAGCCGTTGTCGAGCTCGAGGTAGTCGAAGAAACTCGCGAGGATGTCGAGTTGGCCGAAGAACTGGTTGAGCTCATAGTACTCGAGGTTGTCGAGTTTGTGTACACTCCACTCGAGCTGCTGCTGCTGCTCGAAGTAGTGGAACTAGATGCCGATGTGCCGTCCGTTGTCGCTTGACGCTTTCTCGCAGAAGGCGCTGCGTAGACAGCAAGTGGTGGACCGGGATACCCATTGTCGATGTTGGGAGAGCCAGACAGCTTCAATGTGGTCAGTCTTGGTTTCAGGCATCTTGATCGCGCTGTCCAGAGGAGAATTGACATCTGCACGATTCACGAAGGTCATGTAACGTACCAATTGATCAGGTGGTGGTAAACTCCATCCAGTCGCGAACAGCTGCACAAAGCACGCTGCCGCCAAAGAAGCATCAGCAAACCGCATCCTTCGCGTAAACAGTCACCAATGATTGTCGCTTTTTGTGGTCGTCTCAAGAATCTTCAGGTACCAACAAAAGAGATGGAAAAGCGAGATGAGTTGGAAGGTCAGGGAGAGAAAGATCATGGCAGGGAATCTTGCACGAACGTCAGCATGAGGGCATTGTTTTCGAGCAACGTGCACAGCTCGAGCAACGTTCCATAGAGTTGAGTGTTGCTTGCTTCCAAGGTAGAAGTTTCTTTGTGTTGCTGACCAGTAGAAATTGGTTGTCCATCCTGAGTGCTGTTGGTGTGAAAGCAAAACTTTCTTCTGGAGCTGAGCTGTGGAGCGATTTGTCATTGACCGCGCCAAAGAGCCATAGAAAGTGCTGGTAGACGGGTGCATAGTCTGCTAGGTTCAAGCGCTTTTGTGCTTGAACCTGGATGTAACGTGAAATGAGGTAGTATAGTCGATGGATGGGGTTTGGTTAGGTGGGGACAATAGAGGATTAGGAAGGCAATCGCGACGTGAAGAAGTCACGACAGCTGAGCTGTTGAGAAGTGCAAGTGTGTAACCAAATCAGAAGGTGATAAATGGGAAAGTAGCTACTCACCTGTGGAGCTGTGGTGGAGCTTCGACGAACCTTCTCCATGTTTGCACTGCTCGAACCACCTCCGCTTCTCAGGGACCACACTTTGTTTTGTTGGAACAACGTTGCAATTCGTTTTTCTTTGCTTCTATCGTAATCTGCGGAATAGGTGCTTGCAAGCGCTTTTGATCTGCCTGTGCAGTATTGCTGAAATTTCGTGAAAATGTAGTACTGCCTTCGATGGCAGAAACACTGGCTATGCGTGTTGTACAAAAGACGAATACCTATGAGTCTGGGGCGTTCTCATTGCCAGTTGCCGTGACAGACTCATCAACCATCGAGACATCCCCACCAGCAGCGGCTGGAGTTTCGTCCTCATCCCTCATCATCGTCGTCGATCACACGAGCAGGCTTCTTTCTCCGCCTTTCAACAACAGTGTCGTCCTCCTCGTCTCCACCTTCCGCCATCGACTCGTCTCCTCGAGCTTCCTTTTGAGCATCATTCTCATCGTTGATCTTTTCGGCAAGTGCTGCATTCTCGTTTTGCGTAGCAACAGCATCGTCGTCGCTGTCACTGTCCACCACAACCTCAGAGCTCTTGAACTTGCCCTTTGGCTCGGCAACCTTGCCCTTTCTTTCGAGCTTTCTGCGCTTCTTCTTTTGGGCTTCTCACCGTCTTCGTCATCGGAAGCGGCTGAAGTGCTGCGTCTCTTCGATTTCTGTCGCTTCTCCCTCGGTCCGAAGTCGGCGTTGCCATCAGCATCGGACTCGTCTTCGTCGTTGACGATGTCTGAGTCGCTGTCGCCGCCCTTCTTCTTTTCCTTGATCCCTTGGGCTTCTTCTCTCTCTTCTTGCGGCCTCCCGTTTCTTCATCAGTTGTGAAATCAGCATCTTCGCGGGCTTTGCGTTCAGCTTCCTCCTCAATCTTCTGCTCGGCGATTTCGCGGTCCTGTTCTTGCATGCGTTGTCTTTCTTCAGCAATCTTCCTTCTGCGTTCTTCCTGTGCCTCTTCCAGTGCTCGCTTCTCGTCTTCGCGCTTCTTGATCTCAGCCTCACGTTGTTGACGAGCTTGTTCAAGCCTTGATGCGTTCTTCTGCTCGAAGTCGCGTTGACTTTGTAAAGCACGGTCCAACTGCTTGCGCATTGTGTTTCTTCCCATATTAGCACGCTGTTCGATGTCGTTCTTGGGGAAAGGTGGGTTTGGCGCGCGAGCAATAGCCATAAGACTCTCGATAGCTTCGTCCAGGCCAGTAGCAGCAGTTTCAAGGTCGACAAGCGTTCTCGTGGCCTCCGGTAGAGTGTAGATGAGCTGTGCGATCTGAATCTGAACGAATGCAACGTTGAACTTGAAGTGAAGTTGTTCAGGCGATGACTCCAGTGCACGGTTCGAGAACTCGAGCGCGGTCTTCATGGCTTGCATGTTCTTCTCTTGTTTGCCCTTCATCAGCCAGACGCGACCGAGGCAAGCAAGAATGCTGGGGTCGTGTGTGCGGTCCTTGGCAAGGGCAGCCTCGTAACTCTCGATTGCGCGAGCGAATTGCTTGACCTCGACAAATGCATGACCCATATTGATGAAGACACTGGCATCTTTCAGGGTTTCCCGAACTTTAGTAAAGATCTGGATCGCTGTTCCGTAGTCCTTCTTGTCTTCAATCAAGGCGATTGCAATGCCCTGGGCGGCATAGGCGTTGCGGGAGTCAAGCTGCAGAGCCTTGTCGAAGAACTCGATGGCTCTGATGTATGTCTTTGTACGCTTCTCCTTGTCCTGGTCGGTATCTCTGCGCATCTCGCGAGCAACCTGCAAGAAGAGGTTACCCATGCCAGTCAAAGAGTACCTGTCGTGCTTGTCGTGGTGCTGAAGAGTGTGCTTGTAGTGTCTTTGTTCTTGATCTTCGGCAGGGTTCATGGTGCGCTTCTTTGCCTTGTGAATGTAGTGTCCGTACAGAGCACGAATATCGAGATTGCCTGGTTCTGACTCGAGCAATTTCTTGACAGCTTGAGCGCCTTCTGAGGGGTTTTCGCGGAGTGCAATGTATGCAAGTCTGATTCTGGCATCTGTGTAATCAGGGTGACGCTCGAGTAGACCTTGGTAAACCTGATTAGCCTCGTCCAGCATGTGTTCAGCCTCGTAAGTTCTGGCCAAGTTGTAGCTGATGGAAGTCACAAGCGAGTCGGTATCGAGTTCACTGTCCTTTGCTCCAGCCTTGACACAAGCGTTAAGAGCAGTCTGGAACAAATCTCTGGCTTGACTGAATCGTTCGGCTTGGAAGTGGAAGGCAGCCATGTTGTTCAGTAATTGCGGGGGAAGCATCTCACGAAGAGCAGCCTTGAGCTCTGCTTCATCCTTGGTCTCCGGTCGGTCTTCTTCATCAATGTCGTCCATCTCCATCTGCTCAACTTGCTGCAGACATTGCAGACTGCGCTCGGGGTTTTCGATCTCGTAAAGCCTGGCCAAATTCAAAAGAACGTAAGAATCTGGGGTAGCCTTCTTCTTGGGGTCCTTCCAGGTGTTGCGAACACCCTCCAGAAGACCAATGGCCTTTCTCATCTCGGATGACTTGTCTTCCTTGGATCCGGCATTCTGGCTAGCGTAAACTTCCTCGGCGTACAAAAGACCAAGCAGAGTCATGGCTTCAGCGCTCTTTGTGGACTGAACAATGCTCTCGAGACGGAACTTTGCACCGCTCCAGTCTTTCGAAAGGATCTTGAGCTGAGCGGCACCAAACTTGGCAGGGAGGTAACCTCTCTCATCTCCACCTCTTGCCTGGTCCGCCCTGTTGTAGTAGTCTGTAGCCTTGGCAACGTTTCCTTCGGTGTGCTCCTTGCGAGCCATGAGATACCAACCATCACTGGCGATTGCGTTGACATCAGTGGCCTCGATAGCTTGACGGGCAAGACGCTCTACCGTGGGCCAGGCCTTTCTGAGAATGAAGTAATTACCAAAGGTAGCGCAAGTCAGGGGGAACTTGTTGTCGAGCTTCCATGCAGTCTGGGTGTACTCGGTCATGGCCTTCTTGTAGTGCTGCTGGAACTCGGGGTCGGTGGTAGGGAGCTTTGCGCTCTGATCGAGGTGGTACAGGCCGAGCAAGATGTTGGCAATCTTGGAAGTTGGGTTGACCTCAAGGGCGCGCTGCCATGCGTTGTGAGCTTCATCCTTGTGACCGAGCTGCCAGAAACAGCAACCTATGCCGATTCTCGGGTCTGGGTCTTGAAGTTGTGGGGCGCGCTCAAGAGCGGACTGGTAGTTGTGGAGGGCGTCGGCGTATTTGCCGAGGGGAGAAGAGAGCTCTGGCCTTGCCCATGACAGCCATCATGTTGCGACCGTGGGAAGCGCGCAGAGAGTCTTCAAAGCATTTTGCAGCCTGGCGGAGGGTATCGAGACGTTCGGACTCTTGGACAGTTGATGACGACTTTGAGGGCTGTAGCGAAGCACGAAGGAGATAGAGGACGCCACGAGCGAGGAAGAGGGGAGGGTAAGTGGGACTGATGCGCGAAGCCTCGTTGAGGGTGCTGGTGGCTTGGTGGATGTAGTACTCCTTGTTGCGGGCCTCGGAGGCCAGCTGGGTGTCTGCAGACAAGTCAGTGGGGTGCGACAGTTGTTCATCTGAGAAAGACAGTACCAGGCTTCAGACGAGGAGCTTCCCTGCACTGCCACAAGCGCAGCCAGCACAAGCACGACAGCAGGGACAGCTTGTCTTCGGGCTTTGCATTGCGCGACAGGGAGCTGAGGCCTCTTGTGACGATGTCGATGGCGTGGTCGACCTTTTGCTGTTTGGCATATGCCAGGGCGATGGTCATCCAGTAGCCGCGGGCGACATTCTCGTTCTCCAGCAGGGTGCACAGCTCAGTAGGGTCGTCCATCAGATCTTCCAGGTTGACCTCGACAGCTTCCTCGGCGTCACCACTTGAGAGAGGAACATCGAGAGCGGCGGGAATGTGTGAGAAGCGAACGAGAGCAGTGGCGACGTCTTGGTCGTGGTCGTCGAGACCATTCGAGTGGCCGTTCAGCACAGCAGCCATTGTGAGAGGGAAGGTGTGGATGCGCCGAAATCAATGGGCCATGGATTGGCGCGACGAGGTTTGCGACGTCGGAGCCGAGTTGAGGTTGCTGCTCTTTCCTCCGAATGGCAATAGCAGCTTGTGATGAAGGGGCGATGGAGAGGGCGAAATAAGAGGAAGGCGCAGGTCGCGGGTTGTTAGTGATGAAGGGAGTCACGTAAGTTGCGGCCGCAAGGCCAGCGCGAGCTCTCACAGTCGCAGGGCAACGCTCCCGCGATGTTTGTTGAAAAGGCAACTTTGCCGAGACGCGTCACTCCCGATGCGGCAGCTGCGCCGATCATGCTCCGTGTATACCATCAACCCTCACTAGCTATCTATGAGTTAGGAAGGCACACTTGTTAAGAAGGCGTCAATGGACTAGACACATTCGCAACATGTCGTATATGCGCCGGCCCTCGGCGACCAGCGACCGAGCATACACCAACGGAGACGGCTACCAGTTCCCGCGACGCTACGACCTCGACACGACAAGCAGGGACAACAGCGCAGACGAAAGGAGTCGATCAAGAGGTCCTGCTGCTGGAAATGGTTATGGCGGTCTCGTTCGTGGAGCACAGGATGACTATATCCCTCGAGTAGGCAGTCCAGCCCGACTGGAGCGGAGCAAGAGAGCCAGTGGAGAAGGCAGACCAGGCAGCAGGAGCAGGAGCAGAGCCGCCAGCGAGATGCGCAATGCAGAGAACAGCAGGCAGGTCGAGGAGATTCTGCGCTACATCGACCGCCATTGGGGCCAAATGGCAAATGAGTCGTGTGTGCCTGTTAAGGTTGCCCTCCAGCTCATGGACCAGAGCTCTCTCGGTCTGGCCGACCAGTACCAAAGCTTCCAAGAGACACACCAACAGTTACAAAATGCTCTCAAGGCCATTGTCAACCAGCACCATCAAGGCTTCAACTCGTCCATTGGTACTTTCCATCAGATCCAATCCAGCATCCAATCCTCGCAGCAAAGAGTCCGCTCCTTGAAACAGTCCCTCGTCCAGGCCAAAGGGAACCTTCGTACTACTCGTCCCGAGCTCAAAGCGTTTGCTCAGTCAAGTCAGAGCTACGACCACATGCTGCAGACTCTGGCATACATTGAGCAGTTGCAACTCATGCCTGCCAAACTCGAAGCCCAGATCTCAGAGAAGCGCTTCCTCGGTGCTGTAGAGACACTGCAGGACGCCCTCAAACTCATGCACAAGCCCGACATGGAAGATATTGGTGCCTTGAGCGACTTGCGTGTCTACTTCAGCAACCAAGAACACTCCATTACCGACATACTCATCCAAGAACTGCACAGCCACCTCTATCTCAAGAGCCCTTACTGCGAAGAACGATGGAAGCAATACGCCAACCGCTCTACTACTACTGGTACTACCTCATTCGAGATCGAGGGTCGTCAGTTGTACCGCTTTCTCGAGGCTTTTGATCCAAATCAGATCCTGACCGAAGACACGTCCCGCAATCCCGAAGCAGACACTTTCTCCTACATCCAGCTCCTGGTTGAAGCACTCGATCGCATGTCACGTCTGGACCTTGCAGTCGATCAAATCGAGCAGAGACTGCCCGTCGAGCTGTTCCGTGTCGTTGAGAGATCATATACCGAAGTCGAGCAAAACTATCCTGGTCTCATTCGTGGCGCCGCAAAGCAGCAACACTTCCAGCTTGATAACATCAATGCTGACATCAACCAAGACAAGAAGATGATCCTTGAAGACATGCTGTCTACCTTGTACGCCAAATTCGAAGCCATCGCAGAAGGTCACCGTGTTCTACATGAAGTCATTCGTGGTATATTATCCCGCCAAGGCAGTCATGAACCCGCCTTGTTGCGCAGCTTCCGCGAACTCTGGAAACTGTATCAGAGTGAGATTCGAAGTTTGCTGCATGACCATCTGGCTGCTAGTGGTAGCCCTGAGAACTCATCACATCCCGAACATCATCATGCAGCAAACATCTTCAAGCCTCATGCTCGGGATCGTAACAAACGCTTGTTCAAGTTGGCAGATACAGACAGCAAGTCAACCGAACTGACCATCGANAAAGAAGACCTCGACTTCATTCTCAAATCTTCGGTCCCTGGCCTGGCAGCCACAGGCACAACGCCTGCTGTCAAGGATGCCGAGAATGAAAAGAACGAAGATCGTTCAGCTACTGGCCACAAGCTGTTGGTTGAACCTAGTGTCTTCAACATGGGTATCCTGCTGCCTCCTTCATTGTCTTTCTTGACAAGGCTAAAGGATGTTGTACCACCAAGCTCCGAGATTGTGACAAGCACTCTCACCTCTTTCCTCGACGACTTTTTGATCAACGTCTTCCTTCCGCAGCTGGAAGAAGCCTTGACAGATATGTGTATGGCTGCATCTGCAGAAAGCGATGCCTTCCAGCAAGACCCCAAATGGCAGGTGCGAGCACAGAAACCAGTCTTCAAGGGCACGGCAAACTTCCTTGACTTGATCAAAGCCTTTTGCATGCTGCTGGACAGCCTGCCTCATGATCAAGCATTCAGTCAATTGGTCATGGCACAAATGCGCATCTATTACGACAAGTGCTACAATTGGTACCGCGCACTAGTCATGCGACCACAACAAAACTCCAGCGAAGAAAGGAAACCCAAGCGATCGGCCGCACTCGCAGAGTATAACGCAGACATGCGAGACGCAGTAGCCACCCTTCTTGCTCATGAAGCCGAAAACGCAGACGACGTCCAACGCCTGATGCAAGAACAAACCGCATCACTGATTGCCAACGTCAAAGCCTCCTCACTCACAGACGCAGACCTGATCTTCGATCGCAAATGCGTCAGCGGGTTGTGTACATTATACAACAGCACGCGCTGGTTTGTCGCCCACATCACTCAACTGCGCCACATGTCCAGCTCAATGTCCAACTCCAACACCTCCACAACATCTTCACGGCATCAAACTCGTCGCTGGACAACTTTGATATCGCCCAACCCTCATGCTGCAGTCTATCTCCCTCTAGACACACAATCCTCTCGCGACTTTGACGCCATCACTACATCAATGACCGACCTCGGATCTCTAATCCTACGAACCTTGCATCTTGAAATGCGCCTTCAAATCCTTTCTGGAGTTTCTCGAGCATTGAATACGACTTATCTGCTCGGTCAACCTTATAATGATCCAGACCCTTCTATTCTCTCTCTCTCAACCCACCTTCTAAACTTCGACGAGGATTTGTCTCTGAATCTTCCTTCTGCCCAACATCGTCTGCTGGTGCTGCATCTCGCCCATCCAGCTTCTATAGCTTTAACTTCTTTCACAAGCACCATTCCTGCAATGGATGTCCACGGTATAGGCCGCATGCACCTCAACATCCTGGTTTTGCAACAAGTGCTCAAAGACATCGAGTCCTCATCATCTCTTCAACAAGCAGCAGATTTCTGGAGTTGGTTTAGCGATAAGCCTAAAGATATGGTTGATGCTGTTACTCAAGGGGAATTGACGAAGATGGAAGCGAAAGAGTTGGTTAGGCTTTGGGGTAGTGGGAAGGGAGATATCGGTAGAGTGGAAGTCGAAGAGGCGTTAAGAGGTTTAGATTAGATCTTTGCTCTTTTCTCTCTCTCGCGCTGTTCTGGTATAGAGATTTTTATGGTCCTTGCGTTCTCTAATTGGTGTAACACTCAGTGTATCGAGTAAATCTCACAGGCTCCTCAGAGAGCGTCCAATGGCATTGGTTCCCCGGCTTATAGTATCTGTCAATCATAGCTATACCTCTATATCTCACCAAACCTTGAGTACTTTATCCAGTCATTTTCTATCGCTTATTCACGTATGGTTGTTTGTGTCGCTAACGTATAGCATCCTCATACTGATACGAGGAGCCAAGGGACCCCCAGCCAGATAAGATATCAACCAGAGATTGCTCGGCGCGGATTGTTCTGTCTTGGCTTTGCAAAATACCCCGGAACTCTGCTCTGTGTTCCAAAAGGACGGGTAAACCGCAAGAAGAAGAGCAAAAACATGCAGTTTCCATAGGAAGTATAGAGGAGGAAGAAAAGGACAGAAAGCAATGGACAAGAGAGAACTGGCAGAGTCAAGTCAAGGTTCTGAATCGAACAAGGAGAAAGCAAGGGTGAAAAGAAAGACAGGCAAAATTCAAGATTTCGATAGCAAGTGGTGCAAAGCAAGGCCGCGCAGCAGCCCATACAATTGCAGACAAACTATCGACATCTTGACAGCGCTCAGCGTCTTTCCCTTCTCTCCCTTCTCATTGTCGCTGTAGGTATTAATGGAAATATGTAAAGTGGTTCTCTTGTACAAGTTTTCTCCTTCCTCCCTCTCTCTCTCTCACTTCCTCTTTTTGATATCCTCTTCTCTCAGCCCCTCATCCTTGTAGCTCAGAAAGTGAAATCGACAGAACAATGGCGCGCTTCAATCAGCGCTGCGGACAGATGGGCAAATGCAAAAACGCAAACATGTAAAACAGAGAAGAAAGCACAAATGTCAGGAAGAAACCTCTCCAGCGCCCTGTGGCTGTGGCATGCGTGATGCAACGACAGCAAACCAAACACAACTCCGAAAGCCAGTCCCTGTATGCCCAGAGGGAAAGATGACGAAAAGCAAGAAGCCCGTTACAAACAAAAGAGACGCGTAAAAGGGGTATGCGTGTGGTTCTGATTCTGTGTTCTTTTCTTTCATTGGTATTCGGCGCCGGTCGAGACGATTCCCTGAGACATGGGATGTTGCATGTGGTGAGATTCCATGTGATGGGAGTCAATGTGATCGCGCGACATTTGGCTCATGTGCATGTGCGGCGGAGGTGGACCCATATCGCCGTGCATGTCAGAAGGCATACCAGGCATAGGAATGTACGAGTCGTTTACATCGCCTTCGGAGAGATCAATGCCTTCTTCAGGCTCTTCCAAGTCTTCTTCTGGGAAGGTTGTACCGTCTGGGTTTGCGTCGTGGGTGCGGCGGTGCTGAGCGAGGTTGTCTGAGCGGGAGAAAGCCTTGTTACAGAGTGGGCAGACGTAGGGACGCTCCGAAGTGTGGGTACGAACGTGTCTGGAAGCAATCAGTACAATGCGGATTGGAATGACAGCAAGCAAGACTCACCGCTTCAAATGCTCTAACCTCTTGAAGACCCTGCCGCACATAGGAATGGGACACGAATGCGATTTTGAGGGATAAGGGTTGTTCATGTCCTGGACGGTAGCGCTGCGGGCACGACGGAAGACACCATTGGGTGTACGCATAACGGCAGCCTGAGCGTAGTTGACAGGGCGGTACTGGTCTCCTGAGTATGCTTGTGCGTACTCGTCCTGGCCCATAGGCATCGAGTCGTCAACCGGAGTAGCATGTCGCGAGTAGTCTTTCTGCTGCTGACGAACAGGAGTGGCTCCTCTCGGCGAATCGTGGTAGACGGCATCGACGTCGTGAACGGGTACGGATGAGTGACGCAAGTCGCTGGGACGGTGGACGGCGTGCGAAGTAACGCTTTGGGGAGTCGAGCTGGGAGGTTGCTGTGTCAAGGATGAGCGACGTCTGCGCTGCTTGTAGGTGGGCGAGCCTTCAAGGGCTGAGGGGAAGTGGTGAAGAGGGCGCATCATCGAGGGGTATTGCGGAGCGGCCATGGGCTGTGCGACAGGCATCAGAGGGTTGTAGTACTGCGACATTCCGGGATCGGGCATGGCGGCGTAGAGTCCAGTCTCCTCGTTGGCAATGTAGGCAGGCTCGTGGTGAGGCTGCTGCTGCATCTGGTGCTGGGGAGGGGTGATGGGCTCGTAGCTCAGGCCGCGCTGGCTGTAGTCTTCAAAGTGCGACGAGACAAAGGACGGGGCGGGCGAGTACTCCATGTAGGCGGGCATGCTGCTGTGGCGGGCGGCGGCGTTCATGGCGCGTTCGTAGTGCATGATGGGCCCGCAGCTCTGTTCACGTGTCTTGTGCACCTGGGCTGGCAGGGGTGCTGGAATGGCCATCTGCTGGTACGTTGGCATCTGCGTCAACATTTCCTCCGAAGGCATCGTTAGGGGCATACTTGTTGGCTGCATCATAGCCCCCACTGGTGGTCCCATCGACTCGGCTGTAGTTGCTGGAGGGCCCATGGGCTGAGGCGTGCCTGCTGCCGCTGCCATTGTGTTTGATGCCATCGGTCCCGAACTTGGCGGCGCTGCCGAGTTGGCAAAGGTCGAGCTGTTGGTCTGTTGAGCTTTTGTGAGCTGCTCGAACAGCGACTGACTCGAGTCGAACTCGAATGAGAGGGCGGGCTCGCTGACGGCCACGGTTGTAGCTTCCTGGCCCATCTTCTCACGCTTGAGGTCGCGCTCCAAAGCGTCGAGGAACAGACGATCGTGCGGCACGCTGTACCAGTAAAAGACCTTTTGCTTCTTCTGGGTGCGGATGCAGTTGTTCTTGTACAGGAAGTCGAGGAAGGGGCTTTTCGGCTCTTCCAGCGAAGCATCAGTACCAGACTTGAGGTTTCGCAGATCCGAGAAGATGCCCTCTTCAAACTTCTTCGAGTTCTTGACCGGACGACCAAACGCCTGGAAGCGGAAGGACAAGCATCGCACAATGTCGGTACCAGAAATGTGGAAGAGGTTGCTNNCCTAGACGTCCAATGAGCATAGAACGACAAGTCAGTGAACAATGACGTACCAGAGCACACAAGACACATATTCGCCAGTGGGCAGCAAGAAGCGTCTGATGTATTGATCCGGAGACCAGTCGACGGGCGCTGAGATCAAAAAGTATTTGACNNTGGATCCGTGTCAGTAAGGGCTAGAGCGTCCATTGATGTGAGAGGACGGAAGCTGCGGCGACGACGTACGGTTGTCGACTTGTTGCAGAGCAACTATCGAGTCTGCGGGCAGGCTCTGTTGAGCATCCTGGTCGAGGAGGAAGGTCTCCGGGGCTACTGAGCGACCCTGGGGCGTGCCGGCCATGACGGTGTGCTGTGTCGAGTACATTGCAATGAAGATCGGGATATTAGAATAAGGGGGGATGTGCTAATCAAAAGAGTTGCAACTGAATGCGACAATTGTTTGAGCTGGCGAGGATACAAGCGAGTGTGGGAGGGGTATGGATAGAGATGCTAGAGAGACGACGACAGTCAGTATCGAGGGCCGGCCTGCGATAACGTGGTATGCCGTTGTGCTGCGGTATGCGAGGAGGAAGCAAGCGCAGGTGCAGATGCAGATGCAATACAGCAAGTGCGTGAGAGGGAAGGCGCGACTTGACAGGATGTCGCAGAGAGAGAGGGCAGGGTATTGATGGGAGTGTTTGAGAATGACAGAGGGCTGAGGGCTGCGGGAGGGAAGAGGTTGATGAGGCTCATGAAACAAGTGCAAGAAAGACTCGAAACCCGCCAAGTCTGCCCGTGCCCTGTTTGAGACTCTCTAGTCCAACGCCCCAGCGCCCTCTAGCCTCGAACCAACAAGAGCTTTGGTATCACCAGCTAGCACCGCTTCTTCATTTGGTCGAAGGTCCGCATCGAGAGATGGCCCGCGGCCTCACCGACCTGTCCAACACCGCTCCTCCACCGACGTCTGCTATAGCGAGAATCTGGTCTCAGCAGTCGAGGGCGGAGAACAGGTCCTCTACGGGAAGGCGCGCCCTTACTCGAGTGCCTGCCGCTTTCGTGCGTACACTAAAGCCACATCAATCTCGGCCGTTGATTCGATAATTTACTGTCTTTTCGAGAAGGCAGGCGCGTTGCCAACCTCCTCTTTTGCTTGTTCCCGTTGCCCATCATCCATCAAGCAGTCCATAGTCACTCTATCACGATGCAAACTCCCTTGCCTGCTTCCCGATTTCACCCACGATATCACAGCACCTGCGTTGGTACCTGCATGAACCTGACGGAAAGGCTACTGGCGGCTGATCCACAAAACGCTCTGCACTTGAAACACGCGCCGACCGAAACGGCCAACTGCACCCTGCTTCACCTCTTCTTGTTTGCAACCTGACAGCATATCTTATCCCAGCCAACTCTGTCTCCAAGAATAACATCTTCTTTCCACGCTTCATCGCACTACCGCAGCCCACTCTCGTCAGTGCCGCCATCACACTATCAATCTTTAGGAAGCGAATTCCTCCTTTTCTGTACTTAGCCTCTCCAGCTAATACCCATCTCATTTCCCGATCGCCGTCACCGCTCCTTTTTGCTTCTTCCGCTCTGCTTCTTTTCCGCTTCCCGACCTTGCATGCCTATGGGCCAACTCATTGTCAAGTCCAAGCGCCGTGCACTTGTCCAATCCATCACCAAAGCACCAACCTGCGATGCAGCATACTGACTGGCTGATGTCCTCGATCTCGGGGGTTTCTCGTAAGCGCCCGAATGTCATTCGTGACTATGCAATCACCTTCATCGTGGCGCAGCACCTCTGTATGTACCTCGCCATAGGGTAATATCGCTCTTCCAATCATCTCCTACAGGCTAGCTTTCGATGGCCTCGAGAGTTGACTTTTGGCCCTGTCTGTGATCAACACGTATTGCACGAGCATCATGTCTTTTTTGACTGCCGTCTTGTGCCACCACCAAGCTATTTGCGAAACCCTGCGCACATCCATTGATTGCGACTCTCTTCGCGAATGCACAAGGATTCGCTGAATGGAAGCTTTCAGAAGTCAAAAGTGCGTGAGGTTTGCGCAAGTCGATCCGCACATCAACGCTTGGAGCGCCTAATCCCAAGCCATCGAAAGAGGGTGGGCGTTCAGCTGGCCCTGTTTGAGATTAATTGGAAACACGTCGATCACCCCAGCTGGCAGTCTGTCGCTGCACCGCTGACTGCGTGCTGCATGTTCCATTCACGGCCAGCGCTCTTCTCTCAAGTTCAAGCATGTCCGTCACTCGTATCTGGCTGGCTGGATAAATGCGTCTTCATGTCTCTCTTCACATGACGACAACACATCCGTAAATTTCGTCTTGTGAGATTGACGAATGATATAATTAGACCAGTCCGACGAAGAATTCACACCGACTGCATAATCCACTGGACTGTAGTGATCGCTGCCGTAATTGCATGCGCTTGCTATGTTCCGTCGACTCTTTGTCGTCCAAGAGGAATCTTTAACCACAAACTCAATTCACTTGAATCGCTCCACTCAAAGGCCAGGCCGTTGCCCTACTTTTGCCTTTTCACGTTTCCAAAGCGAGCCACCCATTTGAAACTCCTACAGCTTTTTACCCTTCATTGATACAAACATGTCGTTGACAGGTTCACTGTGCTTAGCTCCTGACACGACAACGATGACACCTGCAACCAAAACGTGACCGCGTTCGCGTTTTGCATGCACGCGTGTATATAGCGTTGCAAGTTGAATCCTGCAGCAGCAGCGGCGGCAGCAGCACCCATTGACCTGCAGTTCGTCTCATGTGCATCCGCTGAAACAAGCTCAACTCCATTTTCCTTATGGTTGTGCGTTGCATGCTCTCTGGCACACGTTTCGTCGTCCACGGGCCGGCCAGCGTAACATTGTCCGGGTCCGGGTCGGTCGAGTCCGGACGGGTTACAAAGATTACAAAGAAGGAAGACAGATGCTTTGGCCTGAGGCCTGCACGCTAGGACTTCCTCTCTAGTGCTCTGCTGCACTTTCCTTGACGTCTCAAGCTGAGCACTTTTTCACATGGCTGGACCTCTGCCCATCCTTGATTGCGCATTCATTACTCACGCACCCGTCTTGCGACAGCAATATGGTGTCGCGTTAGTTAATCTGGAAGCGCGTGGCTCTATTGGTGCTTCTTGCTGCTGGTCCACTTTCTATTGTTCTGCTGACGAGTCCTCGTGTACGTTTTTGTGTCTGTATGTGATTGACGACTTGCAAAGTCGGTTTTTTTGCGCAATAAGCATGCATGAGATCGAAGCAGATGTCAGCCCATCTCGGCAGTTACGATGGTGATCATGATTAGGACGAGCCAGTCACGACTTTGACTTCTACTACAGTGATCATGTTTGCGATCATCGTGTTCGTGTCGTAGGCTTTGGAGAGCGTTTTCCTGGATGATGTGGAGCCTGAGGCAGGAGCCAAGCCTTACCTCTACCTCCACCATCTTTATCGCGATTGAGTGGCAGCAAATTTGATCTGTATGAGACTTCCAAGCTGTTTCTGCCAGTCTGTGACTTGGTCAAGAATGTTATGGTGATCTTTGTGTTCTTCCCTGGGTAAAACCTTTGAGTATGGCAACGAACTGTTGGCAATACAGAAACCATGCGTTTCATTTCAAACCTTGATGGGGAGCCACGATTTCTTCCAATCGACACATTCTCCCACAGATGTTCAAGAACACTCATGGAAACCAGAAAAGATGTTCATCTAAGAAGCCAGATGTATCTTTCAAGTATTTTAACCACTATCTAATCCAAGATGTCAGGTTTGTTGACCTCGAATGGAAGTTCGCAACCGAGAACAGGGTCATATACCAAGCAAGCGCGAGTCATGCCTCGCATAATGACGAACACCTTTGCGCCTTCCGACGCGACACAATCATTTCACCTCCTTCTTGCCAACATGAAAACCCTAGACAACAAGAACGTCACTGCAAACCGCGGTTCTTTCATCACCCCGTATGGTCTTTTCATGCGATGTCACTCTAGCTCTTCTTCAACAGTCGATGTCGTGGCAGACGCGTCCTTTTCTGCACGCGCCGCACTTGTTCCCTTCTGCTCTGGCACTAGATCCTTCAACACGATCTTTTGTAGCTCCGGATTAGATGAACAAGTCGCGTCGATGGGCAGCAAATCGTATCTGGTGTTTACTGACCCGTTCTGCGACAAAATCTAGATGATGGTGGGTGAACCATCGCACACCTCTTCCGACGACTGGTTCAGATCCTGGTTTGTTATGACAAGAAACCATGGCTGACTTTTAGCCGCCCTTGGTCTCAGATAAACATGAGAGAATGATATCGACAACGCATGTCTGGGGCTCGAGCTGCCTAAAGCAAATCAATGATCCTGCTTAGGCGCCATCCTGCAGCCCCCAAAGTACTAGGGCTGGCTTGTGGAGCTGGCTGAAGTCTGAAGACACGCCATCAATGGCGAACCTCCATCATACATATTCCTGCTGACAAGTCTGCGCTTTTTGCAATCGTTCAGAAGATTTGCCGATGATTTCAACGTCATAGAATCTGCTGTCATGATGGCCAATTCGTCAATAGGAACAATTTGCTCTGCGGATTCTTTGCCTGTCACCCCGACGGATGACGGATATTCCTGGCTAGATTATATATGCTTGACCTGTTACTTGGTGTGGTTGACGGTAGTCATTGGGGTCATGGTGACCGAGTGGCTTATGCGAAAGCGTGGACTGCCTGGAAGTTCAAGCCGGACATCTCAGGGCGCAAACCGTCTAGCCCGGATTTCGAGTGGACTGACCCCAGGACGATCTTCTTCGAGGGTTATCTGGCTGCCGTTGCTAGTCGGTATTCTGCCATCGAGCTTGACCATACTTTGGGTACTTTCAACACCTCGATCACCAACCTTGTACACCAAGTCTCAAGCTACCATCGAATTTCTGGAATCATGCTCTGACCCTACAGCTGTGAACTTTACTTCTCATGGTGCATATCATGACTTCTTTGTTGCGTGCGATGCAGTGCAGAATCGTATGAACGCAGACATTGGAGGTATTGGTATTAGAATCTCCCTTTACGTATCGTTGGTGGTGACTATCTTCTCATCTCTTGGTGGACACTTTCACCAGGAGAAAACAGCTGTCAAGGATATCGGCACTGCCCAGCTTGCATGTAAGTCTAATGGTTACTATCATTGGACTTGCGCTCACATCAATGTCCANGCAATGCTGTCCATAACATTCGCACTGCTTAGATCTTACACAGCTTTGAACTTCTGGCAGCTCATGGTCGCCGTCATGTCTCTCGAGATCACCAGCGCAACCGTACAGATATCCCTGTCACAAAAGGAAACTCTAGCATCTCGCTGGTGGGTCGTACTCAATTCCGTCTCTCAGCTGCTTGTACAGGTTTCCCTAGCTACCGTGCTCGGCATGTCTTTCCCTATGTCTTCTGCTCTGCAAGATCCGTGCCAACCCTGTGTACGAGCAGTGTGGTGGGGTATTTTCGACTCTTGCAAAAATGTTCCTTGGACGTTTTGGATCTACTGGACTATGCGTACCTTGATCGTCATACGATCATGCGCCATCGGACTCCATCATATGCACTACTACGATCTCTCAGAGCGTATCGCAAGGGGTGAGAAGGCGACTACGAAGACTAGCTGGACCAATTCTCTCCTCCGCTATTTGACTTTGACGGACCCAGTGAAAAGCATGATGATAGCCGACTCGCAACTCTCCAGAACAACCAAAGTCTGGAGCCTGGAGGCGTTCCACAGAATGCCTGCGACTACGTTGACCGACTGGATCCTGTGGGTGTTGCCTGCTGTTGTGGCCATGTCAAGTATGGAGCGCATGCTATCACTTTTGATCTATCAAAGCCCGGCAGCATCACAGATTGGGGACAGACTACAACATTCATGGCCGTGATTTTTGGACTCGTCGCTCGATCCATCTATCTGTTTTACGCCAAGTTGAAACGCCGAAGCTGTCTGGAGAGAACAAAATCTGCATTGGAGCTCTCGAAGTCGCCCATAGCTCGGAAGGACAATCCATCCGCCGAGGACTTCGCGACTCTTCAAAGCAAATGGCAGTCTTTCCGGGATATTCGCAAAATCTTGGAGCCCATCGACTGTGTTCGGTGGACATCCCCTGACCAAGTCTGGTACGAACATATTGACTTGGACAAAGTCGAAAAAGAGTTCCTCGAGTCAGCTAGAATGAACGACGTCAAAGGTTTGATCGACTTCGCTAAGTACATACCCGATATCTCGACGGCTGTCGATAATGATATGGAAAGGACTGCATTGCATATAGCTCTGCATAATAATAGCACCGAGGCTATCGAAACCATTATGGAGCTCATGGATCGAAAGCCACCTTCTGAAGATTCCTCAATAACTCCAGAAAAGAATTTGGAGAGGCTCTTGAATACTATGGACAAGACGAAGCGTACACCTTGGAGCACGATCATGCCCAGCGAGCCGAGTCAGATGCAACCGGAGGTTCTAGAGGCGTTTCTTCGCTTCAAGCATCCAGTGAGGCGGTCTAGTGAATCTCCCTCATTGCTCCAGATTATCAAGATGGTCTTCACTCTTCCTTATTCGCTCGAGATTATGAAAGCTTGGGTCAACGCAGCCGAGAACAGTCAATCTCTAAGTCAATTGCAAGATAACATCATCGAGGCTGTCAGAACTGACGATCGCACTCATACCAAAGAGACCGAGCAGGCCACTGAGTCGATTTTCCAATTCTGCTGCTGGCAGTACGATGACCTGGGGAGAACCGAGTTTGCCGACAGGCTTTTCAAAGCGTTCCTGTACAGCCCACTACGGTCCTCTGTACCTATGCCCGCGCACATCGCCTTGCGACTTGCTCATTTCGTGCAAGAGAAAAGAGCTTGGGCAGTACAATCCTACACTGAAATTACCCGGCTCGTTGCCTGGAAATGTGTAGAGAGTTTGGATCCTGTCAGACTTCTACTCGAACAGTATCCAAAAGATCAACAGTTTGAAGAGCAGATCGTCGTAGGAGTCATTCTCAATATCAAGCTTGGCATCGAGATCATGGACTTGATGTGGAAGGAATGGCCAGACCAAGTGGCCGTCACGCCCAGAATACTCGAAGCATGTTTGGTTGATAACGGTGATACAGTAGGATCATACTGTTTGACGCTCTTGCTCAGGAAGCGTCCACACCAGATACAGATCACAGATTCTCTACTGCAGTCTGTGGCCCGAAGATCCTACTGCGACACCTGGGAGGTGCTTCTTTGGGAGTACGAAACTCAAATTAACATGACTCAAGACATTTTCCATGCCAGTCTCCGGAACTTGAACGGTCGCCGGGAATCAGTCAACAGCTTGCTTCGAAACTTACTGAGAATGTGGCCGACTGAGACAAGAATCACGAATGAGACACTACTGATTATCATGCGAAGAGTTGCACTGAGCATCGACGTTATAGTGCTTTTCTCTAAAGTGCGACACAGGGAGTTCGGAGCTGCCATTGATGGCGAGGTGCTCGTTGCCCTGGTTGAACGCGGAGCATTCAAGACTCTCAATCTCAGGTCACGAACCCTTGTGGATTTCTTCTTCAAGCGATATCCCGACGAGTGTAGAGCCTCCATCACAGATGAGGTTCTGAGCAAGATTGAGAATATGAAGGATGGTCACGTCGTCGCAGAATACTTTGATGCCTTCCAACAAGGTTTGATCAATGATCTTACCATTGTCCTTGATGTTCGTCCAAAGTCTTTGAATATCGACCTGACGAAAAACGTCGGAAGAAGAACCGCCGACGCGATATATGGGTGGAATGGCCTAGCTGGGCGACACGGGAATTTTTGATCCGACGTGTGTTGATCAAGAATCACAAATTGCCCAGACTCACGAGTGGGGTGTAGATCCATTTTGGAAATTGATAAATCGACTGGAAGCCCCTGCTGTTTCTCACACCCGATCTTGCTCTTCAGCTACTCCAACACCAGTGTCGTCGTCGTCTGAAACTCGGAGAATATGTCAGCAACAAAACTTTTCGAACCGCTTAAGCTGGGCACGGCTCAGCTTCAGCACCGTGTGGTCATGGCACCTCTGACCCGACGTCGCGCCGACAAGGACCACGTTCAATTGCCTATGGCGGTAGACTATTACTCACAAAGAGCATCATCAGGAGGTCTTATCATTGCCGAAGCAGTCTTGATCTCTCCCGAGCATGGTGGCTTTAGTCATGCCCCTGGAATCTACACGGAAGCTCAAATCGCTCGCTGGAAGNNGGAAATCACAGATGCCGTTCATGCCAAGGGCGGCTACATTTACGCTCAACTGGTCTCTGTCGGTAGAGCAGCCGATCCCAGCGTTTTGAAAGAGGAAGGAGGTTTCCCTGTCCTCAGCTCGAGCGAGGTACCTCTGAACGAAGGACCAGATTCAATCCCTCATGCCTTGACCGAGGAGGAAATCAAAAGGGCAGTGCGGACCTTTGCCCAAGCAGCCAAAAATGCTATGGAAGCAGGCTTCGACGGCATAGAACTCCATGGCGCGAACGGCTATCTCATCGACCAATTCACTCAAGACACCTGTAATCGCCGCACCGACTCCTACGGTGGCAGCATCGAAAACCGATCCCGCTTTGCTCTCGAAGTTTCCGAGGCTTGTGTCAATGCTATCGGTGCCGAGCACGTTGGTTTTCGCATCAGTCCCTTCAGCACATTCCAAGGCATGAAGATGGACGACCCCATATCTCAATTCTCGCATCTCGTCCAGGAACTCAANAAACAACAGTTGGCCTACTTACATATCATTGAATCCCGCGTCATCAACAGCGTGGACTGCGAGAAAACCGAAGGCATCGAACCCTTCCTCGAGATCTGGGATAACGTTTCTCCTGTACTGGTCGCTGGTGGCTTTTCTCCTCAATCCGCCAAACATGCTGTTGATGAGGAGTACAAGCAATACGATACTGCTGTTGTTTTTGGTCGTCATTTCATCGCTAATCCGGATTTGCCGATGAGGATTTTGAGGGGAGTGGAGTTGAACGGGTATGATAGGAGTACGTTTTATAGTCCTATGCAGAGGGAGGGGTATTTGGATTATCCCTTCTGGGAACAGAGTAGGAGGTGGAAGTTGAGGCATGAGAGGTGGTTACGTACCGGGATGCACTTTCAAATCCTTGTGCGTTGTCTGTTTGCACCCGATCTTGACAAAAAGATACATCGTTGATGTATTTCAGTGCCAATCGAGCATTATCAATGAGTAAATCTACCTCTACGCATGCGTATTAGGCTTTAGGAACAGCCTCCTAATCCTTGCTGATACAACAGCCTGCCGCTCGAGTCTTAGATACTTCCATCTAGGCACGCTCTAGAAGAAGATTCCGAAAACCCGTATATACCCACAGATCCTGCCCAGCCAACTCTGCTCAAGAACTGCTAACTTGCTATCCAGACCAGTGTACTTGGTTACTCGTCTCGCACTCCACAACCATGAGCACAGGTGGTGGGTATGGTGACTCAAGTGCACTTTTGTTATATCTCAAGGACGTTCTTCAGCACTTCGAGTCTCACGCCCGGCTACCTCTCCTTGACGTGTAGCAGGGTATTGCAGAGTATATAGAGTGCAAGTGATAGCCTAGGTGGGGAGCACCTAGAGCTGAACCGCCATGGCCAGAGAGGCTGCTGGGAATATTCTACCTAATCGATGTGGACGCAGATCGCATTGAATGTTAAATGTGTCTTTGATAGGACAACGCCATCCATAGCTGCCGATCATGAGTCAAGCAACGGTTCTCAGCCAAGAAAGCCAAGAGAGTGAGCGAGGAGCAAAAGTGGAGCCCCATATATGTATCGCAGGGTTCCGGGTGTTTTCGAATCGTCCATTGTTTCCATCAACTATCTCTACGTATCTGCAAGCACAAGTTACCAGCGGATGAAGAATATCCTCAGCAGCCATCAATAATCCTCAAGACTCGTCCGCTAATCTCGAAATGGCATCTTATCCCAACCCAAGTACTTTCTCTACACTCTTCAACGGCGGTTTCATTGCTGAACATGATCGCACACTCGGCCTTCGCTGTCACGATCGCCACTTCCGCGACGCTGTCGTCTGCGATGAGAACGGAGTCAAAATCTTTGACTTCAACGCCAAGGACATCGTGATATCTTGGACATTGCGTCGTAGCCTTGTCGACAGCGCATCCAATCGCCATATCCTAGATCTTCGACACACCAAAATGGGCTTGAAAACATGGAAACTCGAGGACCACCAAGGCAACCAAGTTTGCAAGATCCAAGATGTGACAAGCGGATCTGGGTTCACGGCTGTGGATGTGCAGATCATGGCTAACGGAAGCGAAATATCAGCTATCCAGATACGGTCTTTCGACAAAGCGGGAAGTAGGACTACTTTCCAAGTAGATGGAGTTACTATTGTTGAAATGACCTTGACGGATAATAATGACGCATCTTTCTTACACAAGCGCGGACTAGACAGGACTACCTGGAGACTGGAAGTGGTGAAAGGTGTTGATATCGCTTTGGTTGTGGCGTTAGCTTTTGCTCACGCTGAGATATCGCATGCCTGGCGTCGTTGAGGGGAAGACAGAAGGACAAGCATCGGTATATTGAGTCTACAACTATATCGAGAATGGTGGTATCTTGCGTGCGAGAGATAGAGTCTTTGTTAGCTCATCGGTTAATACCCAATGATAGAGGCCGAGGATTTACTCCAAGCTTGTCTTCATTACCGAACCTTCCTGTTACATCTCCATCAAGTGTGGCTGAATCTGTCCGACCACTTGAAGCTTGAAACAATCCAACGTAACGGCTTTGCAGTTTTCGACTGCCACGTGTAGCAACGATTGAATTGAGATGTTCGTGAAGTCTAAGACGCCCTTGGAATGTACAAGATGGCAAGCGGATCGAGCATATGCAGACTTCATCAGATTATCAGAAATTCTTCGTGATCGCATATTAACCGCGCCTGAGGAGTAACCTATGGCGAGAAGTCACCAATGACCAGGCTTGATGGACTCTGGTATACGAGCAATACACGTACGCACGAAGCTCCTCAAAAACTGGGTAGTTGAGACTCTGATTGAACGACGTGGAGATAGAGATTCGATGTCTGCTAAATGAGTCTCAGAGTCTAGAAGTAAGATCGAGATTACTGCTAAGTACAATACAGATCTGTCCTCTTTTTATGTGCGGTTTCGACGATCAAAGTTATCGACGATGCTCCCCAGTGTTGCTATACCTCGACTTTGCATCATAAGGCCTCTGCATGGAAGAACAGTATCATGCCTCAACTTCAGCAAGATGCGATTCCTGTCTCAGATCACGTGGTCATAAGAGTTTTCCAGGCTGTACTTCATCGTTACCGTTACTATGAGTCAGCTGAGCGCACTAGGCACTATACGCAGTAATCTCAACGGTGCCAACTTCTTTGAACCATGTCGTCGGGAATAGTTCCCCAAGCATTGGTAACGACCGCATGGAACACCGACAGAGAGATTGATTGACCTCAACTTGATTCAAATCTTCATTAGATCTTGTGTAAAGTTTGCGCAGTATTTCAGTTCGCTAACGGTACCCTACGAACTGTTCAGAGAGTAAGCAAGAACCAACCACTGGCGGAGTACTCATGCAGGCGAGTGACTTCCACTTGCATGTCAAGTTTTCCAGAGATGCTTCAATTCCGTGCGAGTATCACCAATACACCCTAGAGATGCATCATGCAGGCAAGTGCTTTCGCCGCTTGACAGCTGTACCAGAGAGTCGATGTGTTGACGATATGGCATCTTATAAACACTCTGGCTCAGCAGCGGAGTACATGGTATACCCAAGATGGAATACGCAAGAACCCCAAGGGTCTTAAGGATCTGCAGTGATCTTTGGCAAGATGCCAGTCGGGGGTTATGTCATACGTTCAGTCACGGGAAGGTCCAAGCGAAGAACCAAGGTTCAAGATCAATACGAGCGGTTTGGAGGTCTTATTTCCTTTGCGAGATGCGGAGTCATGGTTCAACTGGTCTTATCGTTGGAACACGATGTGGCTTTCGGGTTGTGGTCAGCGGGACCTCCTCACTTCGATCAAGGTAGGCTCTCGGTCGAGAATTTGTCCACATTAACCGATCACCACCGTCTGAGGCTGTGCTTTCGTTATGTCTAGAACTGGTATGATTGACCTGCTTCATGAACTAGTAAATGCCACTGTCTGGCGCTAAACTCTCTCTTGACCGCCGGTCATAAAGATGCGATAAGCTTTTGAGACTCATATTCGCTTTCTGAACTGCAATTGGGTCGAGAAGACATTGCAAGACAGAGTCCTTGATAGACACCATTTGCTTTTCCAACACACTGGATGCATCCGTGACTTGACAATTTTCAGTATGCGAAAAGGTCAAAGCAAGGCCGTTCATGATCATTGATTCGCTCGATAAGCTCAGTGATGAAGTCTCACAACATAAAGACCAGAATAGTGGAACAAGAAACGGATCTTGAAATCTCAATGTGGACCAGTACTCTATATGATGTTGCGCCTCTCAGCACCTCCACCTCCACGATTCGCAGATCAAGCAGACAATGAATTCCTTGAGCTCTGTCGCGAAGTTGCAACATGATCTTGCAGTAAGCGATAGCATTGACGCCGATACCATAACCTCCGGCATTTTGCTCCCTTGATATGTTGATTTCNTGTCCAAAGCCTGTAGAATGTTGTACCGCACAAGGGACATACTAACAATGGTGCAGAGGGTTTACGTTCTCGTTGGTGACGAAGAAGGTTGCTACGTGAGGAGAAAATTCGTCCGTCGCAGCCATGATCATAACATGCTCGTTTCGACGATGGTACTGAAGGCTCTGGCTCGCACTCGGATGGAGGCGATTTATCGTGTTCAGATGAGGGCGATGAAGTGCTATCTGTCTGAGCACCGGAAAGACTCTGATTACTCGCAAGACTTTGGTTGCTAGAGATACTCTGATGCCTCGAGAAATTCTGGTTGCTCGAGAAATTCTGATTGTCCGGGAGAGTTTGACTGCGTGCGAGACTCTGATTGCTTGAGACACTCTGATTGTGTGAGATACTTTGACTCGATGGTGTGTAACTGGGTCCGTATGTGCTTTGAGTGGAGAACACCTGAGGTGCGACTTCAGCCTGTGTTGACAGGCCAGCATGGGCTATGTGAGGAATTGTCCAGACATCGATAAAATCTTGGCAAGGCCTTTGAGAGTTTGAAGCATCCGGAATGGTCTTTGGGGGCGAATTAGAGTATAGCAATGATGTGGGAGGCTGGTTTTCGTGACATGGATGACTCGTGCTGAACGGATATAGTTGGCTATACTGATGGGGCGAAAATGCTTTAATCGAGTCAGTTTCTAAACAACAACAGTACCTTTTGATGGTCATACAATACGTGTTTGGTGGGATGCTGAGTGATGTCACATAGTTCCATTCTCTGAGCGGACGAAGGCAATTGTGTTGAATTTGACCGAGAGTGGCGACCAGCCGCTCTTTCCCTGTAGGGGCATACCCCAAAGCTCGGAACGACCATGGCATCTTCGGACAACCTGTATAGTTTTCTGACGACAGCGGTGTGAATCAAAGCTGATTCATGGTTAATGGTCCTGCAGCTACAATTGCGGGTATAGTTTGCGGTTGAGCGCAGAGATGATAGCGAATATATTACTGAACAAGATGCCGATTGGAGCTCTTTGTAGCTACAGCGACGAGCATTCATTACAGACTTCGTATGGAACATTCGCCTGCTTGAATAGATTCAAAGCTCCGCGAGGTGTTGAACAGCAATGGGTGCTTGCGACTCGTCTCGACCATCAAACTTCTGATCTCGGACCGAAGTTGATGACTTATGGTAATCGCTGGTCGGCGACATCATGGCGATTTCGCAGCGATTGTTTCGTGAGCAGGACACCTCATCAGCCAGGTATGAGAACATGTTCGCTATAAACTATAGGATGGGTCAAGAGAAGAGGTGATGTTTGCCCACGCCGCGTGAACACGTGCAGGCTAAACCTCGGATGAATCCTGATCGCGCCACTCGCCGAGGACTGCAACAGTGGCTGGAATCCTTCTTGATCACCAGATACTTGAACCATGAGGCGGATGCGATGTGCCGCGTTGAGATACGTCCCGGAACATCGGGTCAACGTTATCCCCTGATTCTGACACGTTGAGATTCAAGAAGGTAATGACCTTGCTGGTCTTCCATATCCTCAAGTTCACCAACCTCAACATCGTTGTCGCTCCAATCAACGCCAAATACCATACAATAGATCATTGTAGCTTGACAGCACAATGGCGGACCAGAGAGGAGACGACGACCTTACTCAATCTACTGACTCTTCGAGACGCATATTAGCTGTCGTGACTACTGGCGGCTTCACCCACGCGGGTGAGTATTGCGCAGCGTATGTATCGCTTGGCGAAAACTTACATATCACGTAGCACCTATTCTGNGAGCTTTGCAGAGTCTTGGCTGAGCGAGGACATGTTGTAGAATTTGCTACGAACGCTGGCCAAGAGGATTGGGCCAAGTATTGTCCCACCATCCAGACCGTGCACTCTTTTGGTTCAGGACCGTCAGACGAGGAGATGGAAGCACACTACCGTCGTATGATCTTGTGGAATCCAGCGAGCGGTCTGAGCGCCATCATGGAATCGAAATATCTGTTTGATTCATATTGGACGGACACTTACCTCCATCTCAAAGACATCGTGTCGGATACCAATACCCGCCCTGACTTTATCATCGCCGATTTCTTTGCTGACGCGGCTGTTAAGGACATGATGGTCGAATTCGGCGTTCCTATTGCCATAATGTACCCGCAGATGCCGTCTCTTATGGCTCCTGTGTCGTATGTCCCTGGCCAACCGGGATTCCAGATCGACTCAAATCTCACTTCTGAGCATGCATCAATCCTATCGCGCATCAAAAATGAGATGGTCGTGTTTTGGGCACTGCCTTCAATCCTCAAGTGGCTGCAATGGACGAAAGCGATGCGCATGAAAGTCGACGTGATGCACAAAAGTCCCTCTGATCCCAAACCTGACTATCTTGTTCTTGTTAATTCCTTCTTCGGCTTGGAGGTACCTAAGGATCTTCCTCCTTCAATTGTGCCATGCGGACCCATTTTGGCCGACAGCTACATGGAACTTGACGAGAAACATGCAGAATTCTTAAGTCGGCACAAGCGGGTACTCTATGTTGCTCTTGGTACACATATCATTTTGCAAGGCACTGATGTCACCAAAATTCTTGATGGCCTCATACGAGCGCTCGACGAACAACATATAGATGGCGTCATCTGGGCTGTCGGATCTTCTCCTCGCAAAGATTTCCCACATGCTCAGAGCTTCACTCGTGCAGGGCAGTGTCCACGCACTCTTGGTGGAATGCTTGATCAAGCAGATCCGGATTTCATGTTTCCCTTGTTTGCTCCCCAGCGCGCAATCTTGGAGCACAAAAGCACTGTGTTGTTTTTGACTCATGGAGGCGGTTCCTCTGCTAACGAAGCCCTTTACCACGGTGTCCCAGTTTTGACTCTCGGCTTCTTCTTTGATCAACTGAGCAATAGTGCTCGTTTGCGTAATGCGGGCGTCGGTCTGTCTCTGGACAAACTAAATTACACTTCTTCTGAGATATGCGTTAGCATTGCAATCATTGTCGGCGATCTAGATAGCCGATTTGCACAGGACGTCAAACGCATGAAGGGCATTGCAAGGATTGCATCGAAACGCAAGTATTTGGCTGCGGATATGATTGAGCAATCCGTAATCGATGAAGAATATCGTGTGCTCAATAATAAGGAGATGCATCCCAGATATCTGCAAACAGCTGATATGCGCATGTCAACATGGAGAGCGAGGAATTGGGATTTGTGGCTGTTGACATTCGGCACTGGCCTGGTCGTTGCTGCAAGTACAAGCTACATAGGTCGGATGATTTACGCTACACTTCGGGCTCGGATAGCACTGTTCAAGCATTGAAGTACGTACAGTAGATAGCAGCTTGCTTCTAAACCGGACTATTGTCCCGTCGGAAGAGCTTATAATTCCTCCAGACTTCAGCTGCCAGACTTCCTCCATGTGCTCATGTGCTTCAAGCAGCGTTGTTAACAGGTGCTTGATGCTCAAGACTCACACTCGCTCAATCGTTCTGTTAGATACGTTCTGAAGACCTTTGGCTTAACAAGTCTTCAAGTCAAGATCTGTTGTGTATCAATGAGTGAATCATGAGATTTGCATACGAGTGCATATGTGTCTGGGCTGCGAAAGCATTTAGATAACCAGATTGTCACCTATAGTGAAGATATCGGGTCACCTGCAGATTCTGACATGACTTGTTCATTCATGCGAGTGTGACTATGCCCAAGCCTCATTATTGTAACCCAGAAGCTTGAAGGATACCTCAGTACGTGATTTTGACAACTTGATCAGAAGATCAAGGATGAGAATAGGCGAGATGAAGATGAGGCTTTGGGCTTGAGTATTCTCAAGAACTGTCGACCAAAGAAGAATCCGTAAGGTACCCGGAACGTCCTTGACAGCGCCATCTTAGGGGCGCAAATGACCTCTGCCTGGAAGTACTAGTACTAGCTGTCATACTGGCCAACATTCAAAAGCGCATTTTGCAGCAACATACACAACCCAATGGAAAATCGATGAACTTGGGGTATTACAATTATATGCTATAGTCTGTGCTACTTGAAGTTCGCTTCTATGATAAGCTAATCATGTTCAGCAAGCGTATCGGCAGAGGCAGCGCTTGAGAGCTGAGTCGCCTAGATGATTAGATCGAGACCTGAATGCTCAACGACCCTGAGTTAGGGATCAGTAGAATGCAAACGGAGCAGTATTCGACGAATCAGAACAACCCGAGACGAGCTGCTGATCAGTCGCCTCCTGGGTGGTGGATGAAACGACATTGCCAGAAGGATCAGTGATGGTCAGGTCATATTCCATTCCCAGTTGCGCATTGCCCAACAAGATACGAATAGGCACATAGGATCCAGCAGTAAAGTTTTGTGTATATGATTTGTCAGGGTTGCCGGCGTAGAGTGTGTTTGCAGCATCATTGTATAGCGCATAGTTGCTGTTGTCATAGGCAGACGGCATGGCGGAATCGCCCAGCCATAGGTATGCAACTTCATCTGTGTTGTTGAGATCAAATCTGTACGTTCCCGTCATGTCTGGGTGGAAATATCCGATTTCTCGTACGACGGTATAAGGTGTACCATGGGGATATTCTTGACCTCCATACAAGAGAGTGGTGTTGTCGTTGTTGCTGTTAGGTGTGCCAGTGTATGATGTCGTGCCCATCACATTTGGACTTTGACCGTCGAGGATTGTTATGACTTGGAACATGTTCTCATAATCAGGGTTGGAAGTTTTACCATCGCTCGTATCATAGGGAATTTGACCGGGGTGTGATGAGTTGTTAGGAGACTCCGCCAGTCTGTAGAAGACCCATTCGAGTCCGGGTGTGCACAGTGGGGTCTCCACAACGACCTGAGCAGGCGTAGTACCAGAGGCCGGGATGGTCGTAGTAGTTGTCTGTCTAATCAACTGAAGACCGGTGGTACGAGTGATAGTCGACGTAGGAGTCGGGCTTGAGGAACTACCTGACGAAGTTGTCGCCGAGCTGGGCGAGGAGCCTGGCCCATCATCACCGAATGGAGGGAAACGAGGGGCCGAGCTATCGCAAGAGAATTGTACCAAGTAAGAACTCTTTTGCGTGGTAGAACTATCGATGATAGTACTACCGGGGGTGCAGTGATCTTGAGCTCATAGTTGCCACCTCCCTGGGCATTGGCGTAAATGAAGCGTAGTGGTGTATAGGTGCCTTTAGCCAGATAAACGCTATATGTCGTTGCACTTGAACGAAGTCTAGGACTAACGTAGTTCTGGACGAGATTCGCGTCTCTGCGAGTGTAGTTGTTGTATGCATTGGGACCCGACCAAAGAAGGAAGATGTCGTCGACGACATTTCTGACAAAAGCTCGTATTTCTGATCTCCAGATGTGTTTTTCACAGTACTGCTTCCAGTCTGTGGCAAGTGTAGAAGCTGATTGCTGGAATGACATTCTCGGGTCTGCCCGCCAGCCTGATGTGTGGTCAAGCTTAAGAGTGCATTATGAGTGATCTAATGCCTTCTCATGAAAAGACCAAGTTTGACTTCATTAGCCATCTACAAAGCATGCAGCTAGCTTCGAAGCTGTGGCAGGTCTCTGCTCGCTCTGCTAACTTTTGGCTTCATGTCTGCTCAAAATGAGGTCAGTAATCTGTAACCTATTGCATATCTCTGCAGCGACTCCATCATGTCAACCATCACTATGCTTATCCTGAACGTAGATATACCACCGCAACTCTGTTCACTAACATAAAGCATGTGGCCACAACATAGTGATCTGATTGAACAGTCACAAGAACGGTGTATCTACCATAGTTTTGACTATGAGAATGCTCTGATATTTGTACTCATCATGAGGCAAGGCGATCACTTGACAGTGGAGCCGGGAATTGTACCCTAGAAAGAACTCTGTGAGGGGAAACGCAGGTATTCGGATGACATCTTTGATTAGAGTACAGCGCCAATTGACGAGCTTGTCTGGTCGATACTGCCGACGCGTCGATGAGAAGACTTATTGTAGGAGAATTCGCAAAGGAGGCAGAAGACGGCATTGGAGAGCTGAGCCGAACCGAACCGTTAGTACATTTTAGGTTGGTGACGCGGTTCGAGCGGGTGAGGCTGCAAGAGATCTCATGATATCAGCAGGCCGTTCCGATCGAAGTCCAGCGAATTCCGATAGACGCTCGAAAGTCGTGGATTGATGACTCGAGGTGGTTTGGGAAAAAGCCAAAACAAACCAGTCAACGCACGGTGTATCCACTGGTGGATTCTTATCACTCTTCGCACTGGTACCTGCGCACCCCGACTCTCAAACAAGCAAATCCCTACAAACGTATCTCAATGCACGACACTATATCTGTGGTTTCAACACAGCTTGGAGGCATTGTGACTGCGCCAGGGCCTTCGATCATACGAGATGAAGACGATCGCACGTTGCTCAAACATATCAAATCGCCCATCCGTATCGACAGATATGCCGAACTCGAACTGCTGCTTTTGACGATCTGTACTGGCATCCAAGATGCCACGACTTTCCCTGATTATCACTGCTTCGCATCAAACCAGACTGGCAACACGATCCTGCTCGCCGTTTCGTTCATCACCACCGGTCTAGCTGGCGAGCTCTTCATAACAGCGAATATTGGTCTCTGCCTTGGCATGTTCCTTGCTGGCGGCTTCATCACGGGACAAATCAGCCATCGCTTTGTCCAGGCTCGCGGAAGACCTTGGATTCTGTGTTGCAACGCAATGCAGACGGCGCTTGTCTTCGGTGCTGCCACGATACAGATGAAGCATGGTATCAAAGCAGATGATGTATGGGCACTCGGCGCCCTTGCGTGCCTCGCCTGCGCATCAGGCTCGCAGGTAGTTCTGTCAAGGGCTTTCAGTATGACGGAAATCAGCACTGCGATGGCCACAGCGGCATGGGTCGATCTTGTGATAGACAGAAACATCCTTGCACTGCGCAACAAGTCAAGAGACAGAAGAGTCCTCTTCCTGGTCGCGCTCTTTCTCGGCAGCTTCATCGGTTCCAGTATGTACCGTACAGTAGGCTCAGCCTGGGCCATCTTCGCTTCGGGAGTTGGAAAACGGTTGTGCTCGTCTTGTTTCTTTTCAACGCCCGTGATGAGAGGCTCGGGAGGGGGAAGAGGATATCGTCTGATTTTGCGAGCTACGATCGCTGATTTCGATGTCGTTAAGGTACATATGGAGCCATTAGCGCTCGCGTTCGCGCGCATTCTTCTCTCCGGTGATAGTGCATCATGATGTTTTGCAAAAACGACTGTCCAGTGCTCTTCTCCTTGCGTACGCAGCGCCCAAAACACATGAAAGTGTCAAACATGTTCTTGACCCAAACTTGAACGATAGAAGCACGATGGTGAAACGCATTCCCGAGTATGAGTGAGAGCCATGGAATCGGTGCGCAATCCCACGATGCTACTCAGGATGATTCGGTTCCGCTCGCCAGAGGGATGCTCAAGAGTCAAACCCCAAGGTACGTTGATACATGTGAGGAGCCGATCCTCGTGTCGCCTGAGCTTTTGCCGACGACTAGGTACACGCCTTGCCATCTTCTCCCTCGGAGACCAACTGCAGAAGGACGGTGTGCTATCTGTCGTGAGGGGCCGGCCATCGGCTGTGTCAGGGAGGAAACGAAATGTGGAGGGGTCACTAACGATGAACCGAACCGGAGCGAGACACTGGGGGCACTAAAGCCTGTAATCGATGGTGTGCACCTGCTGCCCGCAACTAGATCGGAGGCACCTACAAGGGAAAGTTGAACGACTAGCAAACCCTTATTTGGGCCGGATCTGTGGAGAAGATGTGGGGTGAATATCGGGGAACTGCTGTGGGGGAAGGTGCAGCCCAGGTCTATAACTCTGCAACGTTTCCCCCTTCTCTACTTGAACGTTTCCATCCAACACACCCACGGAACCCGTACGACATCTCACCCTAGTATCATGGCTAAGCAAGGATTCTTCGCTGCTGTCTTCAGCGCTAGCTGTAATTTCAACAGCACATTGGCACTCTTTGTTCTGGTGCTCTGCACGTCGCAGTTCAATTATGGTTTCGACATCGCCACATATTCCAATCTGACAGCGATGCCAGCTTTCCAGAAGCAATTCGGCTGGTACAATCCCAAAACTCACAGCTACTTCCTCGAGGCAAGCTGGTTGTCTTTCTTCTCTTCATTGCAGTTCATTGGTCTTCTAGTTGGTAAGTCTTGGTCGAACTCTGATGGAACTCGAGCAAATAATGACGCGTCCAANGGTATCGTCATTGGCTCTCACGTCAGCAAACACTACGGTCGTCGATGGTGCGTTTTCTCCATGAGTCTGGCGGCTTTGATCTTCGC